CGGCCCCTGACTCTCGTGCTCGGGACACAAACGCAAAGAATTTCTCATACCCACCCGAACAAATAACAAGATATAATAAAAAATTAAAAGGGCAGCCCATCTCTCAACACTATTGAATGCGAGTCTTCGGCCGCCATCCCACTCATTTATTCTTTTTCTCTTTTGCCATTTTTGCAAAGAAGCAATTTGACAGGCCGACTCAAAAGGCATTGTGCTTCAAGAACACAGGGCTACGATCTAGGCCCGGCCGGAAGCGGTAGAAAAGAGAGTCTCAGCCAGCCACAGCGGGTCCAAAACCAGCCAAATAAAAGAACAAGGCCGAAAAGAGAGTAGCACAAGGTTAATATTGGATCCAGCCGTTGAAACGACTCCGTCGAGAGGCCCTGATCTTCTCTCTGCCTGCTTTTGTTTCCCCAGCTGCCTTTTTTCTTTCCGTCCGCTTCTCATCGACAACACGGCCAACGCACCAAGTCAGTCAGCCAACGGCACCGCCTATACCCAACGCTGGGCCGACCCCAGATACAATGTTGCTCAACGGCGGCGGCCGCCGCCTACGCATCTTTCTGCTGACCGTCTTCGGCTTGCTCGGCGTCATTTTCCTCTGGGCCACCAGTGATACGGACAGCACCCAGCTGAAGGAAGCCGTTGCGTCATGGCCGGCCGCAGTGGCATCGCATTTTGCGTTTGATGGAGGCGGAAGCCAAGACGGGGACCCCGGCGGCTTTCCATATGTCGGCGGCGGCCGGAAATACGACGAACCAGTACCGCCACCACCCGCACTGCCGCCAACGGGCGACAGCCATGACGCGGGCGCATCGTCAATGGGGGCGACCGGCGCGCCCTACTTTGTCCTCATTGGGGACTCGACCACCTGCGGCCAGGCGAAGGAAGGCGGCGGCTGGGGTGATGCCTTTTTGTGGCAGCTGGCCCGCGGCGCCCAGGGCGTCAACTACGGCGTCAACGGCGCGCTGTCCACCGGCTACTTCCACTCGCCCATTTGGAACGCCGCCATGCAGGAGGTCCGCACCAATGCACTCGCCCGGCCCGTCTACGTCACCGTCCAGTTTGGTCACAACGACCAGAACCCCAACAGCAATGTCACCCTCGACATGTACCAGGACACCCTGGTGGGCATGGCCCGCGAGGTCCTGGAGGCCGGCGGCACGCCCTTCCTCGTCACGCCGCTCGCCCGCCGCGACTTTGACCTGGACGGGACAACCGTCACCGACAACCTCAAGGACTACCGCGAGCGCACCCTGCAAGCGCATGCCGTCCTCCAGGACGACGAGGCCAGCAAGAAGGCGCGGGCCATCAACCTCAACGCCGCCAGCCTCGCCTACATTGGCGCCATTGGCAAGACCGCCGCCTTCCGCTACAACAAGTGGCACCCCCTCGTCAACGACACCACCCACCTCAACGAGCTCGGCGCCACCGTGTTTGCGCGCATTGTGGCTGACCTGATGCTGGGCCACCCGGCGGCCCTTGTGCCTTCCGGCGAACGGGATCCCTGGGCACCCGGTGCGGGCAACGACGACGGCGGCCTGTCGGGCTGGATCCGTCCAGATCCGTACATGACGGGCCTTGTCTGGCACGGCGATCCCATTTAGGCCGCTCACACGGCTTTCTCTCGTTCTCATTCGTCTGTTTCCTCTTTTGTATCAGCGTCACCGTTCGGCTGTTTTCGGCGTTATATGGACCAGGGTCAAAATAATGACCTGTCCCGGGAACACTGGGTTGCCCGTCATCGTTTCATTTGGTTTTGTCTGCTGGGCTTCATTTTGGGATAATTCGACTTGGATACCATAGACTAGACACGGCCTTTACTAATGGTGCTAACATTATCATTTATAGTTACACTGTTCTTTTTTTTGTCAGTTGTTTTAGTGTCATTACGAGCACTTCATCGCGATGTTCTCTGTCAGAGCGTCTTGGTCATTAGATGTGTCATTTGCTTGTTATGTACATTGCGCTATGGGTTTACCCGTCCCGGTAGATGGCCGACCCAAGTCTCTAATCTCGGTTTCGGTTGCTCGACCACCGCCGCACCATGACCTCCCGGATGCGGTACTGTCCCAACACCGCCGTTATGTCGTTCATGTCGTCCATCGCGCCGTTCGCGCCCCCCGTCGCCGATGACGGCGGTGGCACGTCCACGTACACCAGCACCAAGCTCTTAAACACCGTCGACAGCACCCGGTTCACGCTGTGCAGCCAGTGCCAGGACGGCGCAGGAGCCGCTGGCCGGTCCGCCGCCGCCCACCGGTCGTACGAGGGAAGCACCATGACGCCAAATTCGGCATGGTCGAGCGCGGGGCCTTTGCCGTACAGCATCCAGTCGACGCCGAACTTGATGCCGTTGCGCGGGACCCAGCCGAGCGACCGGAAGTGGTGGTAGACGGCATAGTGGAGGAGGAAGGGGTCGGTTGCAGTCGGTAGATGTGAGGGAGAAGGAGGAGGAGGAGGAGTCCTCGACAACGACACCGAAGCGGCCGCCGCGCGGCACAACGCCAGCAGCTGTGGCGTCGACAGCACGCGCCCCGTGGCCGGGTCCACGACGCGCAGGGCGCCCACGCCGTACGCTAGAAAGAAGGCTTCTTCGGGCGACAGCTGGAGGTGTTCCTTGTTTGGAATGTCGGCCGCCGTCGTTGTGGTCGTCGTCAGAGTGGCGGGCACCACCGGCGTCGTCGACTTGGCCACGCCGTTTGCATTGTGGTTCGGGCTCGGCGGGTCCGAGTGCAAAAACGTTGTGGACTCGACGGTCGGCGAGAAGCGCACGCTCTTTTGCCGCTTGAGCGGTTCAATCGGAACGCTATCGATCGGTGGCTTGGCCGTGGTGGCCGTGGTGGCCGTGCCGTTGGTGCGGCTTTGCGACTCTTCCCCCTCACCTGGAGTCCCGTTCGCAACAAGATCCTGCAGTGCGGCGCTGCCGTTTACATCGGTTTTAGGTACGGCTGCGGCCATGGCATAGGTCGCTTTACGCAGCTCGGCCTCGGAGTTGGGCAACGCCAGAAGCTCCAGAGGACCGACTGGAGGCTTTGGCTTTGAACCAGCGGCCGGCACCGGTGGCGACGGCGGTGGTGATGGCAGCTGTGCAGCTGATGGCGCCGCAGTGGCAAGCGCGTTGACACGCCCGTTGGCATGCCCATTGAGTGGGCTGTCTGCTTCGTTTACGGTTTGCGCTTCCGCGGCCTCTTCGTCCCGTCGCCGCTGTTCAATGGCCTCCCACTCCGTCCGCCCACGCTCCCACTTTGTGTCGGCACGCTCTTCGCGCCGTTTGTTCGTGCGCTGCTCACTCGTCGTCGTCACGGTGTGGACACCGGCGCCGGCGCCAGCGTCGGCAGACGCGGCATGGATCGCCGCGGCCCGCCGGGCCTTTTCGCGGTTGAGCCAGTTGGGCTCGCTGCGGCTCAGGGAGCCTTTCCCGTAGAACCCCTGGCACCACAAGTCGTTCATAGACTGGCGGTCCGTGACGTGCACAGAGCGCGTCGCGGCCGACCAGACGCCCTCGTGGACGGTGGCCGGTTCGGCCGCCGGAGGTAGCAAGGCCTGCCACACCCAGGCAAACACCAGGTGCACAAGAGACAAGGGGTTGTTGGGGTAGAAGGTGGGCAGGGGGAATGTGCGGAGAGGGAGCGGCAGGCTGTATTTCTGCCGCGGGGCGGCGGTGGCCCGTGGTTTGGGTGGTTTGGGTGATTTGGGCTGTGAAGACGCAGTGGAGGTGGTGGCGCCAATAGTAGATGGTGATGCTGTTTCTGCCGTCGAGGGCTTCAAGGCGGCTGCAGCCGACGCGTCAGGCGGCCCGCCATTGCTGCTGCTGCTGCTCGCTGTTCCCGATAGCGGTGGCTCTGTAGATTCAGCCATATTCTTCCTTATTCATGTCGAGACTTTTGTTGTGTCAGCTGGGGCCCAACAATGAGGAAAACGCAAACAATAAAATTAACAAGACATGGTTGTACAGTTCGCTCAGATACCGTTGTAGTCTATAAGGTTAAGCAATCACGGAGAGCATGATGATTGCTCTCTATGCACCAAATAATTTGTCATCACCGCGAAGAGGAAAGGGAAGCTGCCATTTATGGGGGACATAAAAAAAGAATAAAGGCGAGTCAAAAACCACTTAGTTTGTTGCCCGGAGCAGAGTCGGTGGAGAGCTCCTTGACTAACAGGTTACACCAAGAAGACATTTGAAAGCAAGACACTCAACCGAGTGCTCTGTTGACGCGACAAGAACAAAAATGCAGCAAACCCAATATCAACATACTCTGAGGGATATTCCACCCGATTTGGTGCTCGACGCATCAGCGCGGCCATTCAAGAGGAGCTGCCAGGGACCGCATAGGTCATCGTGTGCCGTGGGAAAGAAAGAAAAGAGTGCAAAAAAGCAATGCAAGTGGCACGGCACAGAACAAATGCTATTGCAAATTCATGGTGGTAGTTGTGGGCGGCTTCGAAATGTGTCAGGAGAGAGGAAATGGAGAGGAAACTGATAGAAGAAATTTTTGGCGCTGCGCCCACATTAAGGACCCGTCAAATAAGCGGGTTAGAGCTGCATTACCTTAGTAAATGCATAAATGCACTTATCGCGATTTCGCATGCTACTAAAGTAGTTCACTCGTTTGGAGCTCTCCGAGCTGCCGACCAGGCTAACAGCTACCCCACTGGACAGGGCAAGGCAGGCACCACCAACAACCTCCTTCCAGAAGCTGAACTTGCCAATTACGGCAAACTTTTGTTTTGTCTGGACTTCCAGAGCCACTGCTACGAACTTTGTTATGTTTTGATTTACTGGGAATCAAGGTCATATTTGACTTTTATCCCCAGACCATCCAACTTTGTCCCACATTCTGCCAAACTTGAAGCTCATCAGAGGGTCGTCCGATCATTGCAGACTCTCCGTTTGACATCAAAGACACACTTTCTTCTTCTGTTTCCACTTCCTTTTACTATTCTCTTCTCTTTTCTTCTCTTCTCTTTTCATAGCATCGCGCTTAACCTTCACCATGTCTGCTACAACTCTTTACGACCAGGGCCTCAAGGCGGCCGAACGCAAGGACTTTGCCGCCGCCGTGCCGCTGCTCACTCGCGCCATCGAGGCCAGCGGCGCCACCCACCCCAACCCGGCCTGGCTGCTGACACGTGCCCGGGCCGAGATGGGCATACAGGCCTACCAGGACGCCTTGGAAGACGCCGACCGTGCGTACCAGAGCGCGCTGACGCGCCAGAGCGCACAAAGCGCCCGCTGGCTCGTGCAGGCGCAGTACCGGCGGGCCGTGGCGCTGGCGGCGCTGAAGCGGTATGCCGACGCGGACGCATGCTGCGTGTGGTCGCAGCAGCTGGCGGAGGGCAAGAAGTTCCGGTCGACGGGCGGCGGCAACGACAACGACGGCCAAGACGACCCGGACGATGTGCGGCGCAACGTGGACAGCGAGGGGCGGTACCAGGCGACGCCGGCGGACCTGCCCAAGACGCTGGCACACAACCCGGGCCACAGCGCAGGGAGCGCCACCGCCACGGCCGCCACGGCCGCCACGGCTGGCGGGGGCAACACGCTGGCGGGCGTGCTGGGGCAGGCAAACAGCAACGACAGCACAAAGGCCGACTGGACGCAGGCGTACATGTGGCGGGGCGTGGTGCTGCGGGAGCTGCAGAAGCTGCCGCTGGAGGACCCGGGGCGCAAGATTACGGTGTCGCGGGTGCCGGCGCTGCCCAAGAAGCGGGCGGCCAGCGCCCCGGCGAAGGCGGCACCTTTGTCACCCGCCGCCGCAGCCACGGCTACGGCGTCTTCTGCGTCCACCGCGCCCACGCCCACGCCGTCCCCCCCCAAACTCCGTGTCGACATGTACCAGACGCCGTCCACGGTCAACCTCACGCTGTACGCCAAGGGCGTCGATGCCGCGGCGCTGCAGGTCACGGCGACCAGCGCCACACACATCCAACTGGCGCGTCTGCCGGCAGCCGTGGCGGGCCCCGCGCAGACGGTGACGCTCGCACTGGCGGGGGCAATTGCCACGGGCGCAGGGGCAGTGGAGACGCGGGTCACGCCGTACAAGATTGAGCTCAAGGTGACCAAGGCGACGGCGGGCGAGAAATGGGGCCACTGGGGCGAGCAGGTGCAGGGGGCGGGGGGCGAGGCAGCCAGCGGTGCGAAGGAGGCCAAGGCGAATGTGCCGGCGGAGACGGCAACGGCGGAGACGGCAGCTCCAGCTCCAGCTCCCGCTCCAGCCACAGCCACAGCCACAGCCACAGCCACGTCCACAACAACCTCTGGCCCGGCATACCCGACGAGCGCCAAGTCGGGCCCCAAGAACTGGGACAAGGTGGCCGACGACAACGACGACGACGACGCGGCCAATGCCAACGTCGACGATTTCTTCAAGAAGCTGTACGCGGGCAGCACGCCCGAGCAGCAGCGGGCGATGATGAAGAGCTTCACAGAGAGCAACGGCACGTCGCTGAGCACGGACTGGTCGACGGTGGGCAAGGGGCCTGTGGCCGTGGTGCCGCCGGATGGTGTGGAGGCGAAGAAGTGGTAGTTTGTCTGTGTGAGGCGCTCGGCCGCAGCAGGGGTGTTTCTGTGTTTCTGGCGTTGTACGGTGCATCACAGAGTGTTTGTGTTTCTTCGAAAATAGTACTGATTATTCCCGAGTGTAGTTACACTATATCTATGATAAACTGTTTCGCTTTATTGTATTGTTTTCGGCAAATGGCCATACGTTGAAAATATAAATGTGATTGTGAATGTGAGGAGACATGCGCCTGAAATGCACCGCCGGTTGACGCCGGTTCCGCCGCAGACGTAAGATGTATCGTCCGATCCAATCGTATCCAGTCATTATGCTACGCTTTTACTTTTTACTTTTTTTTATTTCTCTCTTTTCCCTTGCCTTCTTGTCCTCATCCCAACTAGTCCACTCTCGCCTTTGCATTGGCTTTGCCGTTGGCCTTGGCATTCGACCGGCTGTTGCTGTTGCCGTTGCCGACGCCGTTGCCGTTGGTGGACGCCACGTCCGCCGGCGCTGCCGCCTTGTTCGTGCTGGCCTGGAGCGCCGCCACACCCTGTGTCCGCGGCTCCCGCACGACCCGGCGGCCCTGGTCGTCCAGCTCGTCCACACTCATGTCCATGCGCACGTGGAACTGCTTGCCGCGCCAGGCCACGGTGGCGCCCAGCAAGACGGCATAGGTCCAGATGGGCAGGGCCAGCAGCTCGCGGCCGAGCCAGGCGCGGGCCCACGCGAAAAAGGGCCGACGGGGCAGGTCGCCAGAGCCAGGGCGACGGCGCCCCTTGGCAAACGCGGGCGTGTCGGCGTCCCACGCGACGCACCGGCACGCCTGCAGGCGGCGGTAGGTGCACCAGTCGGCGGCCATCCAGAGGGCGACGAGGACGCACCAGCAGCGGGCCATGGCGGCCCAGGTGGGCGGCGGCAGCCAGGCAGCGAGGGCGGGGGCGGCGGGCCCCAGCAGGCGCTGGCCCCACGTGGTGAGGGCAAACGACCCATAGAAGGCGCACAGCAGGGACTCGACGCCGGGCTCGACGAGGGTGGCGAGCAGGACGGTCCACTTGCGGACGCGCAGCCAGCGGACGCGGCGGGCGGCGTAGGCGCGGACGGGGACGTCGGCCATGGGCTGGATGGCGAGGTCGCCGGTGGCGAGGGCGTGGTTCCGAAAGGGCACGCCGGCCGGGGTGGCGAGGGGCGAGCGCCACAGGAGGTCGCCGATGAGGTGGTCCTCGCAGATGTAGGACGAGAAAAAGTCGACGCCGCGGCCGCGGCGGCCGTCGGCGGCGCGCAGGACGGTGGGGTTCTGGGCCGGGTCGGTCAGGGCGTCGAGGTGGGCCTTGCGGAACATGTTGCTCTTGCCGACGATGCAGGGGGCGATGCCGACGGTGTTGATGGCCGAGTAGAACTTGGCGTGCGACGTGGCCATGAACATTTCGTCGAGCGCCGCCCCGATTCCCTTCCCGGCACTTTGCGGCCCGCTCGATCCAATGTCGACGACCAGCGGCAGCTGGTGCACAAACTTGTAGGGCGTGTGCTGCGGCGTGCCGTCCGGACCGAGCCCCAGCAGCCGGTCCACCATGCGGCCGGCCACGCCCGGCGCCACCCACACGTTGCAGTCGACGATCCACACGACGCCGTCGGCCGGCGCCTCCCGGTAGGCCCGGCTGATGTTGCGGATCTTGGGGTTCGGGCCCAGGTTGCGCACGTGCCCCGCGGCGCCGTGCAGCAAGGGATCCTCTTCCTCGACAAAGACGCGCACGTCCGCGTCGGGAAAGTCGCGGACGATGCGCTCAAACACGGAAAACGCCGGGTCCGTCCGCGACTCGACGCACAGGTGCACGGACAGACGGTCGCGCGGGTACGTCTGGCGGCAGGTCGAGGCGAGGCATTCGTAGAGGCCGGGCTCCAGGCCCTTGGTGGGGCGGATCACGGTGACGTGGGGGACGGCGGCATGGTCGGCCAAGGCCTCGACGGCGGCTCGACGAGGGGGGGACGAGTAGTGGCGGAAGCTGGATTGGGGGGGAACGGGGCGTTAGCGGACGGGACGGGAGAGAAACAGGCGACGGTACCACGACGCGGCTTACAGCTGAAAGATGCCAATGCCTTGGACGACAAAGACGACGGCGGTCCAGACGCCCCAGACGGCAGCAAGTGCCTGCGTCACGAGGTCGAACATGGCATTGTCGGGAGCGCAGCCGACGCGTTGTAGGAGGCGGAGGTCGGGGCGTGAGGAGTGTGAGGAAGAGGCTGCGGCCGAGCTCGAGATGAGGTCGGCAGTTGGTCGAGCTCCGGCTTGGCGGTCCACTTATGGTTGCGCGACGGGCGGTGGAAGAGAGGAGACCGCAGACGTAGTGGTTTTGCGGTCGCGAAGGCGTCTTGGTGTGGCCGAGGTCGAGGTCGAGGTCGAGGTGAAGATCAAGGACGTCGAGGTTGACGATGCGACTGCGCAAAAGGGTGATCTTGGAAGAAACGAAAAATGACAAAAAGGGCAAGCGCAAAGGACAGGTCTAGGGAGCGACGGCGGAAAGGACAGGCAGGGAAGGAACGACGGGCAGCAATGGGCAGCCACCAAGGCAAGATCACATAAGTGCATAAAATACAGAAGACGTCGACCGGAGCGAAGGAGAGACGCCGAAGCATCCGGGCGGGATTGTCGTGGGCTTCGGTGTGTTTTTTTTGTTCTTTTTTTCCGTTTTTCCTTTTTTTTACTTCTGTGGTTCCTGGTTTGTTTGCTGGCTCCTGGGTCCCGCCCCAAATCTCACCGTTGCGCCTGGACGGCGTCAGGGGCACGGACATTGGCGGCTCCCACAGGCCCACAGGTACAGGACAGGTACATGACAGGCCTGAGGCGACCGCCGATCAGGCGCTGGGGTGTGGACCCCCGCTGTATTCGCATTGACAGTGGGCAGGCGAACTGGAGCGGACTACAGGGGCTGGGTGGCTTGTAATTACACATATTTTGACAGCGTCCTCGTTCCTGTTCTCAACCTTGCATCCCTGTCCCACGTTTTTAAATCGCCGGCTGCCTCCGGGGTAAGCGGTTGAGAACGACAACATACGAAGTAATACAGAATAGTGGTTCAAAGAGCGAAATGCATGACACCACAAAGAGAGGCGCATCTTGATTGTGACGGACTGCTTCAGTGGACTTTACTGCACTGCTCAGGGCGTTCGTGCTACAGGGCATCACTGTCAGACTAAGCCAAGGCCTGCAACAATCCGTGTAAGTCCGTTACCAGAAGCAGTAATCAGCTTTGAGCTCCTCTTTATCCTTTTCTTATTCTTTTCTTATTCTTATTCGGGTTGCCAGAGTCGACCGCGTAAAACTTGTGTCTTCTTGTTCGTATTAATTTCATTTTCGTATCCGTTTGTGTAGATATTTCTACTTATGGTCCATGTGAAATCAACCTCTGTTCATTTACTTTTCTCTCTTCATTTACTTTCTCTCTTCCTTTACTTTTTCTCTCTTTGTCTCCTCTCCTCCCTCCTCTCCCTCTCCTCCACGAGCTGCCAACACGGGACAGGCCTACATGTCTCAGTATGTCTCAGTCTGTCCCTCCCGTCGTTCCCTGGTGTGCCTTGCAGCCGTCCCACGCGGACATCCATCCAGAGCTTGTCGCGAGAACGAGGGTGTCACACCAGGCTGGCGTTCACGTGGTCCACCCTTTCCATCGCCACATGTGCATCGCAGCCTTGGAGGGTGACCATCCATCACCTGCGCAAGGCTGGAGGCCCGGCGATGGTGAATAAAAGGCGAAGTAGCAAGTTGTTTAGCAAGTGTTTAGCAAGCTGTTTATTTTGATTTATAAAGTCCATCGCCCATTGCGTCCGCGATAGTCGCTGTACCGTTCTCTCCTGCTCGTATTTGCGTAGGGCCATCTATTTGAATATAATTGCATTGTTTCCTATTGTCTCCTATTGTCTCCATCGCAATCGTCTCCATCGGAGTACACATTGCTACATTGCAGTGCATCAAACCGCTTGCTACGAAATGCCCGGCTCGTTGCGGGACCGTCACCGTGACACGGAGGATAACGGAAACGACAACAACGACAGCAACGACAGCAACATCGAGCACATCATTCGCAGAGTGCTCGCCCTGGCCCTGCACAAGTTTGACAACGGGGGCGACACAAATCGAGAAAGCAGCCGAGACAATCGACCGCCAGCCGACCGCGGCGCCAGCGACAACGACCTCGCCAAACTCGTGCTCGGCCAGGTGGTCCAGTTTGGCATCCGGCGATACCTCAAAAGCCGCGAAAAGAAGCGGGCCACGGCAGCCAAAGCCACGTCCAAGGCGAACATGAGGATACCGAGATTCAGCCTGCCCGGGGCGCAGCCCGAACCACCACCCGGGCCCGTGCCGACCGAGAGAGGACTTGCCGAGAGAGGACTGCGTGAGGGCAACCTCGAGAGAGGGCCAGACCAATACTATCCTCCACCACAACAGCAGCGATCTCCATATCTTCCCCCACCGCACCAACAGCACCGCCTCCGCGACGACTTGGAAGACCGCCGGTATGAACGCCGCGAGCGGTATGAACGGCGACTCGAGCGGGAGCGTCTGGAACAGCTGGAGCGCGAGCGGCTGCGAGGGGGTGACCATCCTGGTCGTTCGGACGGGATGCATCAGACACGGCATCCTCACCAGTCGCCCTCAGATCGCGCCCCATCCTCTGAACAGCCACGGCTGCGACGGGTTCCACGGACGCCTCTTCCAAAGAGCTATCCGACGTCGTCATTTCCAGAGGCAAGAGAGCCTATGCGAGATTGGGGTGAACAGAGGGAAGAGCAGCAGCAGCAGCAGCAGCAGCAGCCGCAACCATCGCCACCATCACAGCCCCCGCGAGACGTTGCCCGCGAGCAGAGGGCGTACCAGAGACGGCAAGAGTCATTTGGTGCGACGCCGCGACCGTTTCCCGAAGATCTGCTTGGAAACGGTCCCGGCCGCGGCCGATACAGATACGCGAGAATGCCATCACAAGTAGACGACGACACCGTCCCGCACCCACACCCGCACCCGCCACCTCCGCCACCTCCGCCACCCCCCTTTTCCTGGGAGTCGGTGCCCATCTACCCGCCCGTCCCGAGGGAGGCCCAGAGGGAGACCAAAAGAGAAGCGCCCAACGAGTCCCGCAGGCCAGCAGCCGCCCGCCCCGCCGACCTGCCCACGCCGCCCATCTCGCCCCAAAAGACACCGGCCGCCACCGACAGGCACGCGGCGCCCGCCGACGTCCACGCCCACGTGCGCCGTGCGCTCGACGACCTGCTGGTGCAGCTCCGCCGGACAGACAGCGTCGTCTACCGCGCCATGTACCGGCCGCCCGTCGTCGGGGACCACCGCCATCGCCACAGCCACGCGCGGGGCCAGTTCCTCTTTCACGCAGCCGACCTGCAGCGGTCGATTGCCCAAACCAAGGCCGAGATACGGGGGCTGCAGGGAGTCCTGGGCATGGAGAGCAGAGACGGGCCAGAAAGGGACGGACGAGAAGGGGACGAACCCGACGGAAGACGAGAGGGGCGAGACAGGGGGAAAGAGGCGAGAAGAGGACGGGAGAAGGGGAGAGAAGGGACGAGAGAAGCAGGTGGCTATGCAAATGCCCGGTGAGGAAGAAACAGATCGGCGTGACGGACCGTGGTTTTGCTGCACATGTAGACCATCAAGCAACGAATGCTGCTACTATGCTGTGTCCTTGCCTGTATACTTTATATTGTGCTCCTTCTCCTCATGTATATGCTTCCTGCTTGTTCCTCGCCTTGTCTGCCAGCTTCGTTCCGACCAGAGTCTCATATCGTCCCCAGCCACAGACAAAGCAAGAGTACTACGGACGAGTACATCCATATGTGTCGTTAGGGCTTCAGGCGTCGACTCCGCGAGTAATTCAGTGGCTTCAGCGTGCTTGGCACTGCGGACCATTCTGCGTCTCCGGGACAGAGCAGAGCATTAAAACATAGTGTGGACGGTATTGCCGCTGAAGGGCGATAAATTCCGACATTATTCATAGTAAAAGGCACAGTGACAACAGATTGGAGCAAGGCTTTATCTTGTGAATGAATCCAGCGTTGACATAAACATCTCCGTGAATTGATGAGGGTAAATCGTAAGCGATGATTCACGCCAAAGCCGATGGCTGCTGCCTTCCTAAAACGGGAGCCCCGCAGAGGATCAACATGACGGTCGTGCTTTCTTTCCGCTGCCATTGAGGAACAAAAACAGAACCGAAAGAAAACAAAAAAAGACAAAAAGACAAAAAAGAGACAAAACATACTTGACAACTTTATCAATTACCACTTCGTCCTGACATCACACCTCTCGTCATGACCATCGCGGCCGCCTGCCACTGCGGCCGTGTCCGCATCGTCGCCCCCGGGCCGCCCGACTACCGCAACGAGTGCTCCTGCTCCGTCTGCTACAAGTACGGCGCCCTCTGGGCCTACTACAAGACCGCCAGCATCACTATTGAGGTCGAGGGCCACCCGTCCGTGTCCGCCGCCGCGCCCGCCGCCCAGTCGGCCGAGCCGCTGCCGGGGCTGGCGACGTATGTGCGCGCCGACGACGACGGCACGCGGGCGAGCCTGGCGTTTGTGCGGTGTGCGCACTGCGGGTGCATGACGCACTGGACGTGCATTGCGGGCGAGGCGAGCGAAGACCACGAGACGATTGGGGTGAACAGCCGGCTGATGGAGGAGCGGGCGCTGGTGGGTGTGGAGCGGCGGCAGTCGCCGGGGCCGGAGTGAGGGAGAGTAGCTGAGAGAGTAGCTGAGAGAGCAGCTGAGAGAGTAGCTGAGAAGCGGCTACTCTCTGTGTATACTGTTACTGAGAATTCGTGTAATAGTTGGGCTACGACAATGGCGAGGACAGCGAAGACAGCAGCGACAGCGACGACGGCAGTGATGACGATAGCATGGAGTATGTTTGTAGTTTGGATGTATGTAACAAATCGACTATTGAAGACTGAAAACCGCCCCACCTCCCTACAGAGTCACCACCACCTTGGTCGCCGACACGCCAGCCTTGACCATGTCCAGGCCGCCCTGCAGCGCCTCCAGTCCGTGGCCCACAATCTGCGGCGCCGGCGCCACCTGGTACGTCCCGGCCTCGAGCGCGCGGGGGAGGAAGCCGTCCGTGCCCAAGAACGACTGCGTAAACGCCGGGTCTTCGTGCACGCCTTCAACAAACTTGCCCTCGACGCCCGCCGGCACGCCCCCGGGCGGCATCACCATGGTCAGGGCCAAGAACGGCCGCGCCTGGCCGCGGACGACGTCGGCGCAGGCCGCAATGATGCCGGCAAACGCGGCGCGCTGGGTGCCGCCGTTGCAAAACGCGCCGACCACGGTCTTGCCCGCGGCGGCGGCCTTGATGTCGTCGACCACGGTCGGCGAGCCGTAGTCGAAGACGTGCGCGGCGCCGAGCGCCTTGGCCGCGGCGAACCGCGCCGGCGAGGCCGTCGTAATCACCTCGTAGCCGGCCCGCGCGGCCATCTGCACGGCCTGGCTGCCGACGCTGGTGGACGCGCCCCAGATGAGGACGACCTCGGGGGACCCGGCGGCCGGGGCAGGGGGAGGACCGGTCGGCGACGGCGTCCGCAAGTTCAGGTACGTGGGGTGGAACAGCCCAAACATGGCCACCATGACGCCCATCGGCAGCGACGCCGCCGCCGCAAACGGCACCGCCGCCGGCACCCGGTACGCCATGTGCGCCTCCAGCACCACCCGCTCCTGGAAGCCCGCCCGCAGGCTCAGGCCGGCCACGCGGTCCCCCACGGCAAACGGCGCGCCGGCGCCGACCTCCTCGACGACGCCCGCCACGTCCTCGCCAAAGACGACCGGGAACTTCAGAAACGAAAAGATGGCCGCGCCGTACGTCTGCATGGCCGCGTCAAACGGGTTGACGGCGACGGCGGCGGTCTTGATGATGACCTTGCCCGCGTCCGGCGGCGACGCGGGGCCGGCCATGTCCTGGACGACGAGGGGAGTGCCAGCGGCCGTGCACACAGCGGCCTTCATTGTGGATAGGTTGGGGGGTGAAGTTGTGTAAGTGGAATGGTGTATGTGGTGAGTGGTGTTTGGGTGAGTGGTGTTGGCGATGTAGTTGGCTCTGAATGGGAGAGGGCAACGACTTTATACTCCTCGAGCTGTTCTGTGCCCTGGGCGTATTGGAGCTGTGCATTATCCTAGGTTGCTGACTGTAGTACACTCGACATCACGCCCTACGCATCCCTAACCAGAACTCCGTCCCGGAAGGACGAACGGCCGCTACGGAGGCAGCGGGTGCCGAGGCGGAATTGGCAGTCTTTGAATTCCGGTCCAATGCCGGCCATTTCGGAGCTAAGAAAGTGAGTCGGCCATAGCAGAAGAGACTATGGCATAAGTCCGTACACGACAAAGATGGCATAGTATAAATAATATTTTGTATAAATAATATAAATAAATGGACTAAACAAAGACAAGAAAGACAAAAGTCAAACAATGGACTTCTGATGAATAATGGTCAAACAAAATAAAAAAGAATTATGGGATACGGAGAATGGCGTATTTCTTCAGCAAGGAATGCATTCCACTTGGTATAGACTTTCTGTTGGCCGGCAATTCTTTCTGTAAAGATACATACGAGTACAACATGAGAATCAATACAGACACATGGCAATCAGTACGTATACCCGGTGAAGGCATCGTCATGAGGCGACTCAAATGAGGCTATTCTGTAAGTTGAGGATGGAAGGCCTCACGATTGGCAACCGCCGCGAACAAGACCCCCAATGGCAACGGCGGTTCGACCCCGCTCTCCCCGAAAGGCCCCAAAAACCATGAGCTCCAGTGCCCCAAGCAAGCTTGGGGGCTACGCTAATACGCCACGACGTCAGGTGCTAGGCAAGCCACACGGCAGCACCAAGGCCCTAAATGGACCCGCACGAGCAGCAACAGTGCCTGGTCCAGAGCCCCTCCTTTTCTAAGATTGCACCTCGCAGCCTTCTCTGTCGTCAACATTGCCCTTCCCACCACCACAACACGAGCATCTCTAGCCACTACGACTTTGCACGACTTGGCCCGAGACACACACGGACACACACGGACACGTCCTGCATGTCAACGCACGAGAGCACGCGCTCCGAGTCAACACCGACTGTCCTCTCAGAGGAAGATGCGAGCGGCCTGCGCCGCGTAGAGAGCATGGAGAAGGAGGAGACGGGTGTCGAGGGAGTCGAGGGAGTCGAGGGTGTCGGATCCGGAGCTGTAGAAGCATCGGGAACTGTGCCGGCAGCAACAGAGCCGGCGGAGTCGGCAGAGTCGGCAGAACCCACAGACAGCGAACCAGCACCAAAACCGTTTGACCCCTTTGACGACCCCGAAGGACTGGGCGATGATGACAAGGATGACAACAACCACAACGACCACAACATTGAAGCGTCCGTCGCCACGCTCAAACCGCCGCGGACACCGCTCGCCGGCCTGTCGCTGGCCCCCTCGTCGGCGGCCTCGACCTACATCGACCCCACGCCCGCCACACCCATGACCTCCCACCCGCCGTCGCGGTCAACGTCCCATGCCGCGTCCCAGCGCTCGCCACAGCGCTCGCCGCAGCGGTCACCCACGCGGTCACCCACGCGGTCCGATGCGGCCGACACCGACGGCGAGGACCGTCGGTACCTCAGCGACGACGACGCCGGCCCGCCCGGTGGCGCCGCGACGCGCCGCTCCGAGATCCAGACCATTATGGAGCAGTTCAGCGGCGACGGCGGCGGGCCCGGCGAAGACGAGGTCATGAGCCCGCGGCTCGAGATTGCGGCGCCCATGCTGGCGCCTCCATTGTCGGTGTCGTCGGCAGCCGCAGCAGGCGGCGTCGGCGTGGGCGGCAGCCACCCGCCGCGCAAATCGAGCCTGGAACCGCTGGCGCCGGGACTGGCGCAGCACATCAAAGAGAGCGTGAAGGCGATGCCGGGCGACGGGGGGGCGGAGGAGGGGGCGGAGGACGGTGGCGAGGACGGGGAGGCCAGAACGACAACGAGTGGCGGAGGCATCGACAAGGGCAAGGGCGAGGACCGCGGACCGCCGGTGCCGCCCAAGGACAGCGAGGCCGGCAAGGACAGCAAAGACGACAAAGATGGCACCGTGGAGGGCGTGGAGGGTGCAGAGGGACGGGCCACGACCGACGACAACGGCCCCCTGTCCCCCACCGTCTCGCTCCACCGTCCACCGCCGCCGGCCCCCGAGCCCGAGCCAAGCCTGCCCTTTGACTTCCACCGCTTCCTCGAGCAGCTGCGGCACAAAAAGGCCGACCCGGTCGCGCGCTACCTCAAGTCGTTTCTGGCCGAGTTTGCCAAGAAGCAGTGGATGGTGCACGAGCAGGTCAAGATCATCAGCGACTTTCTGGCCTTTATCGCCGACAAGATGGCCGTCTGCGAGGTCTGGCGCGACCTGTCGGACGCCGCGTTCGACAACGCCCGCGAGGGCATGGAGAAGCTCGTCATGAACCGCCTGTACGCGCAGACCTTCTCGCCGGCCATCCCGCCGCCCCAGCCCATCCCCGGCGCCCGGCCCAAGCGCCGCGGCGGCGAGCGGCCCATGGGGCCCGGGCGCCGCGGCCAGCACCAGGAAGACGTCGAGCGCGACGAGGTGCTGTCGCAGAAAATCACCATCTACGGCTGGGTGCGCGAGCGCCACCTCGACATTGCGCCCGTCGCGGCCGAGGAGAGCGGCCGGCGCTTCCTGCGCCTGGCCCAGCAGGAGCTGCTCAAGATCAAGACGTACCGCGCGCCGCGCGACAAGATCATCTGCGTGCTCAACTGCTGCAAGGTCATTTTCGGGCTCCTCAAGCACAACAAGGCCGACGAGTCCGCCGACGCCTTCATGCCCCTGCTCATCTACGTCGTGCTCCAGGCCAACCCGGACCACCTCGTCTCCAACGTCCAGTACATCTTGCGCTTCCGCCACCAGGACAAGCTGGCCGGCGAGGCCGGCTACTACCTGTCGTCGCTCATGGGCGCCGTCCAGTTTATCGAAAACATGGACCGCACCACCCTCACCATCACCGACGCCGAGTTTGAGGCCAACGTCGAGGCCGCCGTCTCTGCCATTGCCGAGAAGCACCGCGCGGCGTCGCCGCCGCTGCCCATTCCGCCCGAGGGCGACGCTGACGGCGACGGCAACGGCAACGGGGGCGACGACGAAAAGAGCGCGGGGCGCAAGGCGGCCGGCGCGTCGCTGCTGCCGGGCGAGCCGTCGACACGCACGTCGGCCGATGTGGACCGGCCGAGGACGCCGAGGACGCCGAGGACGCCGAGGACGCCACGAACGGCGAGGCCACGGGAGGGGGGAGTGGAAGGCGGTGACAAAGCAGACGCTGGAGATGGTGACGATGCAGATGCCAACGACGGAGATGCCGACGACGGCGAACGAGACGCCATCACCGGTCTGCTGCGCACCATCCAGCGCCCGCTGAGCACGATTGGCCGCCTGTTTGCCGAGGACCCGGCGTCGCCGACCGACGGCGCCGCCCACCCACGCGGCCGGAGTCCCGGCCGAGACGCCGAGGGCGGCGATCCGGCCACTACCAGTGCCACGGCCAGTGCCACGGCCACACGCAGGCAGGCCCTCTCCGCCGAAGAGGCCGCGGCGCGCCAGGCCAGCGCCGAGACCGCCGAGGCCCAGCGCCTGCACCGCGTCGAGCACGCCAACATTGTCGAGACGCTGGCCGGCATGTTTCCCGACCTGGACCGCGACATCATCAGCGACGTCGTCTACCAGAAGGAAGGGCGGTGCGTTTCCTCTCCGAGCCGCCCAGCTGCGTCACATTCGTTCGTCTCGCTAACAAGTCACTGACAATTCTAGGGTCGGCCTTGCCGTGGACGCGTGTCTCGCGCTGTCGCAGTAATGATGTGGATTGCACGTTGTGTCGTTGTTTTCTCTCTAGTTTCCTCTCTGTCTCTCTCTCTCCAGCGAATACCATTGGCGGATGTTTGCCTTTTTTACTGTCTACTCACATCACACCGCACTCCTTTTCCACCTGTTCCCACCGCCACCAACATTACATCGCCTTGCCCAAATCACGCACGATCCGTACCCCGTAGCCTGCATATAGAACGACAAACTATTGGTACAATACAATACAATCCATGTCGACAACGCCGCCACGGCACTCTCTAAAAATACCAGTCTATGCAGTTAGCAGGAGCACAGCAAAGCCGCAAAAACACGCGCTGCACGTACAGTAGGCGCCCACGGGCAACGACAGCGGCAGCTCGTACGCCCAGTCCGTCTCGGGATTGTAGTCGCGGTGGTTGTGGCGGGCGTGGCCGTGGCCGTGCAGGGAGACAGACGAGTCGGCGTCGCTGTCACTCTCGCCCGCACTCTGGCTCTCCTTGTCCCCCGCGTGGTGCCTCGCCGCGACCGCCTTGCCTTTCTCGGCCGTCGTCAGCGACGTGTCGGACAGCAGCCCCAGGCGACGGAGTGTTGCTGAGGCGGCACCAACGGCGGCGGCCGCGACGGACGAGACGGACGCGACGGCTGACCGTCGGGTCGGGGACGTAGTCCGCGAGGCGGCTTCGGGGGGCGCGAGAACGGAAGACATGGGGTGATTATGGTAATTATAGTAATTATGGTGATTTGGTGATTTGGTGATTTGGTGATCGTGGTGATGATTGTTGATTTGACTGAAGCAGCCAGACTGCTGGACTACGAGCACACACCAACCATTGTCATGGTCAGCCCTACACCCGTCTCGCCCTCTCCCTCGACGCTGACCCGATACACGGGGATCTGGGACGACTGTCAAAACCTGATACGTGGGGCGGCCACCAGCCGTGCCACGCATTCGCCAAGCAGACTTTGCTCGTGGCTTTATTTCTCCGTGATCGACCGTCGTACGGCAGATTATGAAACAGACATGCCACTGATTGGATCAAAATATTCAGAAAAGAGTGAGATGTTCTCAAGAATTGAATAAAGGACAGAGAGCAATAGAGAGCGGCAGAAAGGACAGACAGATCTCTAGAGAACATCGACAAGATCGCCAAAAAGGAGGCTGATAAGGCTCTATGAGGCTGCTTCAAACAGCCGTCACTAGCTACGTAAAGTATCATTGGAGAGTATTTACATAGGAATTCTTGCTGTGCTTAACAACGGTAAAATCCCTTGAATTTTAAAGCATTGTATGGAATTGAACTGAATTGAATCTCATGTTGTTGCTTCAATTGAGATTATGTACAGTGTGTCACACAGTGTGTGTGGTTCATAATACAGTCTTAGTCATCTTACTCCGACCTGGTCCACTTTAGCCGTTTCCCCTTGCCACGGCGCGCCGCGTCTGCAAAATGCCATTCTAAAGCAGTCTCCAATCGCCGCAAAGGATCCATCGAGCAGCCTCGAGGTCCATCGACCAGCGCATCACGACCACGACCACAAAACGAAACACACCAGAGAAACAGCCGCACTGCCAGCCCGCCTGCTGACGGACACAACACGGCTGGCCACGATGGTCGAATACGGGAGGCGCTCTGGGCGCGCTGCAGCTCGACGCGCAGCAGCAGCTCTTGGTAGGTGAAACAGAGAACGTCGCGTCGAGGGCCATCGACTGACAACACGCAGAGCGGACACCCAAGAACGTGGACCCGGCCGAAGACGAAGTCATGGCCGACGTGACCGCTGACGAGGCAGCCGACACCACACACAACGACGACGCACAAGACGACGCACAAGACGACGCACACGACAAAGACGCACCGAACGGCGACAACGACAACCGAAACGGAAACGAAAACGAAAACGCCAACAACGACACGGCCGACGAGGCGTCGGCCCCGGCATCGGGCGTCGCCTCGGCCGCCACCAAGTCGCCCGCGGCGTCGCCCGCGCCCGTCATGATGATCCGCCGCAAACGCCTCGGACGGCCGCCAAAGAACCGGCCGCCAGACTGGGACGGCATGGTCGAGGTGCCCATGAGCGAGAGCGAGATTGCCGCCGCACAGGCCGCCGCCCTCGCCAAGGAGCGCGGCGAGACGCTGACGCCCCGGCGGCGCGGGCGCGGTGGCTGGCGCGGGCGCGGCGGGCGCAAGGGCGACCGCCAGGACGGGCACGGCGGAGGGGGCGGGCCACTGCAGCAGGCGATTGACAAGGACGGTAACGTGGTCGACATTGTCAACGACGAGCTGGACCTGCCCGAGGACCCGGCGGGCGAGACCAAGGTCGACAAGGACGGCAACCTGCAGGGCGGGCGCGAGTACCGCTGCCGCACGTTTACGGTGGCGGGCCGCGGCTCGCGGCTGTACATGCTGTCGACGGAGCCGGCGCGCTGCGTCGGCTTCCGCGACTCGTACCTCTTCTTCACCAAGCACAAGCGCCTCTACAAGATCATTGTCGGCGACGACGAGAAGCGCGACATGATTGAGCGCGACATCATCCCCCACAGCTACAAGGGCCGCGCCATTGGCATCGTGACGGCGCGCTCCGTCTTCCGCGAGTTCGGCGCCCTCATTATTGTCGGCGGCCGCCGCGTCATCGACGACTACACGCTGGCCAACGAGGAGGAGGGCGCGCCGCCCGTCGTCGAGGGCGCCCTCGCCGACCCCAACGACATTGTCGTGCCCGGCGAGCCCTACAACAAGAACCAGTACGTGGCCTGGCACGGCGCCAGTGCCGTGTACCACGCGTCCGGCGGCGGCGGCGGCGGCGGTGGACCGGGCGTCGGTGGCGGCCTTGTCGAGCGTGGCGGCGGCGGCGGGGCCGGCGGCGCCTCGGCGCACGCCCACACGCTCTACAAGGCCGCCGACGCCAAGCGGCGCCGCGTCGCCGTCAACGACTACAACTGGCAGCTCGAGCACGCCCGCGAGGCCAGCAGCTTCAACAGCATGCTGACGGCCGCGCGCGGCACCACGCTCGCCGGCGTCTACGACATCCACACCAACCTGGTCCAGTACCCGGCCAGCATGCAGCCCCAGCGGGCGCGGGCGGTGCTGGTGCAGGACGGCGGGGGTGCCAACGCGGACGCAGACGCAGACGCAGACGCAGACGCAGACGCAGACGCAGACGCGACCACCGTCTTCCCGGTGCTGTCCCCGCTGGTCGCGCGCAACTTTTACGTCGCCGACATGCACCTCGAAACACCCCCCGCCGGCATCGCCCCGGCCGCCTACGACCGCTACCGCATCGACGACGACGGTGATTCTGTCAGCAGCAACAAAAAAGCCGACTGGCTGGCCCCCTTCCAAGGCCTGGCGGCCGTGCCCGACGACATCCGCGCGCTGCTGCCCGCCGAGTGCCGTGCCGCCTTTGACGCCGCCGTCGACAAGGAGCAGGCGTGGTTCGGCCAGTGGGGCCCCGAGGCCACGAGCATGAGCCGCCGGGAGCCCGTCATTGACAAGGCCATTGTGCCGTACGCCATGATGTTGTAGGAGACGGTGGCGGCGGCAAAAGGGGCCGTGGGCGGGGCGGCTGCGAGTGGCGGTGTGGAAAGAAGGTTATTTGCTTGATTTTGGGACGGTGTATGAGGATTTGTTCTTTGTTGTGTCATTGACTTGCGCCAGGGATATGTTTTTGCTTTTTTTTTTTTTGCTTTTGTTGATTTTATGCTGATCCACGTGTGCAAGTACGGATGGACATGGAGACCGGGTTTCTAAAAGGGAGATACTTGATCATGCATTAATCTGATTTCGATAAATTACTTCATATGCATTTTGACGGGTTTTATGTTGTTCACTTTCCAATTTGTGTCTTTTGTAGTCCTTTTCATACTTTTTCCCTTTCTGATTTATTTTGTTTACCAACGTACAGAAGTACTTTTATCGAATTGTGTATTCTTTATTTTGTCTGCCTTTAACAAGAAGTCGAGTCAACTCCACAAAATGAACAGATACTATTTTCTTCCATCAAAATCACCGGGTCTGTCACTGTTATGCAGTGAATCTGAACTTTGCTCTGTCAAGGAGGTGACATGTTGGTACATATTATCACGTGACGTCGTGATCGATGGTGGTTGTGTGAGGCCGACAAGGCTGCCTACCACACCAGGAACTAAACAAGCGCAAACAACAACACAACTCACGATATCTCGAACCAACCATTTTAAGCGCCCGACGCATTCGCGGGCGGCCCGCGACTAGTGTATCGCGATAAGGACGTCTGATTTGCGTCGTCCTCTCCTCGTTCACGACCTCTTCATGGTCGCTGCCTGGCAGACGGTCGCATTGCTGGCGACGTTCATGATTCCAGGGGCATAGGGCTGCATATTTTGGCCAACGCATCAAGTGCCTCAAGTGCATCCATCACGAACGGTCACACAGCACCCAATCATCTCGACGCGCCTTACAACTTCTGAACAAATTTCGCAGTTTCTCCAGTACTAACCGATATACGGCGACCCAAATGCAGGCTGCGCGCTTAACGAGCGGCCCAAACAGATGGCCCCCTGGTGGTCAAGAGGCGCTAGGCAGCGGCGGCTCTGTGTGATCTGTATGGTCTGCGTGAAACCGAGAGTCGACGAGGCCATTTGTGAAGATAAAAAGGGCAGTCGGTCCGCCGTCGTTCACGAGGTACGGCGGAAGCGTATCTGCCGTATCTGCCCTCTATCGATCGTTCCCTGGACGAGGTCCGGGCCAGTTGTCTACCGAAACCGGGTAAAGGAAACACCAAAAAGAACACGTCTTGTTGCGCGAGCAAATGGATCGAAAGGACGCCGACGGCTATGCGATCCCGCGGATCCCCGTATCGCGTGCACGAGCCGACGGTGTCGGCACGGGGTCGCCTCGCAAACGGAAGGCAGTCGACGATCTAGGACCTGAGACCACGGCCGAGTCATCCTCCCCAGTGTCCACTCTGACCGAGTACACGACCGACTCCTTGTCCTCCCCAGTGTCCACCCTGACCGAGTTCACGTTCGAGTCAGTGTCCGCTCCATCATTGTCCTCCCCGTCCGAGTCCACGCTTGGGTCAATGTCCGAAGCGTCCGAGTACGCGCCCTCCTTGTCCTCCCTGTCTGGGTTGCGCACGACTGTGGACGACGATAGCTGCCGCACACTGCTTGCCAGAAACAACATCCACATGCGCTACAGCCGGCTCCCCAAGCCTGCCTACGTGGAGGATGTCGTGGTGCGCATCCGTGACATGCAGCGCGCATCGCCGGAACCTTCGGATGAGGCGTTAGTGAAGAACAAGTGTCTGCGGGAATTGTTCGAGGGTTCACACGAGTCGCAAGTGGAGCTGCACTACATGTACAATGTGTTTCCCATGCCCTCGGACGCCGACGACGACGCGATTGGCGTACGAGCGCGCCTCCCCATGTGCCGGCGGGTGGTCCCCTTTGTGGGTGGCGACGTGCCCAAGTTTCCCGTCCCGACGCCGGACTTGCTGTACGGGTACAACTGCGAAGATGCGTTTCCTGATACGGCCCACCAGAGACAGTTGAGGACGATGTACGATGAGGTGATTGCCTACAACGACTACAGTGTCAGCAATCCTTTTGTGTTTCCCTTCTTTGTCATTGAGTTCAAAGGCGTGGCGGGCAACATACGTGTCGCTAGCAACCAGTGTCTCCGGGGCGCGGCCACGTGTGTCAGCATCGCCGAGACGCTGAATCGGCGGCTGCTTACGCACGCACAAGAACACTCTGTATCGACGGGAGGCACCGACGGCACCGACGGCGTGACGCCCGCAGCCTCCATCGACAGCACGGCATTCAGCGTCGCCATGGACGGGCAGGACGCGCGGCTCTATGTGTCATGGAAACAAGACGAACGCAACTACTACATGACCAACGTGGACTGCTACGCGCTGCGCCGCCCGGACGAGTACAAGCGGTTCCGCCGCATGGTGCGCAACATTGTCGACTGGGGCCGCAGCGACCGGCTCAAGGCCATCCATCGCGGGCTGGACCAGCTGCTCGAGGAGGCCCAGCAGCGCACGCCGGCTCCAGATACGGACGCAGAGGCTGAGGCAGAGGCAGCAGCGATGGATCCGATGGCCATGTCTATGCCAGAGCCGATGCCAGAGCCCACACCGGGCGCGGGTTCCTCCAAGGCGTCCCGTCACCACTCGCCTCCCTCGGGCAAGGGCAGCAGCGGCGGCGGCGGTCGGAGCAAGAAGCCTCGAGCTTGACGAGGCGGTGGTGCTGACACATGTGTCATTTTTTATCATTTTTTTTTTTGGAATTATTTATGACTGACTTCTACGTTGTTGAATAATGACCTCGTTGGATACCTGTTTGGCCTGATTTGACTGTTTGGACACTGTCGTATTGTTTATTCTTTGCTAGTTTCTTGTTTCATTCCACTTACTACTTGCCTTTCGCTACTTGCTTCGCGGACGTGCCTGGCAGCTCTCTCGATTATGCGTCACACAGTTTTGTGACTAGCAGTTGTCTACTGTCTTCCCTCGCTGTATTAATCGAATAACAGGAACCTCTCCCAGATTGCCTTGCCCGAATGTCCCGTCTGCCTTAGCATCGTGCATTGCAGCATGCGCGTCCGCGTCCGGCCAGTGACAACGTCTTCATTCAAGTTGGGCCGCAATGAGCGAGAGAAAGAGGAGGATAGTACATTCCTCCCCCACTGCATCGTCAGTCTTCGACCAGCGATTTATTTTTGCGACCTCGGCCTGCCCTACATCGGGACGACCAGATGCCGCCGATTCCGTTTCATAGCGGGGACTCCAGGGAACATAAAGTGCACTTGGTGATCGCAGTCTAGGCACTTTACGGGAGATTGCTTGTCAAGCCATCATGTAGGGAAATCAAAACAGACAAGCCAAGAGAAAGAAGGGTGTGACGGCTTTGCAGGTGCATGCAAGTCGTTGGTGTCCCCACGTCCATTCAGACTCACAAACGAGCGGTTAACATGCTGAATGAGGAAATGGGGACGCCGGGTCAGTCTTCAGCCTGCAACCAGTGCAGGTCGAACCCGGGATGACCGTCCTAGGTGCATGCCGGGGGGAATTGGACGCACGTTTTGTCGACGTTGTTCCCGAAGCGTTCATTCCCACGTTTCCCACCCACACCTCCTACGACTCCGCGCAGTCCTCATTCCCCAAAGGAACACAAACCGCCGCCCGATATTGCTTCCCCATTTGCACTGCAGCACAGGGGAAGAGAGCAAGAGAGCAAAAGAAAATGCCTCTTCCACGTGATCGTCTGTAAATTGACGGCGGCCAATACGCTTATTACACGCACACACTCTGGACGGTGGCTGTAACCGGTCTTCCAGGCCGACTCATCCATCTTCATTTGGAAGACGGCGATGTTTCCGGGGAAAACAGTCAGAAAGTCAGAAAGTCAGACAGAAAGACAGCAAGGCAGACCAAAGACCCTTCATTTGTCCGTTGCAGGCCCTCGGTTGCCCTGTGTCGCCTTTCCGACGATGCAAGCTCTTTTCGGCATACTCTCGACAATATTGTCCGCAGCGTGGGTTGCAACCCCTCTCCTGCATCCTGCAGCTAGAGTGTAGGAGTGTCTTCGCTCACGCTGACTGCTGTCGGTCTGCAGGTGAGGCGGGGCAAAAGGCAAAAGGCAAAGGGCAAAGGGCAAAAGAGCACTGGATGAGCTACGGACGTACATTGCAACGGTGCCTTCATCTTCTTTCAACGAGTTTGCAGAGAACCCAGACAAACGTCACGAGACGTGACGGGACCATGCAGACGAATACAACAGGGGAAGTGAAAAGAACAAGCGGTCAAGTCGAGCCGATGGACGAGGCGGCGATGGGCGAGGGACGACCACGACGTATCGGACCTTTTTTATTTTTATTTTTTATTTTCTTCTTTTCTTATTTTTATCGTCCACCTGGACAAGGCGACTTCGGGCGTCTGCATCGCATGTGCGGGGCTCGCCTTGACAAATAAGCTCCTTCAGTCATTCCCTCCATCCGTGACACGAGTAGAGGGACGACATGGCTTTTCCTTTCGACGGCATGCAACGGCAGCCGATGTCCTGCTGGGCCTACAGCTTTTCATCGTTACAATGCAATTACTCACAACGGGTGCCTGCTGCTGTGGCACAGCTCCGATTGGCAAAAGCCTGTCCGTCTGGTTATTCTTTTTCAGTCATGAGACGGGCCTGGGCCAGCCTGGGATTATGTTGGGGACGAGGGAAAATAGGCACATTTGCCCAGCGACAAACGGACTGGCCTCGCCCGTTCAGGATCACGAGTTCCGCGAGCTCAAAGTCGACTGTAAGGATGGAGGGCATGCCGCGGGACGAAGGAACAAAATGGCCCCGAATGTCTCCCCCTCTGTCCAACGTGCATTAGCTGGCTGGAGAGAAGCGACAGAACAGCGAGGCAAGGCCGAGAATCGAAAAGGACAATGAGGGGCCTCTTTCGAGTTGGGGTGACAGAATGGAGGGGAAGTCGGAGTACGGAGTTTGTCGTGGAGAGAGGAGCATTGCTGCGCCTCTGATTTGTCAGTTGGCCTTTTAGTTGACCATGCAGTTGACCCTTTCTGACGTCCCCTTGCGGAGCCGTTGCAAAGTTTCTTCGTTTGCAGTCATACTCGAAAAGGAGGCATCTTCTACTTCACCGCTAGAATCGGCCGGAGGCGGCAAAGAGGCTGGAAGCGGCATGACTGGACGATGGATGGGAGTCAGGGAGCACAGAGCACAGGAGCACAGGAGAACGACCAGAACCAGCCGGGCGGCTGTCTGGCGATGCTGAGAGGCTCAGAGGCTCAGAGACTCATCTGGAACAGTCACGTCACACTGCTCCGATTCCACACTTCACTGTGATTCACAGTGTGATTCAAAAAAAAAAAAGTCTAGGCTTCTCCAGAGGCAAAACACGTATTGCGTATTACTTTATAATTACGTAGATGCTGATGCTGGAGATGCTGTTGAGCTGAGGACAGGCGGCAATATTATTTTATTTTATTTTTACACAGCGCTGCCTTGGCCTCTAGGCAGCGAGGCACCGTATTGGACAGCGCGCTCTCCCGAGAGTCTGAGTTCGGCTCGTCTCGGTAGACACGGCTGTGCGTCCGTGTGATCTGTGATTCCTGTTTCTGTTCTTCGCACACACACCTCCATCTCGCTGAACAACGACGTCAACCTGTGGCAAAGAATGACGAGGAGGCGTCGGCGTCGCGGACGTCGAGGACGTTGAGGTTGTCTCGTATAGTGTTCGCCCGTCTTTGATACGACGTGAAAGATGGAGGATGAACCTGCTGCCTTCACCCCTACAACATGGCATTCCTGTTTTGCTCACTTCTTGCACTTGTCTCTTGGACGAGAAACAAGAAACGATAGATACGGCATCGGTCATTGCAAACATGACCGCACCAGCGCATGCCAGGGTAAGCCTCACTGCTTGATCTTTAACACGACTGCGGCCAGGCCTTTTTCAGCTGGCGAGCATCTGCTGCTGCTGTTTTTGGCACACCCAATTCATGATGACGGGTGATCCTGCGGAGGAATTACAACGTGGAGAGTCTGAGCTGAGCCCACGCACAGGCCAGCCTGCAAGGGTGATCATACTCAGACGGTAACTTACTGTAGCAACATCTGAGCACCTACAGCAGGGGCAGCCCTTGCACTGTCCCACGCTGCAGCAGAGGAGCAGAGCAGGCTGACAGACAGGGCTGTGCTTATTGGGGGCCAACAGTCATACCATTCATATGTTATGTTACGCTGCCACCATCGTGAACAAAGATATCTTACCGACACAAAACGGGAAGCTGCCATCTGCCTACCTTTTCTAGCTAGATCTGTCTGTAGGAGTGCCTGTAGGAGCTGCCTGTTTGAGCGCCAGAATACCCGTGGTTATGCATGAAGAGCATCTTCACCTTTTTATGTCATATGTTCAGGTACGACACAGCATGTAGTGGAGATTCGCAGCGGCGTGTTTCTTCCTCCGTGTGTGCGAATGGCCTACTCGGACTGCTGTAAAGACGACACGCAAGCAAGAAAAGGCCAAGGCTACGACGATGCAGACTCCATTCTGTTGCGTAAAAGTTGAGCGGCAGGGGTGGCTGTGATTTTTTATTTTAGTTGATTTTTAGTGGGCAACACTATTGAGAAATCGACTGTGTTAGACCCAGCCTGCCATCAAGGACCACTGTTTTCTTTTTTCTTTCTTTTTTTTCTGCAGTGGCATTTTGTGGACACTGCCGGTGGATGCTCTGCAAATATCAAAATTGTGGTTGGTGGCTTTGGGGCCTGTGGATCGAGCGAACTGGCTTGACGTTGCCGCCTGTAGCGTACAATGTATGTCTTGGAGCGGCAGAGGGCTTGTCAAAGACGGATAACGATGTCATGAAAGGCCCAACTTGAAAGGAATGCTTGCTCAGCTGTCATAAACGACAACGGTTGCATTCATTGTTCCCAATAAAAACGGGAGTCATATGTCAGCCCAGCAGAGCAGCACCAGCCCAGCACAACCGGCCCAGACGTTGCGATCCGGGCGACTGGTGTCTGGTGTCTAGTATTTGGCCCACCCGAACCCTTCTGTGCACTGGAGAGATGGTGTGGGTGGAGAAGGAAGAAAAGGAACAAAAGGTTGGGCGTGAATTGGATGTGAATTTGTGAATTTGGTGTGAATTTGATGCCACTGGCGTGAACCGGCCTCTTGTGAAAAAGGGGCTGTCCGTTGTGAAACGGTCGACATAAAACGGAGACGCCAGTCGTAAACGGAGACAAAACGGACCTAGCTTCCTGGTCGCCAAAACAACAACAAACCGGGAGGCGAGACAAGCGAGACACAATCACCAAAAGTGTGAAATCACAATCAGCCACCGTTCAGGCCTGACCAACGAGAAGCCACAGAGACGGGGCCGCTCCAAAATGGAAATGAGCCGATGAGTCTCCTAATCAGCATTCAGGGTCTTTCGTCTTGAAAGAACGCAGCACAAAAAGGAGAGTCGACAAATGTAATTCGTAGTACGACGCATTACTACGACGATCAGTCATGAAAGAGAGTCACGGAGGACAGGAACAACAGGACAACCCAGTAGCACAATGACAAAACGAGGACAGAGCGGACTGTGCAAAGAAAATGCTGCAACAGAACTGCAACAGAACTGCAGCAGACCTCTACCATGTTGTGCACCGCTCGGCAACGTAGCCGAGCCAGACAGATCCGACTTGTGTTTGGTGATGCCCTGTTTGAGAGAACGCGATGCCTTGGTCATTGTTTTGATATTGGCCTCCTGTATTGAAGGGTTTGCACGTGGTCCTTCATTTGCATTTAAACGCGGCTTCTTCATCTTCTGGAATGAGTGGCCTGTCCCTCTGTATTGCCCATGTTTATGCAACGTGTGACGCGTCGTCTCCTTCGCTCTCGCTGTGCACGGCAGAAGAGACACACTGACACTCTAGTAAAATGAGCATGGAATTTCGGTGGATGAATTTCCGGGGGATTGCTCCGGACGTCTGACATGGCACTCATATGCAATTTACACAGCAACGGCCTGCATCAACCCATATTGCCCTATAGCAACCCCATACGCCCTCTGCTATTGCGACAGGAACGCCAGGAACGCGAGCAACGCCAGGAACGAAAGCGGGCTGGTCTTTATTGACTGACATTCGAGTCGTCTCCGGAGTAAAGAATACTTCGTTTTCCACAGTGCTTTCATTTTGGTATGCCCGCCCCAGAACGGACGCTATTTTGGGACCTCATTTGGTGTGCCTCATCTCGCGTGGACAACAAATGAAGACGTCGCGCCGTCCGACTGGCGTCCCAAGGCCAAACACGACAACAAAAACCCTTGCGGATATTCTGATCTGCTGCAAACGACAAACACAGCCTACGACGCAGATGGACACCCTGATCGTCACAGCGGAGAGGACTGCGTACGAGAACCAAGACGGAGCGGGCAGGGATGGAAACGATACAAGAGAGGCCAACAAAGACCGTTGCACTGTGGACGTGCCTGTCAACGTCCAGGGGCAACGTTTAGAAATTACAGCGGACGTCGTAATACTATGTAGGGGGCCATGGTGAATGTGCCCTTTTCCGTGGTCCCTCCCAAATATCCGAAACGAACCTCCCAAACGACGGCGAAACGACGGCGAGGCAGCAAAACGAAAAGAAGAGTACGGAGGATTGCGTCGCCAGAGAGCAACAGACCGCCCGCACGGCTCAGGAGACAGATCCCTCCACCCGTCGCGGGAACATCAGACGAAGGAAAAACCAAGCACGACAATCCATGCTGTGTTCTTTGCGGGCAGTCTTTTGGCTCTGGGCTTTGCCTTGGTAAGCTGCCGTCACGAAGAAGCGGTCTGGCTAATCGGATCGTCTGGGTCCCGCCGTGGTTGGGGCTTTTTGGGTGCCTGCATGTCTGTTTCTGGATGGCCCTTGGCGAACCGGCTGGATCTTCTGCGAGTACGAAGTACATGTATTCGCCTTCTCTTCTGTTTTCCGCTTGAGGAAAATGAATTCTGAGGATGCCGACAAACATTTCTCGTCTGGGCTGACCTTTCTTGCTAGTCCATCCCAGCACAAGTCGTAAAATAAAGGGGAATGGGGCCACATTGCAAATTGCATCCGCTCGTCATGGGTTGGGCCTGGCCGTTGAGATTTTCTTCGAGAACGTGTTTGTCGTTGTCCCCTTTTCCGTATGCCGCAATTGTCAACTTACCCTTTCCAGCATTCCGGTTCAATGGACCCTGGAGTTATTCGACAACGACTGCAGCCCGTTTCTGGCCGGCCGGTGCCTTTTTCTCTTCATCTCCTCTTTTTATTTACTTTTATTGGTTCTCTCGGCGCTCTACTTCTGTACTTTGCAGGAAATCCCTCACTCTGGAGCAGCAGCTTTTCTTTGTCAACGCAACAAAACGGACTAGAAACCGTCTTGAGACCAGCCGTGCAGGACCGAGGATCCATCTTCTCCAGTCCCCATGCACCATGCGATGCAGGAGGACGACACCGGAGGAGACAGGAGCTTGTCTGTTCCTGTCTGTCCGTGTCTGTCCCTGCTGCCTCTGCCAACTCCTTCATTCTCGCCGCCTGGTCGGTTTCTCAAACATGTTCACGGCAGCCTATCCGGGCCATCAACGTGAACCAAACTCGTCACCAAACATGCCTGTTCAATTTCTGGAGTTATTTCGACGTCCCTGGCTCACGCCAATTTTGATACAGCACCCCTGTTTTCCAAACAAACGTGCGAAATACTGTACAGAGAGACCCTCAACACGACTCCACTGCTTCCATGAGCCAGTGCCTTGTTCCTTCCTGTTTTTAGTTTTCGTGACGTTGCAAGGGTCGCCACACTGTGTAACGAACAGTTCTACACTGTATAATGACAAAGTGGTGGCCTGCACATCAAACCGGTTTCTGCGCGGCACACAGTGTCAAATGCAGAATGTGTCTGCCCGACAAGCAAGGAAAGGCAAGAACAGCAAGAACAACAAGAACAGGCAGGAGCCAAGTCGCCCCCATTCACGACGCCTCATTCGTCCAGGCCCTGGGCACTGGGTCGGTCCACCCAATGGGCTCCACACCCCCTATTCTTTCGACGAGTCGTTTTTGGGGTTTTTGGTATTCTGGGCTGGTCGTTCTTTCCTTCCTTTCCTGCCTCCTGCTTCTTCCTCGCCGCCTTCCATTTTCCCTCGCCCCGTTCTTGCCGCCGCCCCCAGCCGTTCCTTCTCTCAAAGAGACCTGGAGACTAAAACTCGTTCTGTCTCTGCACTGACCCACCTAGAACGAGACGATGCACGGGTTCAATACGGAAAGAACATATTACGGAGAAATGAACGTCGTATTCAACAGGTACGTGGTACGCAGGCACTCCACCGTTCAACGCCCATCTTCAAGTACCGGGCTAAACGGTCGTTTTTCCTACTGCACCCGACACGACCGTTTTGTCTTGGCAGACGCGAACGAGGCGAATGACCTCAAGTCTCGACTGCAGGAAAATCTTGATAGGTCGACTAGTTGAAGGGCCAAAAAAATGTGAAGATGACCAAAATGACAGCCGACGACCTAAATAAAGGACAATTCCACACACAAATGCCTCCCTCTACTTGTTCGCCGTCAAAAGTGCCCACCAGTAGGCTGTGCCAAAAGTATGTGGTACTGTATCTTATCATACATTACAAGGGCAAAAGTACTTGCTACGTACCTGTCTCTACGTGCCTGTTTGACTTTGTCCAGTGCTACGCCGCAATATAATAATTACAGTGCTTGTCAGGTGCTTGTCACTGTTCTTTGAAGGTCTGCCCAGGTGGTGCCTTCTCTCTGGCGAGCTGCAAACCAAAATGGCTCATGCCCGCCGAACGGCCATCGTCTCGGCATGCCATACGTCAAAACGGTCAAGTATCGGAAACAACAAAATCGGTGAATGCGTTCAAAGGCATGTGAGTTGGGTGCGTTGGAGGATGGAGGACGAGACAACTCTCGTCGCGAAATTGATTTCAGTACCAAGACTGCATCTGAGTCTGACTGCGGCGGAGCGACGAGACATTAATGATTACGCCCGTTATGGGGCCTGGGCCTTTCCCAGGGGACTGATTTCACTGCCACGCACTTTCGCCGCAGCGAGAATAGGCCCTGTAAATTGCAACGGAGCAAAAACGTACTTTGTAGACATCCTTGGTCCTCTCGACGGGCACACCGCCCCGTCCTATTTTGCAGTCGCTCTTTCCGGCTTCTCCTGTCATGCACCCACACCAGGAGACCAGCGCGCTCTCCGCCCTCGCCGCCCCAAATTCGCCCATGCTCCATTCCGTTTTCGCCCTCCACTAGAACGCCGTCCGCTGCAGTGTTTTTCTAGTGTGTTTTTTGTTGTCCGAGTTTTCTGGGGCCTCGCTCTTCGTGCTTTTGTTTTCGCAGCCTCTCGTTCGCTCCTTCCTGCCCCCGTTGCCCCCCCATCGCCCCCCGTCTCTCTGCTGCCTTTATTTCGTACAGAATACAGTGGTACCTCTCCACTTCGTCATCCCAACCCTTCTCTGCCTGCCCTCGCCTTCCTCCTTTCGACCCCCATCCTTTTCCCGCTCCGTTTTCTCCGTCACTACTGTACGTCTTCGCCCTCCTTCGTCGTGTCCCCATCGCTCCTTCCCTTCCCATTCTTTTTTTGTGTCGTCTCCAGTTTTCTGTTTTCCTCTCTTTCCTCTTTCCTCTTTCTCTCACGACTCCCCTCCATCTCTTTCTCCCTTCTCCTCGCTCTTTTCTTTTTCTCTTCACCTCGTGTTTCGTCCATTTCTCCTTTTCCCTCTCTCCCCTCATCTCTTTCTTTCTCGTCTGTCGCGATCGCAGGAATACGTCTACGTGGTTTCTGTATCTTTTTCTTCTTGCTCGCCTCTCCTCCTTCGCGTTCCTTCTCTCGACGAAACCAACCGACAAATCCCATCACGACGACCAAATTCACTTTTGTGTTGTTGTTGTATCCGCCCTGTTTGGTCCTACGTTCCGACTTTCGACTCTCAATCTTCTCCCAATCCTCCAGTCCTCCCAATCCTCGACTCGATACACTCGGTTCACTTGGACACTGAACGGGACAACAACACGCACGGCATTGGACAGCTTGAACAAGCCGTGGCAACAACCGAAACCTTCTGGACGAACGTTTCCTGATTGCTCTGCTCTTCTTACCACGCTTTCTTGTTCACGAACCTCGAAAAACCTATAAACGACGTATTTTTTGCACATCCTTTCGTTTCCCTCGCCAAAAGTTTCTCTGTCTTGCTTGCTTTTTGCATCCTTCCCCTAAGCTTTCGATATCCTTTTTTTGATAACTGCTATCTCGACTGCTCTTCAACCCCTGTTTACTACGAACGAACCTTTTTCTACGACTTCGCCATACCTACGTCTTTGCCTTGCGTTTTCAACGAACCACCAGCTTTTCTTCCCCAGCGACAGCCAGCTCGTCCCTGTTTACAGGTCAGTTCACTCAAACTGTCTGCAGCTCGGCTACTTTGTTGCCGTTGCCTCAGCAAAACAGAATCAATCGATCTCGATGCCGCTTTCTTTTCATCGAGGATCAAAGTGAAGTGACGCGGTTCTAACATTGATTTGTTCCATCAGCACTTGCGTTATTTTGCATCTTTCGAATCAATTATCGATACCGCTGCCGGTGTACGCCTTTGTGTCCTCCGGTCCTTCGATCTCGTTCATCTTCTTGCAACGAGGACACTTCGACCCTCAAGGTTCAATAGTACCACCTATCCCTGACAGCTGCATTATCGAAACCGATTACCTATGGCTTGCTTCTCGAATTAAAGCAGTTGCAAAACTTCTTTCCGATCGTTTCGATCGCTCTTTTTGCGTCTTCTTCCGCCCTCTGGACTCGTACCGATTTCGTTGGCGAGTAAGTCGAGTTTTGTTCGAATAACTCCCCACTTGCTCTCCATCTCCTCTGTTCCCGAGTGCCTTGAAGTAGACCAAATTTGCCTCTTTTCATCTTTATCTACTATCCCTACGTTCCTGGATTGATTTCGTTCGGTCCCATCGCAAGGCCCAACGAAATCATTCTTCCTTCTCCTCACACCAACCGCCAAGATGCCTGGAGGCGTTTGTGCCGTGCTCGACTACGAGGTCGAGCTGATGGCCGAATACGTCGCCGAGATGTCCACCCGCCTCGCCATGGGCACGTCAAGAGCCCCTGACTCTTTCCGCAAGTTCATCTCGCAGATCTTGTCATCGACCCGTCTGCCACGCACGACCATCCTGCTGGGCATGAACTACTTTGCGAAGCGCATCAACATGATGAACATGATGAGCTCGGGCCAGCTCACGCTGTCAGAGGGCCATGTCTGGCGCCTGTTGACCGTGGCGCTGCTGCTTGGTAGCAAGTTCCTCGACGACAACACCTTCCAGAACCGCTCGTGGGCCGATGTCAGCGGCATCCCCGTTCGTGAGCTCAACAAGCTGGAGCGCGAGTGGATGGACGCCATTGGCTGGTGCCTGTACGTCAACCTCGACCGCAGCGAGGATTACACTGCCTGGATCAACAGCTGGCGCGACTGGGAGGCTGGCAAGAAGCGCATGCAGAGACTGGCTTCGATGACCATGCCCATCGACACGGACTACGCCAACAACGTGGCCCGCCACAACAGCACCGTTGCCTACAACACATGGCACCAGGAGCAGATTGCCGAGTACGAGCGCCTGTCAAGAGTTAAGCGCAACGAGCAGGCCATGCAGCAGAACTACCGTGCCCACGACCAACAATCATCATGTTGGCCCTACCAGCCACACGCTGATCCGTGGTCCGCGGCTCCTCTGACACCGCCCGACTCTGGCTACGGTACTCCCGACTACATGAACTCGGCCGCTGCGATGAACACGCAGTACGACGATTGGTTCAACCAGCAGGCACAGCAGGCTGCCAACCGCGCCGCTGCAAACGTCACATACGGTGCCGCCGGCCGTCATCACCACCAGGCTCAGCCGTACCCCATCTCCGCCAACCCCACGCCCTACCACTCCCGCAACGTCCCGGCCAAGCTGCCCACGTACAACTTCTACGGTCACAACATCTGGGAGAACAGTGTTGACAGCGCAGTGAACGGCATGAACGGCATGAACTGCATGCCCCACGGCCACATGGGCAAGCAGGCATCCTATTTTGGCGTCTCGCACCCCTATGGCCAACCTGTGATGGGCTAAGGTGCCAGCGGCTCCCGACTTGCTTTGGCGCCAGCTTGGCTCCTCTTAGCGCTTGATTTTCAAACATCAGTGTCACGATACACTGACAAAAAAGCACGCATGATTTGATGTTTCGGACATTGATTTTTCATTTTCCTTTCTCGGTTTCTTTTTCATTGTTCTGCCTTTCCTGTTCTGGCCGCCGACCATTATTTTTTTTATTCAACCTTTCGAAGCACTCGACACCAACCATACCGGCGTCCGTCCCACTTTTACCAACAAGAGGGGGATATTTGCAGGGTTGGTTGTCTTTCGTCGACATTCGTACCATTTTCTTACGGCTTTCCTTCCGTCTTCTTTTTCGATTTAATGACTTGACATACGGCTTTTTGCGTTTTTCGACACCCATACACACATCATCTACTGGCGTTTTTGCGGATTCTGATTTTGCGCCCTAATATCCCCCCGGTTTGGATCCTTTCGGACTTTTCTTGGCATCACATTAAAACGGTCTTGATTTTTTTTGCCTCCTGGTTTATATTCAGTTTTATCATTTTTTTCTTTGGTGTCTTTTTTCTTTGACCCCATATTTTTCCTCGTCCGAAGTTGGCCACAAGCCTAAAATATTTACGATAAAACAAACACGTTACGACTTTTATTACAACAAAAAGACCAAAAAAAGGAAGCGGTTGGCACAGCCTTTTCAACGAAGCCATTTTCTTTGATGCCTCCATTTTACGGGCACCTTTTTTTCCTTCCCGGGAAGAATGCAAATGCACCGGCCACGATATTCCGATAACCTGGAAATCACGGACGCGATAAGGGCTGGTGGCACGATATGATGCAGTGGGCCGTCGACAACCGTATTGGATATGGGACCACAATTTGACCTTGGATTGTGCACCTTTTTACTGACCAACACTACGAAAACGGACCGTCTGCAGCTTACCTACACCATCTCTCGATCGACTTCATTGGCCACATCGTTCGACATGAACCACGCTCATGTAGAGACCCAACGACATCAGCGTCCACTGTCACTCGGCCTCTTCCTTGCATCCAAAAGTTTCTTGCGGGCCATTTTTTTCTGGTTCTTTTTTTTCCTTGGGTCTTTCATCTTTCTATTTTTTCATGTGTTTATATGTTCTTTACATTGCACTTATTTTCCTGAAAGGAGGTGGGAATAGGCTATCTGCGTCTTTGTCGGCTTTTTTTGCTTCATTCTGATTACACTTCATTGCATCACGTTCGCGGTGTCGTTGAGTTTTGCCTTTTGGGTTCCGGTTCTGTTTCATGACAACCTATTTCATCGTTTTGTTTATTTTCTTTGAGTCGTTTTGGTCACTTTTATTTCTTCTTCCGCCGAGCATTACTTTGTTGGGCCTTGGCCGGTAGAGATCATCTTGCTGTCTACCGCTTCATGGCCAACGATATGCCGAGCGCCTCTTTTTATTTCTTATGGAAACCCATTTTATATTATTTTTATTTTTTTTCATTCTCATGGTCCTATCCCTCCCGCTCGCTACCTTTTTAGATACACATGCGGCTCCCAGCCATGGCTTGGGCTTGCATGTCTTTGATACCTATTATTGATTCACTCAATCCATTTTACTACCATTCATTCGCTCTACTTGGTTCTGGTGCCCTTTTTTCCCTATGTGTCATGCTTCTTTGTTTTGCCTTTTTTTTTTCGATTCCCTGCTTCTCTTTTTGCATCTTCACCGCCTGTACTACTGCAGTGTTTTTCTCTTTTTCGTCTTCTTATACCTCTTTGCCCTATGACGTTTTTGATGAATTTTTCTCGGGTTTTTTTATATATATTTTTTCTTACTAGGACATTGTGAGATCCTTTAAAACTGGGGCATGTTTTTCACATAGTTTATACCTATACCAAATCCCAAAAAACCACTTTGTTGCAATAATTTGTTAATGACAATGCCAGTGTTAGAACACCACGTAAAGCGACTTGTACATTCTCTGCTTCTATTTAGAAGCAGAAAGTACAAAGTAGATGTCTGTGTAGGCCATGAGTAGCCCGTAAATTTGTCCGAGACAGCAACAAAAGAAATGTCCAAAATGTGAAAAAAAAAAAAAAAAAAAAAAAAAAAAAAAAATTAAAAAATTAGTGACTAAAGCTTGTGACAGACTAATATTTTCTGCCGTTTCTATTTTGTTCGTACTCCCTACTTTGTACGCCGTACTTCTCTGTTTTTAGTTTCGGCAGCAATAAGTGAAAAGTCTCGTGGTGGCTGAACGAAAAGCAAAAAATAAAAAATAAAAAGGAACTCGGCCTGTGCGTCGTTCGTCCTGGGAACGCTCAAGTGGAGCACTGCTTGTCAACCAATGAGAGTTGATTAGGTAACGACCTCGAATGTGTCTCCACTCTTTTTGTTCCTGGCGCGACAAAGCATCAGTGACGACACCTTCTGGGCAAAGACGACTCTACGCTGTAGTATGACGGACAGCGTACTCGAATCCAGCCATTGGCCTCCGTTTTTGTCGTGTTGCAATTACTTGTACGAATCTTCTAGACAATCCTGCCATGTCCTCCCGCTTCGTGTCGGGCGGCGCAATTGACGCCGCCACCGGCGATGCCGTCGACCTGGCCCAGGTGAAGAAGCAGCAGGCGGCGTCGTCCACGACATTGCCATTGACGGCTGCGCCGACGCCGGCGACGCCGACGCCGGCGGCGGCCCCGACCGCGCGCCAGGCTGAGTGGGCCGCCGTCGAAAAGGAGCTCGAGGCCGAGCGCCAGCGGCGCGCCGCGGCCCGCACGGCACGGGCGTCCGGCGCCGGCCAAGACGAAAAGAGCCTCTACGAGGTGCTGCAGGCCAACAAGGCGGCCAAGCAGGCGGCCTTTGAAGAGGAGCACAGGCTCAAGCACCAGTTCCGGGCGCTCGACGAGGACGAGGTTGCGTTTCTGGACGGCATCGAGGCGGACGCGCGCGCGGCGGCGGCCCGCGTGGCGGCCGAGACGGCGGCCGGGCTGGATGCGTTCCGAGCGGCGCAGACCAAGAAGAGTGGGAGGGGCGACGGGACGGCGGAGGACGCAGAGGAGAAGGAAGGCGACGACAACGATACAATCGACAAGCTTGTGGACGACGGTGGGTGGGCCGTGAGCGGACGGAAACGGAAACGGCGCGCGGACAAGACGGACAGGGCGGGCGCATTCCCGAACCTGAGGCGGAAAGGCAGTTCGACGGAGAAGGAGACGGCGGCGACGAAGGCGGCAGCTGGTTCTTCTGCGTCAGGCACGACACAGGACGCTCCCAAGCCCGCAGCAGCAGCACGCGCACCACCATCAGCTGCTGCATCAAAACCGAAGCCAGCACTTGGGCTCGTCTCCTATGGATCGGACGACGACGACGACGACGACGACGACGACGACAGCGACTGATGACGCTGACAATATGTCCCATGTACGATATTTGTGTTGCTATTTGTGTTCTTGATACCACTTCCGTTGTAGCCGGCCTATTTGACTTGAATTATTCACATGACGCACTGATCTGATTGCCTTGTTTGTAAATGGTCTATTTCCACGTGCCGCCCTTCCACCGCGGTCAAAATGGATGCTTTTATATACTTTTGTGCTGTGCTTTTCCCGACCGCCAGCCTGTAAGAAGGAAGAAGAACAACAAATGCGCAATGACGCAAATTATGGAGATGGGAAGAAGGGAGACAGAAACGGAGGGGAGCTATCTTACAAGAGATGGTGTGTAGACCAAAGACAACGTGGACTACACCAACACTACTCATCGTCCAGGTTGGCCACGTTCGGCCGGAACTTGTCGTCGCCGCGCCACCTGCGGCCCGCCCACCGGCCCAACTGCCGCAGCTTGCCCTTGGTCCACCCTTCGATTTCTGCTTCGGGCACCGTGATGGCGCGCGCCGCCGCCTCGTCGGCCGCCGACAGCACAAACCGCCGCATGCGCTGCCCGATGCGCGGGTCGACGACGACGGGGCGGCGCCACGGCGTGTCGCGCGTCGCCAGCGCCGGGTCGTTCTTGAGGTCCTCGGCGCTGTCGGTCCACGCCGACTTGACCCAGTCCTTCTCCTCGTGCGCGAGCGCCGTCTGCTGCTCGCAGCCGTCGTCCGCGTCGCCAAAGCCCCCGGCGACCGCCTCGCGGTATTCGCGCGTGGCGGTGGCAAAGCAGACGGCGGCGACCTCGCGGCCGATTTCGTCGGCGAGGCGGCGGCGGTGGAGGAAGCGGTAGATGCGGATGGGGGTGTTGAGGAAGCCGAGGAGGTGGGGGAAGGGGATGGGGACGCTGGGGCCGAGCTCGGCGGGGATGAGCCGGGGCAGCGGGCTGGAGGGGTAGTCGTCGACGGAGTTGTAGGGCACGGGTTGGGGCGGGCGTTTGGGGGCGGTGTCCTCGGGCTTCTCGTCCGGCTTGGGTGTTTCTGGGGCGTCCGGGGCGTCCGGGGTCGGTGCTGATGCTGTCGGCGAGGCATCCAAGTCATCGGCCCCTGTTCCTGTGGCGCCGTCTGTGGTCTTATGCTCGGCCGTCCCCACCGGCGCTGCTGCGGGCGCCGGTGCTGGTGCTGGTGCCGTCAACGGACCCAGCCAGCCCTCGTGCAGGCCGCGCACGTACTCCTTCCACGTGTGCCGTCCAACCACAATGTCGCCCTTGACGCCTGCGTACTCGGGGATCCCATTGCGCGCCCGCACCGTCGCCACGACGTCGTCGTCGGTGGGCAGATCAGTCTCTGTTGGCACTTCGGTTGTCGCGGTAACATCTTGCCGCCGTGTCCGCCGCACCCGCTCCGCCACCACGGCCCGCACATCCCCCTGCCGCCGCCCCACCACAAACTCCCAGTCCAGCCCGCTGCTCGCCAGCACCGGCTTGATGTACTCCTTGAAATGCTCCTGCGCCGCCCGCAGCCCGTCCCCCGGCGGCGCCTCCAGGTACACCGTGACGCGCCGCGGCATCGCGCTCGTGTCCGGCAGCAGCTCGCGCGCCAGCGGCGCCACGGCATGCGCCCAGCGCGCCGTGGCGCGTCTCTTCTCGCGGCGGTCGTAGATGATGGCGGCGGCCAGGGTCGAGCTGATGCCCCAAAAGATGAGCCAGTTGCGGGACGGCAGCTTGCGCGGCAGGCTGGGGAGGCCCATCATGCGCAGAGCCGGGTTGACTGGCTTGGCCGGTTTGGCCGGCTCGGGTGCCTGCAAACACCACCATTGCGTTAGCCGTGATAAGAGGAGAGAGGAAAGAGGAAACAAGGAATGGAGGAGAGCATAGAGGGAGGGGGACCCCGCGAGGGACGTACCGGTTTTTGGTCTGCCATGGCGCTGGTGGTGCGGTGTGTGCGCTGTCGAGGTCAATTGCCGTTTGTCCAAGTCGGGTTGCAAAAGTAACGGCCGTCTTGTCGTGGTGTGCGGTCGTGTCGTGTGATGCACTGCGTCTCCCTCCACGAAACGACGTCAAATGGAGGGGACCGACAAAAAAAAAAAAAAAAAAAAAACCTGATAAAAAAGTGGCCTATCCGATAAGCGCATCGCCCTGCCCGCCGGCATGACCCGTACTGGCAGGCGGGACTGGCCCGTACGTGATGACTAAGCAGATCTATAAACAGTTTTCGGGGAAGAGGCACTTTCATCTCATTATGAACAACACAGATGCCAATCACGCTGCGGTCAGCCATCGATCTGGTTGCGTTATGTAGGAGCACCCAAATACCCAGTAGACATAAATACATGCAGGTTTCCTAGCCAAAGACCGCTGCTTGACCACTCCGTTGGGCTCGCGCGCCGACCTGGTTATGGATAAACGAATGAATTGACTGGATTGCACATTACCAGCAGCCAGCATGGCGGATGGTCTTTCCTAGTCTCTTGGAAGGGGCGACACCGCGATTGTAGACTTTGTTTGAATGTACGTCATGCGACCTCATGAGTGCTGTCGAGTCGTTCATAGGGAGAGGAGTTGTGAATGATATGGACAAAGGAGATTCATAATGAAACCAGGAACATGGACGATGATCTGTTTACAGCATGCCCAGAACAGCTACACGGGATCCATTGCATTCCTGAACTTGGAAGCTTCTTTCGTATAAGTTACGAGCACGACAGTTCTGAGTGGCCAGTTCGTCGACGTCTATCCGAGACGCGCATTTTCTGCTCTTCAACGTCCTTGTCCGCCCGCGTACGTCTTGCTTCCTTTCCTGCGTATCTCATGTCACTTCGGGCCCTTGGTCCTCTGGTCGTAGTAGATCGGTTAGCAGGTCTGCTCTATGCTACAGTATGTCGTGCGTCGTACTGTTTTGCATCTCAGGCGACCACGCGGTGCGTGTGCATCGAACGATTCCCGGCCACACAGGCTGGGCAGGTCCCAGAGCGTCAATCGTCGAGCGTCGAGCCCCAGAACGCCGGGTACCTTGGCAAAATCATGACTGGCAAATGGATTGGACATCACTTGCAGCCACAAAACACATTTCGGTTGCGGCCGTGTTGATCGCAGCCTGCACGCCGATCGGTCGTACCTATGTACATGTACGACGTACATACACAGCACGCCGTCTGGCCGTGCACCTGCAGCGACAAAATCCCAGTCAAATCGCTTGCCAAGCCGGTCCGTTGTATGCTGCCGCTTGGCGAGAAAACCAAATAAAACGGATAAATGGAAAAGTGGCAAAGAATGGCAATTCCCCAAGAGAGAGGGAGGGGCGTGTAGTTTCCAGACCGTTGGATGTACTTCCTTCATGTACGAATCAAAGGTTTTACGAACAGACAAAAGATGGCAAACAAACGTCAAAAGACAAAAGTCAAAAGACAATCTGCCGACAGAGCTGTAGCGTTCTTTTCCTCACCCTTGCGTCTTGTGCCAACGATTGCTGGTGACAAACGCCGTACAAAGTATGTTTGTTTGTTTGGGAGCCTCCTCTTTCGACCCGTTCAATAGTCTCGTTTCTCGTCCCTGGTCCCCTTTCTCGTCCCTGGTCCCCTCTCCAATTGGCAACTTTTGCATTTAGCCGGTTGGCTTGGCCCTACCCGCCCTTGTATTTTTTTTTTAGAGTAGGATAGCAGACAACTCGACTAAGATTAAACTACACGCCCCCTCCCCCCATTCCCCGTCGACACAAGTTTAGTTCTGTGAGGAGAAAAGAGGGTCTGACCGGTTAAATGTGAATTTGTCGGGATTCTACGAATTATGTGTTTGGCCTTTTTGAGTATTTTCTGATGGATGTCTCTTTCTCTCACTTTGCGGCACGGACTGCTCTTCTGGTGGGATACACTTAACCGTTTGTGGACCTACGAATATACAAGTCAACTGGAGCCGAAGCCGAGGCCGACAACCGTCTCGGTTTATATTATTTCCCATTTACATGTGTACTGATTTGTGATTCTGGGTTTCCATTCAGCGACCTTGTTCTCGTATGCGTTCTTCTTCTCGGTTGTCTCGTCACCAGTCTACTTTCCATAGTGGCACACTCCTTTGAAGAGGGTGGGGGTATATAACCATATTCATTTGTAGAGTAAATTAAAAGGTAATTTCATCATGCTAATTTGGGGCATCCAAAGACATTTTTTGCAATAAAAAAACCAAAACTGAGATGGGACGCTGGAAGAACAAACACCACCAACCCCATCTCATATTTTGTCTTTGATTGTATTTTTGAGGGGAAATATTTGTAGAGAGATGGATGATGGTAAGATTTCAGTCAAATACCAGAAAAACAAACCGACAAGAAAAACAGAGCAAGCTCATTTGAGATGAAGGGAAAAGATGACGACAACGGGGCCGTTGGCAAACAGGCATGGGACGACAATGGTATCCACGTCCTCTTCTCCCTTGACAATGTCTTTGGCAGGGCACAAGTGGGCGGGGACCAGTCGGCACGCACGCCTCCTTAGTTGACCTGCTCGGTGGCCGTCTTCTCGTTGGAGGTGACGGTGGTCGTGGCCTCGGCGGGCACATCGTCCTCGCCAGCCAGGTGGCGGGCCTTGGCGGTGGCATCGTCGCCGCCGTAGACGGCCGTGTCGCCATCGAAGTGCTTGACAATCTCCTCGAGGGGCGTGTTCTTGGTCTCAATGTAGAAGAAGTAGACGACAACCAACTCGACGGCGAGCCAGACGACGTACACCAGGTAGTACTTCCACTGGATGTTGCCGAGCGCCACAGGGTTGACATACTGGTTGAACCAGAGCGACAGGTCGACGCAGAAAAACATGACGGTGAGACCCTTGGCGCGGATGCGGTAGGGCAGAATTTCGGCCGAGTAGGAGACGAGCAGACCGCAGAAACCAAGGTTGTAGAAGATGTAGTAGATGAAGATGAAGACAATGACGGTGTTGGCGGAGGCGTTGTTGGCTTGAGCATCGTAGCGCGCCAGACCGATCGTGGTGGAGATGAAGGTCAAAAGCATGCCGATGCAGGACGTCAGGAAGAGCGGGCGACGGCCGACCTTGTCGACGAAGAAGCAGATGGTGACGGCCGACACGAGCTGGACAATCGACAGGTAGCCGTTGATCTCGAGCTGCGTGGTCTGGTTGGTGACGCCAATAAGATCAAGCACCTGGGGAAGGCTATAGGGGGGACAAGTTAGTCGATGTTTATGTATAGTCGTCTCCTTAATTTTTTTGTTTCAGTTCCCCTCACAACTGGACAAACTTACTAGTACGACACGATACCGTTGCCACTCCACTGCGAGAAGAAACCAATGGAGACGAGAATGACGAGACGGTGGCGGTTGCCGGGAGTAGACCACAGCTCAGACCAGGCGTTGCGCTCGTACTCCTGCTCGAGGGCAATGGTCTGCGAGATCTCGTCGAACTCGACATTGACAAGCTCGTCGTCGAGGTTGCCCTCGGCATGGTACTTGGCAAGGATGGCCTTGGCCTCGTTGGGCTTGCCTTTGGAGATGAGCCAACGGGGCGACTCGGGGACGGTCCAGATCATGACAATCTGGACGAGCGAGGGGATGGCCTGCAGCAGGACGGGCACACGCCAAGCCCACTGGTTGCCCAGCTTGTGGGTGCCGAAGGCGACCCACGAGCCGACGAGGGAGCCCAAGTACCACAGGGTGTTGTAGATGGTGGAGTAGATGGCGCGGTGCTGGGGGTGGACGACCTCCGTGATGAGCAGCGGCGCGGATCCGTGGGCAATGGCAATGCCGAAACCGAGAATGAGACGGCCGACAATGAAGAGGGCGACGTGGAAACCGATGCAAATGAGGGCGACGCCGACAATCATAATGGAGCAGCCAATGACGACACCAGTGCGGCGACCGAGCAGATCAGCAGCGTAGGGCACGAACGGAATAGCGAGCATAGAACCAATAGACATGGAGGCGGTAATCAGGCCGAGCGTGGCATGGCTGGGGTTGTGGAAGGCTGAAAAGCCGTGTTAGCCCGTATTCAAAAAGCGGAGGTGAAGATACACGGGTGAAGATACACGTCCCGAGTCCAAAAGTAAAGTCCAGATCAGTCATTACTTACCGTCAAGCCAGGCCTGGATGGACTCCAGACCGTTCATCAGCGAACCGTCGTAGCCGTTGGTGGCCGAGGTCAGCATGGCAGCCCAGAGGGTGAAATAGAGCGTGCGCATGTGCCTGTTCTGCCACCACTTGACCCGGGGCCACTCGCGGCCGGCGAGGGTAAACGTTGTCTTCTGGGCCATTGTGATGTATGTTGATGTTGATGTAAGTAGTTGTTGGGGTATCAAAACGGATTGGGGGGAAAAGGTAAATATAGAATTATAGTAAATGTAAATAAAAGGGAAAGGAAAACGAAAAAGAAGAAACAAAAACTGAACCGGGTATCAAGGCCAAAGAGCAAAAAGTTGCAATGGCAGGCGGATGAGAAGAAGAAGGAAAAGAAGGACAGGAAAGAAGAGATGGACGAGGCGGATGTTTAATATAGATGCAGTTCGAAGCTGGGTATGTCGAACCTTGTCTGCAAATCTGCAAGGTCTTGGTCTTTCGACGTCCACACCATACAAGTGCTAAGTCTGCAGGGCAGAGTACATCTCCACAGTCTCTAAAGAAGGGAACCCCAAATTATCACCTTTCACGACAAGGACAAGGGGAGGGGGTGTGGTTTAAGTTTGGGGGGGAGGGGGGAGGGGGAGAGGAAGAGAGACCGACGCGTGGCAATACGGAGAAGGGAACGTCTGCACAGGGCAGAAGAAAGAACAGAGCCAGAAGAAAAATAAAATAAAGGATAAAATGGTCGAGACACAAAATGGGGCAAGGCCACAAAAGTTGGGGTAGGTTTTGCGGGAAGACGGCTGCGACTTTCCACTAGGCCAAGACATGCAGACGAACAGGGTGAGAAGAGAGACGAGAGCAGAGAGCAGAGAGCAGAGAGCAGAGAGCGAGGCCAAGAGCAAAAAGGGCGAGCCACAGACTGTCAGCCCATTCAAGCCACGCCCCTTTGTCGTCTTTTCCTCCTCCACGGGCCTCCACAGTCGAGTCTGCTGTCTCCATGCTCCAGTCTCCATACGGAGTACACTCCACGTCGCCTGCCCATGGGCACTCCACGCAAACGTGCAGCGTACGGAGTAGTGTGTCGACGCTTGTCTGTTCTCGTGTTGCGGTCGATTCGTCGCTAACATTGGCCGACAGGTGGCGCGGATCGTTGCTCACTGCAAGCCGGACCTAGATCACAATTGGGCTTAGCTCGGGGGGAAGAGGGATCGAGTACGGAGCAGGGGGGTGTCAATCTGACAGTGGTGGTGGGTGGTGGCGCCGGGTGAGAGCCAAAGGAGGGTGACCAACGAGGATTAGCTTCCTGGGTAAATAGAAAACGAAAGACGTTAACCGACCCAGCGCTGGGGAAAAGAAAATGAGGAGAGTGGACGAGTTGAGAAGAAGATGGAGCCAGAGACCGGATCGCGGACTAGGTTCAGCCCAGGCAAAAGGCAAAACGGGGGTGGCCTGCCATGTGTCTTGCAAGGCGACGGTGCTCGGCTGGACGGCGTCTGGCGTCTGTCGTACACAGCAGTTTGGAAGTTGTCCTCTGAGGAGTCCAAAGCAGAGGGACACTGACAAAGGACCACGATGCAGTGGCTGACGTGACCCGGTTGACGGGATCCAAGGCCGAACCCAGGGCGGCCATGTTCAATAGCGATGTGTACGTCGGTTGACAGCCGTGGCCAGGATGGGTGTGTTCAGCCTCGTGCACAATATGCATCCTTCCGTGTTCGCTGTCCATCGTGCAAAATGAAATGGTACAAAGGGAGACGTGCTTTTTGCCCCTTTTTTTCTACAATGTACGAGGATGGCGGTCCGGCGTGGAGGAAGGTATCAATGCCCGAAAAGGGAAGCAGCCGTGAACTGGATCGCTCTTTCCTTCAAGGCTGCAAACAGGCTCACAACTCGCGTTGCATCTCACTTCCCCCAGACATCACAAACGGAGAACGGCAACTGCGACTGGGACTGGACATTCTCAATTGACGTTCTGGCCCCATTGTGGAGCCGCTGAGGCGAGAAGGTGCAAGTCACGAGAAGAAGGAAAATAGGGAAAGAGCAGGCGAGGACGATACCGGGTAAGTAACGAACGGCAGGCACGAGGAAAAGGCACGAGGAAAAGGCACGAGGAAATAGCACGAGGGCAGGCGCGACCAGGAAAATAAGGTAGATGTGCCGCCTGCGGAGAGTGGAGAGGTAAGCGACGAAAAGGGAAAGGGCAATGGCCGACGGCCGATGGAATGCGTGCATTGGGTTCTTGGGGTCACTAATCAAAAGGGAAGGGGCAAAGGGGCAACCAGGTCACGTTCCGACTTGATTCTCGACTCGGCGAAGCTCGCTTGGTCGACGTTTGCAGTCAGCAGTTCAGTATTTCAGATTTCAGTATTTCAGCTGTTCAATGGCCAACGGTCCTTCTTCCGACATAGGATGCGCAACGACGGAGACCAGACGAGAATTTTGGCAGACCCGGCACCAGCAATAGCCGAATCTACGAGTCTAGAAGCGAGCGAGGACGAGAACGAGGACCAGAGAAAAAAGAAAGGAAAAAATAAAATAAACACCAGTGCGACATCGACCAAACGAAAAGACAAAAGGGGAAAGGCGGGTGCTCAGGCGGGACGAAGAACCGACGATGGGTAGATGGGCACATGATTGGCCGGCATGGACAGGGGACGACAGATGAAGGGAAACGAAAGAAAGGAAGAAAGGAAGCAGAAAATGGGACAAGGCCAATCTCGATAAGGATTAGGGGATCAAACGAAAAAAAAAAAAAAAAAAGGAAAAAATAAAAGGACAAAGGAAATCCTGGGGATGGCACAGCACCAAACCACGTTTTGCTAGTGCAGGTGCTTGTCTACAGAGTCCAAAATGTCATTACTGCGACGCTGGACTCGTTGGAACCACCAATCACGGCTGGCTCAGGTCACCTGGCCTGCTGAGTGTCACTGGGGGCCGTGCTTAGACCACTGGGAGGCCAGAGGCAAGGAGGATCGAGCAGGGCCTTTGTGGTTGGTCGTGCCGTCTTGCCGGACGCCATGCCTGGCCGTCGCCGAGGAAGTAGCCGAAGTGGGGGAAGTCGGCAAGTGAGAGTCAGAGGACAGAACACGCGCTGTACGAAGGACAACAATTGTTATGGGCGAGTTGACACTTTGTGTCGGTTGGTGAGGGAGTGCGGCGGTGTACCGCGCATGGGATGTATCGACACGGCGAATGCTGTTGGACTGCTGTCTTTTTGTGCATCTCCGTGGCTGTTTTGATTGTGCTTTGTTTGATTGCGGTTAAACAGAACCAACATTCCAACAGGCGACAGGACTTGTTTCCGGGGCACTATGGGCGAGGCCCCTTGGTAGAGACAGCCATGCATCTGTACGACTTTGTTACAACTTAGACTACTCCCACTGTCGTGCATCGACAAGGTCAAGGCGGGAGGCGTCCAACGGCTGTGCCGTGGCTGACGCTAGACTTGGACGTATCTTAGGTGGTATAATGCAGCACAGGCCAGGCCAGTGTGTGCTCTGCAGTATTCTGTATTTACTCAGTTTATGCACGACGCCATGCTAACCTGGCACTCAGTAGTGTCCTGGGGCCCGGGCGCATCCCATATGAGACGTTCGTGGAGCAATCTAAATTGTTGAAAGTATCTTAATCGACTGCTGCTGAACGAGTTAAACGTGCTGTCCCTTTAACGCAGGATGAAGTAATACTATGCTGTATACGGACTACGACTTACTCCGTAATTAATGCTCTGCAAATATGATCGAGGGAGGGAGGGGGCCTTGGAGAAGACGGCTTCGCACAGCCGCGTCCTGCCACCAGGGACTTGGAACAGTAGGGAGGGGATGGTAAAATAAGATGGTGGATAGTGCGTAGCAGAGGACGGAAATACCGTGGAGAGGGCGTGTACGTCGTAGGGGCGTTAGTGAGGGCGTGAGGAAATACGGAGTAATGTAAACGTTCGAGTTGGAGATACAAGAACAGGCGAAAAGGATAAATTCAAAGTTGGGGACGTCGGGCGGGGACGTCAAAGAGGCGGAAAAGGAAGAGGGCGTGGGAAAACGAAGGACGATGCACAAAGTACGGAGTGCTGGATGCAAGAGAGTAGACAGAGACAAAAAGCCTGACCATCGTGAATGAACGTGGCAACGACTCAAGCTATCAAGCTCCGAGGATGTCTGGATCTCTCGCACGACGACGCCGTACTTTACCGGAGGACATCCAGTCATGGGTGGCAACGACGCAGGAACTCGCGTCGTGCAACCACCAAGCAATGTCCTGTAAACGAGACCTGTAAACAAGGCACCACACTTAACAGATTGCAGGCCACATGGGCGGCAAAATAAAGACAATAAAAATGGTTCATACTACGTAAACCAGCAATGAAAAGACGTATCCATTGAAAGGCTACCCTCCATCTTGAAAGCTACATGTACTTGGAATGCCATCACCATCACATCGGCGAAAGCTACACTGCTGGGGAAAGCCCGTATTCCGGAACGGTGGGAAGAAGGAAGAAGGAAAGCATCGTGTATTGAGCAGTGTACAACAGACAACATACGACTTGCAGCCTTACATCTGTGTCCCTTTTTCCGCCAACGGCCGGATACCAGGCAAATCAGCCGGTCCAACAAAGGTGTTACAGACGGTCAAAGGAGCAAGGAGCCAGGAGCCAAGAGCCAAGGCCAACCACGAGAAGCAGTCTTGATCCCGTTGGCTCATCTCGACTGTGGTTTCGATGTCTGTGCTGCGTAGTCATACACACGACCAGATGACCAGACGACCAGACATCAGACGACCAAACGACCAGACACCAGATGTGCTCGAGGCGCCCAACCATCCTTGCAATCTCGTTTGGTCTGGTCGTGTGTCAGGGCTGCCAGTTGTCTGTCGACTGTTGTTCTCCATTGTGTGGCTGTTTTGCTCTCAAGACTTTCGGCATAGTTTAACCTTCTATCCGACGAGTAATAGGACCCAAAATAAGTCCCAAAAAGACTGGGCTGACTGGCGCGTCTAAGAGGATCATAAAACGGGGCAGCATGGGGAAATGAAGGAGATGAAATAAGAAATAGAAAAAAGGAAGAACAAAATAAAAGAAGAAGAAAAAAACTAAAAGAAAAGAAACGTCAATGGCCAGCTGGAAAACACGCCCCTCTCCATCGTAATACCCGCCAACATGACCACATGGAGATGCCAGGTTTATTCTATTTAAACTATTTATCCAGAACAAAAGCTTCTCACGACACATGGCGTCACATCGCCACCGCACCAGGACGGACCTTGGTGATACTGCTAGTGAAATAGGATGCCAAGATGCCAAAATAAGAAAAAGTATTGAAACGAACCCAAAAAGAGAGACCCAGGCCCGCGGCTGTTTTGTACTGTGGATGGCACTAAGAAAAGGAAGAGAGAAGGAAAAAGAAAAAAGAATGGAAAATAAAAAATGAAAAAGAAGACACACGCCAGTAAGTCCATTGGAAGCTGCACGCGAGCCAAAGGAAAGACGGGAAGGAACCCTAGTCGTTCACAACCTGGGCCATCAGCAGAGGACGCAAAGACCGCCCAATACGACGACGCGACCTGACTGTTTCTGCAAGAGAGGGACATCCGCCGGACGCGCTGACCCAAGCACATGTACGACGCAACCGAAATGCGATGTCCTGTTGTGTATGTCCTATTATGTATATCCTGTTATTCGGAAATTCGTGGGCGGTGGGAAGCACGGAGTGAAGTGTCGAGAAGTTCAAAGGACATTAAGGCTTGAACGACTCGAACATGCAGACTCGAATAAGCAGACTCGAAGACGGCAAGATACACACATTTGTTGGATCACGTCTATTGTCAAAAGAAAGCTGAAAGGTCAGAGGCAAAACGAAGAGGAGAAACACAATGGCTAACCCACGCCAGACACGGCAGACAGTGCAACATAAGATGCACAACGGCAGAGACGGCAGGCGGCAGGAAAGCCCAGAGACAAAAGGTTAGCCTGGGCTGTCAGCGTCGGTCATGCGACTCACAGAACCAGAATGGACCAGCAGAAACGGACTATGGACGACGGACGATAGACGACGGACGACAGAGGCGACGAGACGAGACGAGATGAGACGGTATCAATGCTCCGTCAGAACAAGAACGTACTCGACGTTCTGCGTTTCACACCTCAAGTCGCCTCTCATCCCGTGATGATCGTCTATCGTTTCGTTTCAGTCGATCACGTTTGTCGGTTCTCACAATGAGCACTCTCAAAAGCCTCTCCATGAGACCAAACATAAACCACGGGCGGCTGCCTGCTGGTTCGCCCGTCTCCTCCACATCGACCCCGAAAGAACGAGGGAATTGGAGACGGGCAGGTGAGGCTGGCAGGAAACGACGCACACGCTGACGAGAGAAAACAGACAGCGGCCCGTGATCTATTAATATCAATTGCCATATCGCCAAATCACCAAATCGCCAACCGAAGCCACAGGACAGACAACTTCTACGATACAGAGAGAAAGAGAGCGTGCCATGTTTACGGTAGGCGCGGTATGGACGGCCTGCACGGCGTAAAAGCGGCCAAATATACGGCCAAATATATGCGTGGAAGCGAGTCGAGAGAACCGGCCGGCTTGCTGAGGAATCGTGTGACAGTGCCAAAGATGATGTACATCTGCACCTACGGACAGATGCAGGTCAGGACTCTCTCCACGTGGTTTTATATGTTCTTATTTTTGATACAATCCTTCCGTCGGCTCCCATGGCCCGTACGCGACGATGTGCCTGCCTCGACGTATGCTGCATTCTTCCATTCCCCCGGGCGGTTGCACCACACTCGATGCGAGCAAGTTCGGATGTGTTGGTGCTGGTTGGTGGTCAGCGTGGTGGCTGTCCGCCAGCGGCAGAGGCGACCAGAAAGCAAAGGACGTACCAGGGAGCTCCTCGTGCACCCTGCACGCCTCATACCACACGCCTCCCACCTCCAATCCTCCGCCAAGAGGCCGTGCCGTGTCCGCTGCACCGTGCCTCTGTGGGCCTGATTGCTATAAGAGCTCTGTTATCGAGAGTTCAAGGGCATAAGGGCTCCAGAGCTCCAGGACTCGAGGGTCGAGGATTCCCCGAATATGTGGGCATGATAAGATAAAACGGGAAACCAAAAGTGCTCGTAAACGAAAGAAACATAAAATCCCGGGAAAATCACTTGAAATGCTTTCCGCTGCTGGCTTCTGTGCACGTCCTTGCCAGTATACCGTACCAATAGCTCCGGAAGGGGCCCTCATGAAGTGCAGTGGAGCAGCGGAGCAGCGGATAACAGTGGATAGAACGGAAGACAGAACGTACGACGTATGGGAAGAAACGAGTGCATCGTGAAGCCAGGAGATCGCACGGCAAAGTAAACAAGTCGTGAATACGTCGATTAGCGCGTAGGCGAGCCCTCACAGCAGCGGCCGCACTGCCCACAAATGCCCTAAATTACAGTGATTGAGCGCCGACCACCACCGCTGAGCTTAGTCATTTGCGCCTTATCTTATCGCCACCCGCCACCATTTTGCCTGCCCAAAAACTCGCCAGGCATTGCATCGCGAACCTCAAACGACAACCGACGAACCTCACGTCCGCCTCGGATTCTCCTAGCAACCACCACCTCCTTTCGCATTACCTCCGTACACCAACACCAACACCCCATCCCCACCCAACCATGGACTACCAAAACCGCGTCGGCTCCAAGTTCGGCGGCGGCGGCGTCGCCTCCCACAGCGCCACCAACGCCGACCGCCGCGAGCGGCTGCGCAAGCTCGCCCTCGAGTCCATCGACCTCGACCGCGACCCCTACTTCTTCCGCAACCACCTGGGCTCCTTTGAGTGCCGCCTCTGCCTCACCGTCCACCAGAACGACGGCTCCTACCTCGCCCACACCCAGGGCAAGAAGCACCAGACCAACCTCGCCCGCCGCGCCGCCAAGGAGCAGCGCGACGGCCTGCGCCGCGACATTGACCCGGCCACCGGCCTGCCCATGGGCGTCGCCGGCGCCGGCTTTGGTGCCCTGGGGTTTGGCGGTACGGAAAAGGCGGCCGTCGTCCGCATCGGCCGCCCCGGCTACAAGATTGTCAAGGTGCGCGACCCCGCGACGCGCCAGGTCGGCCTGCTCTTCCAGCTGCAGTACCCCGACATTGGCGCCGACGTCACCCCCCGCTGGCAGGTCACGAGCGCCTTCAGCCAGCGCGTCGAGACCCCCGACCGCCAGTTCCAGTACCTGCTCGTCGCCGCCGACCCCTACGAGACCTGCGGCTTCAAGATCCCCGCACGCGAGCTCGACCGCCGCGCCGGCCGCACCTTTGACTACTGGGACCGCGACGCCCGCGAGTACTGGGTCCAGGTCATGTTCATCACCGAGCGCGAAGAGCAGTTCAATGCCGCGCCGGGGCTGACGGGGCGGTAACCAGACGGACCGTTTGCTGGAGCCTTTATTGTTTTTGTCGTGTTTCTTTCTGTATCAGTACGGCGTTTGGGATGGATTTGTATTCTGTGGAATAAATAGCGAACATATACCTCGAACTACAAAGTTGCGTCACCAGCTTCTCGTCAGGAGTGAATCGTGTGTTGTTGGCGACTTGACACATAATTAAGTCAGTCAAGAAAAGAACGTCATTGGATCTCGTGAGTTTATGTTTAGACTGTTTTAAATTGTAATTTCAATTTATTTCCTTGCTTTGCTGTATTTTTTTTTTTTTAAAAAAAAAGTTTTGTAGTTATTTATTAGCCAAATCTATGCCCCTTTTACAATATTTATTCCTCATATCCCCTTTTCATATATCCCAATCACCAACAGACAAAGCGTGCATACCAAGCCAAAACCAATTGAACATCGCAGCTATACGACAGGCTATACATGGAAGCAAGAAACCAAGCTCCAAGGAGTACGCCAAACAAGAGGCTCGAGACGCATGCTCAGATGAATTCCAAGACAACTATACTAGATGGCGATGGCCGCTATTGCGTGGCTGGTTACGACTCGCCCATGAAGGCACGTGGGAGGACAGAATGAATACAAAACGAAAGAGATGACAAACAATGTAAAACAGAAATGGGCAAAGGTCAAAGGTCAAAAAGATAAAATGATACGAATGGTACGGACGAAATTAGATTCCCAAACACAACATTCCCTCTACCATCTCCCCACCCTCCCGCCAGTCCCCAACAAGCCTCAACGGAAGTTGTTGTCGAACCGCTTAAAGGTGTAGCCGATAAAGGGCAGGCTCATCTCCGGGCTCTCCTCGGGCGCGGCGCTGCGGCCGCCCTGCTGCGCCTGCTGCGCGCGCAGCAGCGTGGCATTGTCCGTCTGGTCAATCTCGTCGGTGGGGAAGTAGGTGGTGTCGATGTTGGAGGTGAGGCGCGGCTCAAAGGGCGCGCGGATGCGGCGCAGGCTGTCAAACTCGACGCCGCGGAAGAAGGCGTGGCCCTTGATCTCGTGGGCGCCGCCGCGGCCCAGGCGGTTCTCCGTGTTGCAGATGAGGCTGCGGATGAGGCCCTCGGCGTCGAGGCCCAGCTGGATGTCGTCGGGGAAGTACAGCGACTGGCGCCAGGTGACAATCTTGTGGTAGGTGTCGTGGCGGTCCTCGGCGCAAAAGGGCGGCCAGCCCACGAGGCACTCAAACATGATGGTGCCGAGCGACCACCAGTCGCAGTCGAAGCTGTAGCCGTGGCCCGTGAAGATCTCGGGGGCAATGTAGTCGGGCGTGCCGACCGTCGAGTAGGCCATCAGCCGGCGGGACCGCCGCCAATCGTTAATCTGCGACCGGTTGCTGACCGTCAGGTTGATCTGGTCAATGGCAATGGAGTTGCGGTCGCCGCCGCGCGGCCGGCTGCCGGCGGGGCGGCCCTGCAGCAGCTGCTGGTAGTAGTTGTTGTCGTGCAGCTTGTGGAAGCCCGTCGACAGGCCAAAGTCGGTCAGCTTGACGTGGCCGCCGCGGTCCAGCAAGATGTTGTCCGGCTTGATGTCGCGGTGGATGAAGCCCAGCTTGTGCACCGCCTCGATGGCCAGCACAATCTCGGCAATGTAGAAGCGCGTAATGTCTTCCGAGAAGATCTCGTACTTGATCAGCATCGTCATCAGGTCGCCGCCGGGCAAAAACTCCATCAGCATGTACAAAAAGTTGGCGTCCTGGAAGGTCGTGTAGAGCTTGACGACCCACGGGCTGTCGGACTCGGCAAGAATGTCACGCTCGGCACGCACGTGGGCCAGCTGGTCGCGCCGGAACATTTCCGTCTTGACGAGCGACTTCATGGCGTAGACCTTGTTGTCGGCCTTTTTCTGCACCAGCTTGACCTCACCAAAGGCGCCCTTGCCAATGATCTTGACCGTGGTGTAGTTCTCCGGCTTGTCCTTGGTCCGCAGGAAGCGCAGGTACGAGCCCTCTCGACGACCGGCCGTCGACCAGATCTGCTCCTTGCGGGCGGCGGTCTGGTTCGGCTCGGCCAGCTTCTGCTCCATCTCGCTTTGTCTGCGTGGGTTAGCATGGGGACAAGTTGGGTAGAAGGGTACGAAGCAACAGGGTAAAAAGTGTCCTACCTCTGGTTTCTCTCACGCGCACGCTTGACGCTGTCCTTGAAAAAGTCGGCGGCCAGCTGCGAGCACTTTTTCTGGTTGTTGTTGGCGTTGGCCCCGAAGCGGTCCGGGTTCCGCTCCGGCGCGACCTGGAACTCAAAGACAGGCGCTGCGGGCTGGCTCGGCAGCGGGGCATTCAGGTAGCTGTTGTAGCCGCCGGCGGGCTGGTAGCCCGTGGCACCGGCCGTCCGTGGACGCTGGGCCGCCGACGGTCCGCGGCTGTAGTTGTTGGTCGAGGCGGCGGCAGCGGCGGCACGGGCAGCGCCGCCGAGGTTCTGGTGGGAGAACTGGTGCGCGAGGCCCGTGTTGGGGTCGGTGGCGCCGGGGGTGTTGGAGCGCGGCTGGTAGAGGCTGTTGGCGCTGGCCGAGGCCGAGATGCCACCCGCCGACGCGGCCGAGGCACCGCCGCCGCCGCCGCCGCTCAGGGGCGCACCACCAGTGCTGTACTCGTTGCCGGCGGCATGCTGCTGCGACGAGTATTGTGGCGCGGCGTACTGGTTTTGTGAGAAGTAGCCGCCCTGCTGTTGCTGCTGTTGCTGCTGTTGTTGCTGCTGCTGCTGCTGCTGCGAGGCGTAACCGGACGACTGGTACTGCTGGGGCTGCTGGGATGATGCAAGGCCGATGTTGTTGGCGGCACCGCCCTGCTGCTGCTGGGTTGTTGAGGGGAAGACGGGTTGGGGGAACGTCGAGGGCGTCGTTGGGTATGCTCGGTCGTTTGCGGCGATGCGGTCAGCCGCATTGTTGTTGTTGAAGTTGAGGTAGAGACGTGGGTTGTCCATTGCGGCGGTCGCGGGTCGGCCCGAAGTAAAGCGAGAGCGAGCGAGCGAGCGAGAGAAAAAGTAGGAGTTGGCAAAGAACGGATTCGAACGAATGCTGCAAATGTCGGACGTCGAGGCCGTTCAAGGTCCGGACGCGAGAGCGGTGAAGGGCGTGGTCGAAGAGGCAGACGCAGCAGAATCAAGCCAAGCCTGGAGCGTGTGGGCGGGGTGCCGGGGGAGTCTGGCCAATGTGTGCAGCACAAGGGCGAGGGCGAGAACTGGGGGCCGAAGAGAGGAGCGGGGCGGTCGCTCAAGGGCGTACAAGGGGCTCAAGTCGGACGATGCAGAGGGGGGTTTTGGTGGCGGCGGCTGGAGGGAAAGGGAGTGTCAGTTTGCTGATCGAGAGGCGCCAGCATGCAGAACAACAGGTGTTGACGCAAAGCAATCGCATTGAAAGATGGTATAGTAGGGGGGCGGACGATGTGATTGGCGAAAGCTGTGAGCCCCTGAAGCACGAGGCCACGATTTCACGGCGTCTGTGGAGAGGGATTCGAGCGACGGCGGAATGGGATATGGAAGGACGTGAGGAATGGAGGGGGCCAGACGATATGAGCACAATCGACGAGAGTAAGGCGATCGAATGGCAAGACAAGACGAAAAGGAAAGGAGCAAAATGATAAAGGATCAAGGATCAAGAGGGAGCACGACGGGAGGTGAGGCTCAAATGCGTCGTGTGCTGTGAACGCGGCTGGAGACTCACAATTGTTGATCTGTTGCTAAGCTGCTCTGCAGCGCTCGTCGCTTAAGGGGAGCGGAGAGGGGGTAGGCGCCGGGGTCGACGGGGAGGGAGACAGCCAATCGTCGAGGCAGGCGGATGAGAAAATACAGTGAAAAGTGAAAAGCCGTGATGGGATGAAGTCGAATGGCCAGAGTCCACAACAGAGGAAGCAGCCAAGGAGTCGTCGTGTTCGAACGGGAAGGAAGTCGACCGTTGTTGTGCAAGAAGGCGCAGTTGGCAGTTGAAACGCTGGAACTAGCAGCAGCCGAATGGGGGGAAGGAACGAGACAGGCGGCAGAACCAGACGAAAATCGCCTGAGCAAATCCTTTCTAGCGGTCTAGTGGGAAACAGCATGTGGCGTCCCGGCCTCAAAAGACCAGTAAACAGACGGGCGTCTGGACGGGAAGCCCCTGACAAGCCTAGAACCGCTAGCCCATACGCTGTATTAGTGGTTGAAAATACCCCGCAACCCCTTTTACGGGGTGCTGTTTTGTCCGTTGTTGGTGGTTTTGCTGTCCCGCCCCGCTATTCGTGTAATTACGCTGTCTTCCGTGCACGTTTTGACATGCAATTAAACATTAAACGCGGAGAGGGAACATCCAAGTAAACAAAGAGGATTCGTAAATCCAACTGCTTGACGAATTGCGCAGAGAAACTCGTAAAATCGTATAGTGATCTGCCAGGTCGAGCAGTTGGTTATACTGTTTTGTCAATATGAATGTGTCGTGCTGCTTGTAGAAGAACCGCTGTAGAATATCGTACATTTTTCATCATCTATCCTTTTCTTTTCACTGAGACGCCACAACGTCTATGGAACCCTCGATGCAAGTACATCTCCATCGCAACACACCCCGGCACAGGCTCGCACGCCCGTTGGTCTACCTGTGCGATACTGCAAACAATGCGGCAAGACGTTGTACCTCGTGAGCGTGATGCTTGCACTCGTCCACTTGTGTAACGCCGCCGCTCAAGCCTCATTAATAAACATGGGAGGACACAAAACAAGGCGTCTACACTATCAATGGCCGTGGTGTATTGAAGGCGGCTGCTCATTCACCGTATATGACTTTACGTCTTCATGGCCACGCCAAAGGCCAACGTTGGTCGTGCACTGACGTTGGATCGGGCGCCGCTGTCAGGAGAACCAGGCACATTGAACGGGCAGAAGTGGGTGGGTAATATGTCAAGTGTCTGAAAATAATTGCTAGAGTGCTATGATGCCAAAAGAAAGAAAAGACGAAGAGGAAATCCCAAAGGCAAGGCATATTACAAAATCAAAAACAAAAAAACAAAAAAAAGAGCCAACACGCAGTAAATCACAAACGAGCAGCACCAGACATTATCCAAGTAAAGATGAAGTCTTTTTACAACGTCGACTTCCTTTTGCCTGACCTCTCGCCTCCTGTTTCCCTGGCCCCGTGGTCTTGACGTGTTTCGCTCGGACGCTCAATTATACACCTCGCAGTCGGTCGCAGTCAGCTGTCTGCTCGCACGCCAGAGTTGTTGGCTTTCGCGCACGCGCCTTCCGCGCGTTGCCTTCCCTCGTCGCCGCCTACCGCAGCTGCTGGTGGTCCGCAAACGGGTTGGGCCCCGTCGCAATGTCGCCGCTTGTCTCGCTGCGGGGCAGAACGCTGCCGCCACCCAGCGTGGTCGTCGACGCCGACGGTGGCAGGTACTGGCTCTGCTGGTGCTGGTGCGACGGCGGCATCAGGGGCTGCGAGTCGCCGCCGCCGCCCTGCAGGCTGGCGCTCATGTTGCGGACGCCGGCGCTGGGCTTCTTGCTGTCAATGGCGGCCTGGCGCGCAATGGCGGCGGCCTCGGCGGCCTTGGCCATGCGGGAGTGCTGGCGGCGCTCGCGGCAGCAGAAGAAGCACATGGTGGAGATGGCAAGGACGAGGCCCGCGCCAAAGACAATGGCAATGACGATGCCGGCGGCGCCGGGGTTGTTTTCCAGCTTCATGCAGGTGGTCTCGCCGAGGGCGCTGTCGGTGTCGCACATGAGGCCGGCAGCGCAGGTGGGGAAGAGAGCCACGGTCGAGAAGCAGGACAGGGTGGTCTTGCCGGCGGCGGGGCCGGTAGACTGGACGGGGCAGACGGTGGTGGAAACGGTGGTGGTGGTGAGGCAGATCAGCGAGGTAGTGTGGGTGCCGGTAAACGTGCTGTCGGCGCGTGGCAGGAGCGGGGTGGCGGCGAGGTACTTGGCATCGGCATTGGCATCAGCGGCAGCGGTCGGCGTCGGCACAGGCACCGGGTTGGCGACGGGCTTGCGGCGGCGCAGCTCGGCGGCGGCAGCATTCTTCTCCGCCGCGGGGCGCGCGCACTGCTGGATGGTCCAGGTGGCCTCGATCAGGGCCTCGTCGGGCTGGCAGCCGGCGTTGACAAAGCACTGGGCCAGGACCGCGGCGGAGATGTCGTGCGAGGACGTCGGCAGGCGGTTCTCGAGGCAGAATTCGATGCTGCCGGCATGGCCGCAGGCGGCGTGGCTCGCGAGCGAGGCGGCGCGGGTGTGGAGGCACTCGGCGAGGTCGAGGGGAGCCGCTGGCGCGGAGGCCGAGGCGGTAGCAGTAGCACCGAGGAGGGCCAGGAGGGCCTGTATTGATACGCGCATGGTGGACGTGTGTGAGAGGGGCGGTGTGCTGTGTGAGGGAGAATGCAAAGGTTTCGTTTGCCCGGAGCAGTCGGAGTCGGAGTCAAGCCAAAACGTGACGGAGAAGATGAACGCGTCCGGAGGTGCTCGGTCGACGTGACTCGGTCGACGTACTTGTTTCCAGGAACGTGAGTACTGAAAGCCCGAAAATAAAATCGGATCGGCGACGTCGGAACGGGAGTTGGGGCGATCTCGACGCCGAGGAATGGATAGTCAGGGCGACAAGAGATGAGGCGGCGGGAGGAAGAGGGAGACAAATCAAGACAAACAAGACAAAATCAGAGCGGACGAGGCAAACAGATAAATTCAATCGATCCAAGAACAGTAGACCCAGAAACGAAGCAGGAGACAGAAAGAAAGAGACGGCAGACGACAGGCGACAGGCGATAGACGAAGCGGAGGAAAAGAAAAAGAAAAAACGAAGAAAAGAAGGGAAAGAAGACGGAGGAATCGAGCCCCAGGGGAAAAGGAACGACACGAAACGAGGCGTCAGCTAAACAGAGTGAGCGACTCGAAGGACGTGAGATTTCAAAGTACTGGGCAAAAAGCCTTTTGGCACGACAAGGCCCCAAGGCCCTAGTCGTAAGACGAGCCGCAGGAATATAAAAATAAAAAAGGATTTGGTGGTGAGGAGGGGGGGGGGGGGGGCCGGCGAGAGCAAAAAGGGGAAAGGGGAAAGGGGGACAGGACTCGCTCTAGCTTCTCTATCTCTAGCTTCCCTTCCGGCTGCCAAGCCTCATTCCTCGCAGGAAGGAGCTGGGCTGGGCGCGCCGCGACGGCAGGCGCATTTGTCGAGGACGAAGGAAGGAGCGGATCTGAGCGGGTCGACCTTTGCTGTGCTCCTGCCTCCTTTGATTCTTCATCTAGTATTTCGTACAGAATACATTCGTACGACATACGACGAACTGGTGTTGCTGAGCTCTTTCCTCTTTTTTTGTCCTCATTCCTTCTCTTTTTGTTGCACCCTAAATTGGGTGGACCCACGATGTTTTAGCTCACAAGAGGCAGGCATGCACGGATTTACGCTTTCCTTCGTCAGGCTGCTGTCAGACTGCTGCCAGGGACCAAACGGCGACAGGAGCTAAACTACGCGTTGGCGCACTGCTGACCCGCTGGAGACTGAGACAGGAGACAGCGAATCGAGAGACGACCGTTGACAGGTTAGAACAGTACAAAGATACTTTAAGAGCCGTTGACATAAAATAATACGGAGAATGCGAGACGACGGAGACAGTCAGTGGAATAGGAAATAAGGTGCAGTTGTGGTTTTTGCTTTTTGCTTTACACTTTGTGCGATCCCCATTGACAGTGGCTGGCCGTTTTGCAGTGCCGACAGAGGACAAGTGTAACCTGTCAGACGATGAGACCAGACGAGTGAGAAGTGAGCGCGAGGGGCTGAAGGTGCGCGTGTATCGTGAGGTAAAGGCGCTGGTTGTGGCTGGCGTCGTTGGGAGTTCACTGCGCGGTCCTGCTCTGGGAGAGTTTGCGGACGGGGCCATGACACGACCCGCCGGCTGCAAACCCCTAATCTCACAGTTCATACAAAGTAAACTGCGCAGCTGTGGTACAAAGTACGACTCAACATACAAATGTCAGCACTCATCTGCTCCGTCTCATCTTCCTGCGCCCCAATTCAACCAATAACAGCGCGCCTGTCAGCAGAAACCCACTGTGCCCTGCATTCCGTTCATTTTGGACCCTCGAATTGCAGGGACGGCAATCCTCTTTACGAAGTACGACTACCAAGAATGCAACGGTCCTCCCGATTGTCCTTTCTGCAACCCCAGTCTGCACGTCCTGTCCTTACAGGCTTAATCCGTGGTGCAGTGCGAGCCCCGACACACACCTTGACATGGCCAGTTTGTGGCGGTGTTGAATCATCAAAGTGCGCCCCAGTTGGCTGGCTCTGCCCGTCGCAGGGTCCAAGGACGGTTTAGCCTGATGCACTCATACTGTCGAGCACAGCGTACATACAGAAGGACACTGCGCCCCGTTCTGTCTGCCAACGGAAAACAGACGAAAACGGAACGGCTGTTGGGGCTGAACGCCCGTGGCAAGCCTGGCATCATCGATACTTTTGTCATCATGAGGAAGAGGGTGAAGTGCGATGGGCAGACACAAAAGAGAGGACACACGAGAGCGATCCTCAAAAAAGAAGCTTTACGATGACAGAGGACAGCTGCTCGGAGATGTTATGACTGCACAATCCATGTTTGCTGACACCCAACAGCCGCAATACGTCGATACGATCTTTGGGGCAATTTCCCCCTTCAAGGCTGGATTTGCGCCGTGGCTCAGCCAGTGGGCCGGGGAGCAAACGTCCAACCCGAATTTCCGCAGGCTGCTCGTCTGGCATTTGGCGGTCTCGGGCACGCTACGGCAGTTGACATGCGACAGGACCTTTTTGAACGGAGGACATGTACTGGCACGCGCCGTTTCTTTTTTTAGTTTTTGATTTCACGATGCCAAGACGTCTTTTGAATACCTCGACGAGAGTCACCCCTTTGCGACGCAATGTGGAATGGCAGCGCTTTTCATTGAATATGAATCTACCGACGATCTCGAGATACATGGAAAAAACATCCGCACTCACAACAACGCTTTGGGTCCGGAACGACTCCTTCAAAAAAAACAAGAGAAGTAGGAAATCAGCATGACAATGAGCACAAAGTTGATGGAAGCAAAAACAAGTCAGAGAAAGGACTTGGACTTAATTGGGGCATACATAGACGGCGTCTTGTCGTCATGAGAAACCGTTCCGACATCCCACCAATTTCCATTTGCCCCGTCTGTTGATTCCTTTGCCTGGATTGATTTTTTTCAATCGTTTTCTTGTTTTCTTATTTTTTTGTGTGTGCGTGGTCTATGTTATTTTTTTTGCTTGTGCTTTTGTGTGATCCGTCTGGACAACTGACAACTGACGACGGGTGAAAACGGCTCTCTCTCGAGGTCGGCTCATGGCACACCCAGTCCGTAGTCCGTAGTCCGTCTGCCCCTTTGGACCTCCGACCCTGTCACTCGTTTTGGTGCAAGTGGTTGCCAATCTTTCGAAAGGGGGTCGGAGTGATTGTGCTGCCCACTGCTTGAGCCGCATATCATGAATCGTGGGGACCGCCCGGATCAAATACCGACGTGCAACATTGTGCGGCCGAGCGAGGCATGCCCTGTGATAAAAAAATAAGAAAAAAAGCAGCGAGCAAAAAAAAAAGAAAAAAAAAGAAAAGAAAAAAAAAATAGAAACCAGATACAACCAGATTAAAAGCAACCCTCGCAAGCAACCCTTCTGGTCAAACAGGCAGTCCCTCCTGCTGTCGACATTTCCATGGTACTCTGTATATTTTCATGGCCTTTTGGGTATTTCTTTTCGCTCTCCTTTATTGCCCCAGATCGATCTAGACGAAGCCGTGGCTCGTCGTTTCGTTCAAAACGGCTGGCTATGTACCGTCTGCGCTCGTGTTCCCCGTGTGGTCTCTGTGATCCCCCGGTGTGTCTTTAAGGCCCATGTGGTCTTTCGGATCCATCTGGTCCTTTTGGTCCTTCTCATCCTCTTCGTGTGCCCCCGCCAGTGCCCCCGACAGTTTGCCCCCCACGCTGCTTCCTCGACGGGTGCCGGCAGTGCTCTAGCTGCTCGACAGCTTGTCGAGGTCGCCGTGCCAGTCGGGCTCGACGAGCGTGGTGCGCGTGTTGTAGAGAAAGCGGTAGGCCGTCTTGATGGTGCCGTCGCTGACGCCGGCAATGGAGGCAATGTCCTTGGACGCGCGCGGGTCGTCGAGGTACTGCGAGGCAAAGTAGATGCAGGCGGCGGCGACGGACAGCGGCGAGCGGCCGGCGAGGTCGGGGATGCCCGTGGTCTTGCGGGCCAGCGCCTTGCTGATCTTCTCCATGCGCGGCGTGTTGCGGAACCCGAGCAGCGAGCAGTAGCGCGTGCAGAGCTCCTCGGCCGTCGTCGACGACGACGCCTTGTAGTCCTTGACGCCCTGCGCCGCGCTGGCCTGCGGGTTTTTCTCCTGGATCTTGCTCAGAAAGCTCTCGAGCGACTTGAAGACGCGCCCAATCTCCTTTTTCGTGACGCGCGTGATGGCGTAGATCTCGCGAAACGTGCGCGGCACGCCGCACTGGCGGCACGCGATAAAGATGCAGCCGGCGATGACGGCCTCGCGCGGCTTGCCCTTGAGCTGGCCGTGCTCGTAGGCCAGCTTGTAGATGTGCATGGCCGTCTGGCCGACGATGCCGCTCGTCTGCATCATGTCGACGAGCCCGCTGATGGCGCGGAAGCCCTCTTGCAGGTCGTTGTTGAGCTTCTCCGACTGCGACTTCTTGTTGATGCTGTTGAGCTTGCCCGCCAGCTTGCCGTTGGCCGCCCGCATGTCCACCTGCGTGCGCAGGCCCTCGTCGTTGGCCAGCGAGTTGGCCGACTCGCCCACGCGCGACGGGTCGTCGTTGCCCTGGTCGTCGTTGGCAAACGTGCGCCACTCGGACCGGCTGTCGATGATGCGCGGGCCCACGACGAGGCCGCACGAGTCGCACACCATGTCGCCGCTCGAAAACTCCTCGACCAGGTTGGGCGGGAACTCCTTGCAGTCGGGGCACATGACAATGTTGTCGAGGTTCTCCTTGTACGCGTCGCGCGCCGCGTTGGCGGTGGCCGTGGCCGTGGCAGCGTCCATTTTGGTGGTGGCGGCGGCGGCGGCAGCACGTGTGGCCGAAGGAGATGGCTTGTTATGCAGCTCCTCGAGAGGCTTACGGGTCGCGGCGACGAGCTTGGTTTGGGTCCGCGTCGGCTGCGACTTGGCAGTGGCCGGCCTGGTCACCTTCGTCGACGTCTGTCTTGGCTTGCGTTTCTTGGACGCCAGCCGCTTCTTCGCGTCCAGCGTGTCGAGCACCAACACAATGCTCTTTGTCGCCTCGGCGGGCGTCAGGTCGCTTGTCTGCGCGTCCGTCTTGTCCGACAGGATGGTGAGGGCCAGCTGACGGAAGAGCGGTGAATGCGTGGTGGGCGAAGAAACAAGTCGTCGGGCGGACCGACGACGCTACGGGTAGATGAGAAGCAAGAAGAAAAGAAAGCACAGGGTATCAGAAAAGTGTCAGGCAGGTTCAAGGGCACGATGGAGAGCACGAAACAAAGATTCGTGCGGCGTCCGCGTCGTCGGTCGTGTCGTCTGTCTCAAAAACCAGTCAAGGCGTCCCCGTGGAGCGAAGAGAACGATGGATCGATGTGTTCACGAGGTATTTTCGATGACAATGATGATGCCAAAGGTATCAGAAACGTCGAACACGAACGGATTGAATCTCTTCGCAGAGGAGCAAATTGAGATTGAACGAGACGCGCGATGAGCGAACAGCAAAAGAGAACAAGGTCGCCGACGACTAAACGAAAGAGGCGCGCCGTCGGATCGAAAGAAACGAGCAGAGAAAGTCAAAACAATCGATGGCGACGGGCGACGGGCGACAGCTGCGACGGCGACGAGAAGCAAGACGACGCAAAAAAAGAGGTTGTCGAAGGCAGAAGTGGAAGGGCGACAATGAGGCAGGGAGAAGAGGCTGCCCATAACCAAATAGCCCCAGAAACAAGCGGTTGGCCTCTGTTTCGCCACCGTCGCTGGGATGGTGCGCTTTGATTGGTCAGACGGACCGGTCTGGCACCAGGCAGAAGCGCCGAGAATCTTATGTGAGCACGGATAGGTGCATGGGTACATGTGCATGGGTACATGTAGTAAAGCGTTTTCAATGCCAAAGAGAAGCGCTCGCTCTTTCCATTAACATTACTCAGTACAAGGTTTGTCTACTCTATAGATACAATAGTATACAGTTTTTCTCTGCCAACGCATCCACCCACCGCCTACCGCCCTGCACTCCTCCGCCGCCCGCTGCCGCCCACGCCGCCCTGCGAAAAGTCCACCGAGTACAGCGACGTCGGACTCGTCGTCGCGGCGTCGCTGGGGTGCGCCAGCGCGTTGCGCGGGTCGGCGTGGACCTGCCGCGCCGTGAAGCCGTTGGCCTGGCTCGCTGTGCTGTCTTGACGAAGCGGGCCGGCCGGCGCAAGGTTGACGACGCCCGCGGTGGCATCGGGGCGCACCACGGACAGGGGCCGCAGCCACGAGCGCGGCGGGACGGGCGGGCTGGCCGGGCGGTCGCTGTCCACGCCAACATCACCCGCCAACGGCTGGTCCAACGGTTGGTCCAACGCGCTCTCCGACTCTTCGACGACGTTGTCGAGCGTGAGGTGCGGGTGGTAGCGGCGCAGGGCGGCGGTCCATTCCGTGTCGTCGTCGCGGCGGGCCGGCGGAGCGGCGGCGGCGGAGACAGGCGGCGACACGTTGAGCGGCGCCGGGATGAGGGATGCGGTGGCCAGGGGTGCCAGCGTGTCCAGTGGGGTCAGATTGTCGTGGTGGGCGAGGTCCCACTGGCCGGCAGACGGCTGCGTCTGGGGCTGTGTCTGCGTCTGTGGCTGCAACGGCGGCCTCGGCACGGGCTGACGCTGGTAGAGGGGCACGCCGCGGTAGCCGTCCTCCATGTCGTCCTGCGCGCCCTGGTCCCCGGCGACTTCGCCCGCGACTTCGCCCGCCGCCCCCAGGTAGCTCAGGCTCGCCGAACTCCGGCTCAGAAGCGACTTGCGGATCATGTGGCGGCGCTCGCGCTCGGCCTCAGCCATCAGGGCGGCCTCGCTCATGTGGCTGCGGCGGCGGAACTGGTCCGGGGTGAGCTGAGGGTCGTGCTGCCGGGCCTGCTCGTAGCGCTGGCGGCGGCGGCGGCGGAACGTCAGCCACGTGGCCAAGGCCGCAGCAGCAACGACGGCGACGACAGCGGCCACGATGACACCAGGCAGCCATTTGTTGGACGAGGCACCCGCGTGGGCCTTGGAGTCGGAAGAGATGAGCGTCGGCGTGGTGGACGAGCTCGGCGTCGGATGGGTGGTGACGTTGCCGCGGAGGGCGACGACGACGTGGTGGAGGGGCTGTGGGGGGAATGAAGAGGCGGATATTTGCGAGGATGGTGACAGCGAGGGTTGTGACAGGGATTCGAGGAAGGATGATGTTGGTGCGGATGTTGGTGCGGCTGTTGGGAGTGACGAAGCGGGTGAGACTGATGAGACGGGCACTGCTTGACTGGAGAGTGCCGGCGGCACAGTGGAGAAGGCCGGCATCGTGAAGGTGAGTGTGTGGTGTGTGCTGTCGTTGTAGTGCAATCGTAGATATGAGATGAGATGCCACCAGAACAAAGCAGGAATGGCGAGAAAGATGTTGAATAAGGATCGTAGTTGAGGACAGAAAGATGTTGTCTCTTTTGTTTGGGAACTCGACTCTTCTCTATCTGTGCTGTGGCCGAGTGTGTTTATTGTCTCAGTCGCCGCTCAGCCGCAGATGCAGTGTCCGATGCAGGTTGGGCGCTGTGACCGACTTTGGTGGCTGCGTGGCAGAGTTGACGAGAGGATGGAGAGAAGAAGGGGAGAAGAAGGAAAGAAAAAAGAATGAAAAAAAGGAAAAGAACACAAGCCATCGAGAACGTGAGGACAAACGAGACGATTCAAATAAGAGGTGTGTCGATCGAGCAACCGAGGACATAAAAGAGGCGACATAAAGACATAAATGCGACATAAAAAATGCAAAGCCATAAAAGATTTCATGCTTCCAAGTCCACTTTAGAGGACGACGACTACCACGACATTGGACGACATTTGCATGTACATGCGAAATACGGACGAGTACGACATGTGGATGTGGCACGGAGGGAGCTGACTGGGTTGGCTGTGTCTCTGCCTACTCAGTTTATGTCGATGTGGTATGTCGACGGGGTACCCGGACGACAGCATCGATCGTATTGCGAGGCGCGACGAGTAAAGAAACATTTATTTCGTGACGACACACGCCTTTCTCGTATGCTTTCGTAGTCTGGGTTGGGTTTTCGTGTCAGACCGGGGTCGGTCGCGGAATACGAGGTGGAGTGGCAGACGGACTGACCGGATTTTCTCTTCTCGGCGTTTGTTGTACGATGTATTGATGGTTATTGTGCGGGTCGTTCGTACACTTTCCATTTCTTTTTTCGTTTTTATTTCTGGGGCCGTGATCGGTTCTATTCTGTTGGCTGGCCTCCCCGGACCGTTTCCTTTTTGGGGACTCTTAAGACGAGCATGGTAGAGTACGACGTCAAGGAAACAGAAAAGAGACGAGAGAGACGGGAAGGACTGTACAGAGTGTAGTGAAGGAGGCTCCGAGAGGCCAGAGGCTGTTGAAACGTTACGCTGTATTTATGAGAGCTACGACGAGGCGGTGTTCCCGCAGCGACTTGAGTGCCGGAGCAGGGGCTGCAGGACTGTGACCTGCATAGGGCATAGGGAACGGCGTTGTGATAAGTGCCTGCCGGAACTCGGACATGCAGTGACATGCTCTTTGATTATGAGTGGATAAGAGGAGAGAAGGGGGATTGGCGGGATTTCTTTTCTTTTATTTTTATTTTCTTTTATTATTTTTATTTTCTTTTTTCTTTTCTTTTTTTTTCTTTAAAGAAAACGACTTGGACTATCCAAGAGCAAGGTGGAATTGCTGGCCGAGTTTGTGCTGCATTTATTATGAGAGCTGATCTACGACATGAGAAAAGGCTGTGGTAGGACTGTGAGTTGACTGCTGTTCATTTGTTTGGGTTCTTATTTTCTATTTGGTACGTCGTCAGGTCGTGCTTTGCTTTCCATTTTTACAGTTGTACAACTGTACTTGAAAACAATACGCTAATGAACATACGTCGTAAAGAGGACATCGGACAGCGAGTCCACAGTTTGTCCCACAACTGTGCGGATCTCTGATCTTGTCGGTTGTTATTTTTGGAACAGCCAAGGAGGATCCCGTCGAAGAGACAGGGATTGTATGAAACGAATAGACGCGGTTTGATTTGTTTGGTTGTTTGGTTTATTGATTTCTGTGGACAACACGGGCGAGATACGCTACAAACAACTAATTGTAGATATGACAAAGGCCACTGTCCAGTCCACAATCCACCTTCACTCTCCACTACATGCAACTCTTGCACGCGTCGGGCTATATTTTTGTTAGCATCGTATACGCACGAGCACACAAAGAATCCCTACACCCAACTCACCACCGTCGACACCGCGCCCACCGCCTCACTGAGACAGTCGGCGTCCTCGTGCAGGTCGCGGCCCTTGTCGGCGGCGGCCAGCGCGCACGCCTTGATCGAGGGGGCCAATGCTTCGACGCAGGCTGGGGGTGGGGGGGGGGGGGGGGGGACAGCGGAAAAGGGTTAGCACGCGCTCTATGTGACGGCTGTTGGGTGTGACATCACCTACCCCGAATGTGGATGCACAGCTGCGCGGTGTCGACGGTCTCGACGGTGTCGACATTGTCAACAGCACGCACGTTGTTGGCCGGTGCGGCAGCGGCGACGGCCACGAGGGCCGCAAAGGCGACGGTAAACTTCATGGCGATGGTGTAGGGGCGTGTGGCAGTACGGTTGTTGTGCGCTGTTGTCTTGGGGCCTTTTTTCTGTGAGCTGTCAGACTGTCCGTCTTGCGTCGACTCGACTCTTTATATCCGTCGACTTCATGCACTTCTGCATGACTCGCCACGGGCATCACCAGTGGAACACGGAACACGTTCGCTTGTCGTTAATTACTGTGGAAAGGTTGCAGACTGGATCAACACGACCGCCGCTCATTCCATACGCATCCACACGCGCCTTCGCGATCCTTTGCTCTTTGCAGTGTGTAGAGAGCGGCCACTCGGTGCAGGATCGTAAAGGAATCTGCCGGATATGGGATGCGTAGAACGTGTGCTGGCCCTCCATGGCCGACCTCCATGGCCGACTGCGACAAATCTCCCACTGCAGGTCGTGTGGCCCGCCGTCAGCCCAACCGCATCCTCCGCCTAATTACGTCGCGCCTGGTAGTCAACATAAAGTGGTCGAGTGTTATCGTGATGCCATTCATATTAATTGGCTCTTCCACTGATCATCTTTGCATCGTATCCTTCTCGTTGCCGACGATACGAGATGCTTGTTCTGTTGTATTACTGCTCATTACTGTCTCTGCTGTCTCGTCAATTAAGTACATGCGTCGGTCTACCTACTACGTCGGCCTATGTACACCGCGCCGGTCACACCTTGGTCGCCTCCTCCTCCACCCTCTCCACCGTCGCCTCCACCTTCTCCGTCATCAGCGCCTTGACCCCGCGCAGACACGCCACCGCCGCCGTCGCCAGCACCACAAACGGAATGATGCTCGACCACGCCAGCCGGTACGCGTGCGCATACTCGGCGCGGCTGGCCGTGACCGCCGCGGCCCAGACGGCCGCCGTGGCCCCGGGGACGTCGGCCGAGCCGACGTCGCCCGCGGCAAACGCGGCGAGGAGCGCGGGGGCGCTGGACGCTGGCAGCCCGGCCTGCACGGCGGCGTCGCTTACGGCCGGCGCGTAGTGGCTGTTGATGTAGCCGTTGATGATGGCGTCGAGGACGGCGGAGCCAAAGGCGCCGCCGATGGCGCGCGCCGAAAAGGCGAGGCCCGTGGCGGTCGAGAGGTAGGCGTGGGGCGCGGTGAACTGGACGCAGGCGACGAGCAGCGTCAGCGGGCCGGACTGGCCGATGCCGGCGAGCACGCTGATGCCGATCTGGGCGGCGTTCCAGTGCGGCCGGACGTTGGCGTAGGCGACGGTGACGACAAAGAAGAGCACAAAGGTGACGAGCAGCGGGGTCTTGAGGTCCTTGTAGTAGGTGGCGTAGAGCGTGATGGGGACGGACGTGAACATGGTCGCCAGCGTGTAGCTCAGCTGGCGGATGGAGATGCGCCAGGCGTTCGTCTGGAAGCCCAGGTTCAGCACAATCTGCGGCACCACCGAGTTGACGGCCGAGTAGAAGATCCAGCCCTCGACGGCAAAGGCAAACACGGACAGCGCAAAGTTGGCGTTGTGCGCGAAAAAGACGTGCGCCAGCAGCCCGTCGCGGCGGCCCTTCCACTCGTACGCGCCAAACGCCACGAGCAGCGCCAGCCCTATCGCGAGTGGCGCCGCCACGTGCGCGTCCGACCACGCGTACGTGCCGCCGCCCCAGTCGAGCGCCAGCAGCGTCAGCGTCGCGCCCGCCACAAACAGCAGCGAGCCCACCGGGTCGCACGCCCACACGTAGCCCCAGACGGACAGCCGGTCCTCCGCCGACCGCGCGGGTCTCTTCGGCCAGTAGAACAAAAACAGGCCCAGGCTCGTCGCCAGGTGAAAGGCCGCCTGGATCCAAAAGATGGACCGCCACCCCGACGGCGACGCATTCGTCACGGCGCCCGCGCCCAGCGACCCGACCAGGCCGCCCACGGCGCCGCCCAAAAACGCAAAGCCGTTGGCCAGCGCGCGGTACTTGAGCGGCAGCACCTCGGACGGGATCGCCTGCACAATGGCAATGGTCGCCAGCGTCGTGCCGATTAGGATGCCGCCGCCAATCAGCATGGCCATCGACGTCGCCTTGGCCGACACCACGGCGCCCACAAAGGCCACCAGCGGCGGGCCCGCCGCCAGAAACTTGCGGTCCAGCACGTCCGACAGCCGGCCCACAATCGGCGACAGCACGCTCTGCATCAGCAGCGGGCCCTGGATGATCCAGCCCGAGATGCTGGCGTCGCCCAGGTCGCGCACGATAAAGGCAATGACCGAGCCGGCCGCCACCACGACAAACACCTGAGCCATGATGCTGGAGAAATGAGGGGACGAGTTAGTAGGCACAGAACAAGGGGGAGGCAAGGGGAGAACGCATGGAGGACACCCACGCAAAACAAGTGATAAACACAACCAGCCAGGACCGCCAGCTCAGATGGATGTGCACGGCATTGCGCACCGCCTCTTCTTCGATGGGCACGACGTCGAGCTCGGCATGGTCGTGGGGATTCGTGTGCTCGGCGTGGACTGTGTTGGTTGTGTTGCCGGGCTCGACCTCGGCGGGAGCGGCCGACTGGATCTCGACCCCGTCGGACTTGGATTCGGCCATGACGAATATGAGATGTAGACAGGAAAGAAAAAAGGCAGCTGGCCGGAAAAGGGTGGAGAGAAATGTCAAGAAATGTAAACAAGGAAGCCAAACTGACCACGATGCAGCGTCCTGGAGCTATATAAGAGACGCGCCAACCTAGGAAGAAAGCTTCCTGGGAATAGACGAGAGTCCCATTGCACACGCAGGGACAGACACACAGACACAAGCAGTACGAGTGCCGAAGGTCCAGGCCTAGACACGGGAATCGAGCGAACCCACCATCCCTGGAACCAGAAACCAGGAAACAAATGCGGGAGGCAATCGTTCGAGACGAGAGACCTTACGACGGATGAAAACAGACTGACGCCAACAGAGTGACAGCCAATTCTGGGGAACTTGAGAGTCTCCATGTGGGGAAATAAGAGTCCGGCCGTGTTAGTGGATGGGGATTGGGCGAGACTGGGGATGACCATGACCAAAGCGGCCAAAACAACTAAAAACTACCAAAAAACGACGCTTCGGAGACATGCTGCCAGCGGGGTTCTCTTTGTGGGCCAACGGTCAAGGGTGACCAACCTGTTGGCCGGCAGTTGTACGTGCCAGTATGTGTGCTTTGTACGCATGGTTCGAAGAAGGAGAGAAGGGGAATGGCACGACGAAACAAGAAGACACAAGCAAAACAAACTACGCTGGCACCAAATGACTGAGAGCCTTGATACCCTGCCGTCCTTCCTGTTTATTCCCCAAACGAGCCTCAAATCTTTGGTGACAGAACTTGCCAAGGTGGCATTCTTTCGGCGCGTCGAAAGAGTCTCGATACCGTAAAAGAAAAAGGGCAATGGAATCAGGCAGGGTTCGTAAAAATTGGAGACGAACCAAAAAGGGTCCGAGAGGGGAAACTGACGAATGGCGACGTCGACGTGACGCTATGATGCACAGGCGCGGCAGATGAGGAGAACCTGAGAACGTTGTGTTTTGCTGACACGGCCGAGGGCAAAGAGAGGGGAAGAACGGTCAACTTGGCGGTGTATGGGACGCAAACGGCACGTCGCTGACGATTGGTATTGCGAACGATGGTGCCCTATTATTAGAAGGACCAGTTGCCGACCAGAGATGAAGCTTCTGTTGTCAATATATAACGAGAGACGAATAAAGAGCGACTCACAACGTCCTCAACCCAACGCAACGCCACAGAGGTCAACAAAGGTCAACAAGTCACGACATGGCTGACAAAGGCTGAACTGCCTCGGCCTGACTTGGGGGCTGTCGCCTACTGTACCGACAATGCACAATGCTCGTCGGGCGGCAGCCTGCTAGTAGCAAGCCACAAAATGGCAGCGAGACCACACTCGTGGCCTCCTTCGCACTCTTACCAGCGCTCGTGATGCACATCGCCGGGCCGCGTGCTTCCCAACTCTACTGGGAGGTTCGTCGAATCGGTGAGGCATACAAAATGGCAGCTGGGAATACGCTGAATACCTATAACAAGCTGTTGGCGTCGCCGGGCACGATCAAGGCGACCTGTGCCCCATGAAAGCGTTGACGTGTGCGACAGACGCCGTGATGCATTCACAAGACTGCGAAAACGATCTTCTGGAATGCATCCATGCGGCCGCGTTGACCATCATAGAGGCTGCGGATGTCGCTGTGGACGTGGACGTGGACGTGGACAGCGCCGACGACTATTCGTATGACAGCGAGGACACTCTGTGCCCGTCGTGCGGCGAATAGCGAGGCAACCACGCCCCGGTCAAATGTATCTCGGACGGTGTAGCCGTCTAGAGCAATGGACAGTGTCAAAGCATCACTTGCAAAACCATGGGCTGTAAGCTCCAAATGCACTAAATACACTGGTCTCACAAAGTAAAACTGCTACATACGCAGCCTGTTTTGACGTCCATATAGCGCAGATAAAGTGCCCCACTTGATCTTGCGCTGGCCATTGAAAAATATCAGTTTCAACCTCATCTCAGCCTTATGAGACAAGTTCCGTCCATAGCAAATCGCATCCACGCCCACAACCACCACAATGGACGATCCACACAACGACGAGGTCTTGAGTCATGCCGAGTTCTGGGACGGACGGTATTCCGTGGCGGTGAAGGAAGGTGCTGAGGCGACGACTGAGAGTACAAAAACAGCGCCAACCGACGAGCCAACACACGAATGGTTCCGCTCCTACAGCGACCTCGAGCCGTTTTTGGTCAAAGTGCTGTTTGGCCGGCCAAAATGTGGACCGGCCGACAATCCCAGTGTCCTGCACCTCGGGTGCGGTGATAGTGTAGGCCGCTGTGTCCATTGCACTTCGATTGCTTCCCAAGTTTTGTTTCAGACTGCTAACCGTACCCAGGTCATCCCTGCGGAACTCGAGACGCGCGGCTACCGCAACCAGCTCTGCGTCGACTTCTCGTCGACGGTGATCCAGCTGATGACAGCGCGGTACGCGGGCCGGTCCATGCGGTGGCAGCAGATGGATGTGCGCCACATGGCCGACGTGCCGTCGGCGTCCGTCCAAGTCTGCTTCGACAAGGGCACGCTCGATGCCATGATCCACGGCAGCCCGTGGAGCCCGCCGGACGATGTGCTGGACAACACGGGCGGCTACTTGCGGGAGGTGTACCGCGTGCTGGCAGACGAGGGCGTGTTTGTGTACGTGACGTTCCGACAGCCGCACTTTATCCGGCCCCTCTTTGACAAGAGTCTGCAGAGCGACGACGGCAGAGCGTGGAACATGGAGCTGGAGATTCTGGGCGACACAGAAGGGACGTTCAACTATTATGGCTGGGTCATAACGAAAGGGAAGTCGAGTCAATAAGAGCAGAGCAGCGGCGAATCAATAAATTGTTTGTCTTCTCTAAAAAATAAAAGAAAAACGAAAACGAAAAAAAAAAAAAACATTGGCCATCTACAACAACGATTGGAGATGGTCCAGGCTAGTAATAAGGTCGGCCATGGCAGCATCGGCCGAGACCAAAATTTCTGTTTTTATTTCCCGGGCCCGGGCTAGTAATATTTCCTTTTCAACGCTCCCGACGATGCCTCGCCACTCCTGCATGGCCGAGGCGGCGTACCCAGTGATTGCGCGTCTCTCGTTGCCCGGTGCTGTTTCCAGCACACGGACAAGGTCGGTCGCCAGGCGTGTTGATTGCTTCGCCCAGAGAATTGCCACCGAGAGGACCTCGGCCGGGTCTGCGCGATGTTGTTGTGGGGGCGGTGCCGTGTGCGGCCGCCAGTAGGCCAGGCCGGCAGCAATTGCGGTTGCTATTGTTGCCACAGACCCTACCGCATCAAAACCGTCCTTCTAGGACGATGATTTAGCGGGGCCGGCCGCGGCTGGTTGGGCGGGAGTGGGCTGCGCAGCCGCGGCTTTCGCCATGGCTATGAGCACCGCTATTCCACCCAGGCCGACGACTACGAGTCTTCCAAGACGTGGTCTGGTCGGTCTTGTTGCTGAGCTTGCTGCTGCTGCTGCTACTGCGGCGCGGGCGATGGGGATTGGGGGTTGGGGGGTAGTTACGCCAGGGCTGCTGCTGTTGCTGCTCCTCCTCCTGCTGCTCATGCTCCTCCTCCTGCTCTTGCTTTTGCTGCTGCTGCTGTAGTTCCTGGTAGAGCTGCTTGTCAAGCAGCCGGCACTCCTCTTCCTCTTCATCTTGCTGTTGCTGTTGTTGCTGTTGTTGCTGTTGTTGCTGCCGCCAGTTTCTGCGCCAGAGGCGCAACTCTCTTTGCGTGGACATGCTGGGCGGATGGGATGGGGACACGGGGGGATGGGGGGACGGCTGCACCTCGAACGTTGTAAAAGTACATAAATTCTATTCCCGCAAACATTGTATTATGTCCTATGGTCATCCTTCCTACTTCCTACTTCATCTGCACAGTTCTGCCCAGTACGGTTCACGAAGCAGGAGCTACCGAGCTATCAATTTTGCTCTTTTTGGGAAGGCCCTGCAATCCGAGCCAGTTTTGCTGCCTTCTCGTTTCCTCCCAATGCATTGAACAAGACATCATGCGTGCATGTTTCCTACCCTCCTTCCAAAGGCGGAGAACAGCATAAAATTGCGGATATACTAATATTCGAGAATTCACGGTTGGAGTGTGCAGCAACAACATCGGGAAAAGGGAATAAGCACGGCTGACAGCACGGCTGACTCTTTAAATATGAAATAATATCGTTATCCAATTCCTAGACAAATGTTGTCTCCATAATGGTATGAGAACGAGCAGCCAGTGTCGTCAATGTGTCTACCAGCACCTGTATAACAACGGCGAGACCCAACGCCCAACTCACGGCTGGGGGGGGCTGCAAAGTAACAACAACAACATGTCCGTATCTCAGTAGCTATTAAAGTATCAATGGACCATGACGTGCATCTCGGCTAGACTAGGGCTGGAGGCAGCTACTTATAAATACATCTACGCATATGTGCTTACTACCGTCCCTGGTGGATTACAATAGACTGGAATTCGGTCGTTCATGTGCGTAAACCGACTACATCACTGCACTAGAGATTACGATACCTGTCCTCCTGTTCTCCCTGATGTCCTGCCGCTTTCGCCATCGACCAAAAATACAAATAATGCTGAATGTCGCATTTTGGATAGTCGCAAGAAATTTTACATCTTTCCTTAACTTACAGAAAAGAGACAAAGAGACACTCAAAGACACGACGCCAAAACGACAACGCACCATGACCGGCCACACCCCCACCTGGACATCCACCTTTGATTATGCACACACGTACGGGGTGTTGAACGCATTTGAACGGTTCCAGAGGTTGGCGGACACTACTTCGTTCGTCACGCATGTCGCCGCCGACAGTGTCAAACACCGAGGCTGGGTATACGATCACCATGTCGCCGAGACGTATGCCGCAATTGCCTTTGCCGTGACCACCGCGGTCCATGCTGTGCTCGACGACCTCAAGCCCGACTGGAATGCGTACCCCGGCGGCCACATAGTCTTCACCGAACGGCCCCTCGTACGAACAGAGATGTACCAAGGCACGACCGAAATGGCCCTCCTGGAGGCGCATGCAGCCCATTATTATGCGACATCGACGGCGACATCCGCAACTGCGCATTGGAGCCTCCGCCGCCGCCTGGGCGCCGTCATTTTGCTTGCTCTTCTCAGCAAGACGTGGCTGGGCTGTCTCTTGTGGCCATTGGTGTCTTGGCTGGCAGAGCAGCATCCGCTGCCGAACCCCCCGGGCTCTCCCAGTGGCAACAGCCGCTGCCCAATGCCGCCGTCCGGCACGGTCATCGAAGTCACAGAGGCTACCCAGTGCGCCACCACTGCTGTCAACGCGGCCATCGAGGCGGCCCGGCCAGGCTGCACAAAGAAGGTCACGCGGATGAACCTCGCAAAGCACAAGCAGGTAAACAAATCGCCGTTTCGCTCGTCTGGGTACGCCTCCGAGACGACGAGCAAAGGCACCGTCGTCGCACCGACGCCGACGCCGACACCGGCGCCAGTGCGAAGCAGCGGACGAACAAGAGCGACAGACGTCATTTTCCATTTCGACGTCGACGACGTCCGCCGGCTGCAGCTGGCCGCCCAAGTCGCCGCCGCAGCCGGGACCGCCGCACTCGCCGTCGCCGCGGCCGTCCGCAACACCTACCCGGGGCTGTCGCGCAAAGCAGCATCCGCCGCCGCTGCCGCCAGGGACGCCGCCGGTCGTGCAACCGCGCTGCGCAAGGCCCTGGTGGCGGAGTTCGCAGCCGTCGCACAATGTCGCCTGACAAGACTCTCGTACAAGCCGGCCCACTGGGCCCATATGCTGGAGCTGTCTGGCGACCCGGACTGCATCAAGGAACGCGACCGGGGCTACACACTCGAATATTCTTCTTCATGGATGCTGATGCGCCAGTATCAGCTGTATGAAGACGAACTTCTCAAGCTGATCAAAGAGGGAGCACTGTCCATTGTGGACGAGAGCACGGCAGCCGAGGATGAGGATAGAAGCAGAAACTATGAAAGTGAGGGTGACAGCGTGGACACGCTGGGACAGGACGAGCTCTTGTGATGAAACCTGTCCAATTACCCTACCCTACCTGCCCCCCATCGACCGCCTGTAGACTTTTTCAAGAATCAATGTGATGTCACTCGGCGTCATAAAGGTGTGGAATCGTATGTAGACGCAATGCCATCTTTCATAATTGATTTATTTCCACTGCAAAACCGGAAAGGGACGCCTACTATCACAGGACACAAACAATCCATCGCCAGGCAGCGCCACCTTCCGCAGGCCCTCCGTGACCTCCTCAAGGCTTCTGATGGCCGTGTGTACCAACGACACGTCAATACGCTCTGTGGAGGGCTGCGGCTGGTCATATTGTAGTTGTTGTCTTTCGGACCTCTCTCCTAGCTCCAAGGCCCCTTGCTAGGACCTCCTTTTTCTCTTCATGGCGCTTCCGGTTGTCTTGGCAGTGACGGCGCAAGTGGGACGTCATGGTCACGGTCGGGCAGTGACAGACCCAGGACTAGATACGAGTCAGAGGTTGTCAGTATGGACTCCTTGCTCACGTTTTACGGTCAGATGAAGAACAGGTACCTTTCACCGGATGGAAGAACCTCTGTGCCCTTGATCTTGGACGAATTCATCAAGAAGGAGCACGTGTTGGCTGAAAACGTCACCTCCCCCGGATTGAAGGAAGCATTGTTTGAGAAGGATATCATTAAACGGTGGGATGAAGTGATGCTGAAACGTGTAAAAGGATGTCAAAATGATGTTGACGCAGATGTGAACGATACAGGAGAATTTGAAAGCGATGTAATAAAGAGGACATGATGTGTGTGGAGAAAGGATGTCGAATGATGAGACACCAGAATTGGACGTCATGTACACGGCCTTGTTCCATTGTTTGTTTACGCGTCAGTGTCGTACGGCCTCAGAGGAAAGCGCGACCAATGCTTCGCGTTGGGAAGGAGCAATGGGCATGCGTGGAAGGTGCATTCGGTCTTGCCAGCCCATGGATGTGGTCCTTCCTGATTGGGGCGTACACTGTTAGAATAATAACAGACGATAGAAGGAAGAATGATGCATTGAGGCAGAAAGTATTGAAAGAATCTAGCCATCGTAACAATGTGTATTGATATCGTCGTATAGAATGGGCAGAGGACATGCTTGAATACGTGACTGGAAATCGTTTCTCACTTTGAATTGAGAGCGTTACCCAAAATAGAGGTAAAGAAGTATAAGATGAAATATCTTTGGAATGGGGGAATAATATATAAATATATAAAATCGTACAAAGGTCAGTAATAAATATTCGAAACGAATCAAAAACAGGAAAAGGGGAAAGAAAATATTCTGTTTTGTAAAAATAAAAATAAAATAAAATCATAAAGGCAAGAGAGCATTCGACTAATAAGAAGTTGGCGAGCTGCTGAACCACTTCATCTAAAGCAAGGGGACATGCAATCTTCTACAAAGTAAGTTTACGAATACAGGTTGACATAAAGTACGACAGCTGTCGTGAGACAAAGGACCCGACATGCGACCAGGCTCGGCTTTGCGGTTGCGCTCTGTAAAACGGAACATAGTTACACCGATTTATACCTAGACGACAGCCTACGACGTTCGTCATGCTTCTGTTCGAACACGTCTGCTTTCTCGCTCATTCGCAATTGATGGAGTCGGACTCTTCGAGCTCGATGGCTCTACCGAGTGCGAAATGGGCCTCCTTTGATCCCTGGAACTATGGGGGGATGAAAGAGCGGCTGGAGGGGATTATCGCAAAGCTTGATGCAGCTGTTTTGGTGGACCACGCGCAGCAGATTCTCGAACAGACTGTGACACTCAGCAAACCCTTCTCAGCGGGACAATATTGGATTTGCTTTGAGCTTGTGGCCGAAGACAAACGTCTTGTCATTGCACGGGTCCGCCTACCACGACACCCTGACACGCCTTTGGCCCTCAGCGACGAGGATGAACAGTACGCCATTGGCTGCGAAGTGGCGACGATGAGCCATGTCAGAAAGCATCTTCCAGATGTCAAGATTCCCACAGTGTACGCTTACGAACCCGCTGGGTCGCACTCGGCCTCTGCTCTCGGTGCTCCGTACATGCTTATTGAAGGCTTCTACGGGAACACACTCCAGGATGTCGAGTTTGACATGTGCAATCTTCCTGCCAGTGCCTCTCCATGCTTTCTCTCCCTCTCGCATCCGTCTCTTCTAAAACAGTTTTTAACTGGTAAATGCCTAGACCTCCACACAAGAGCACATTATCACACAGTGGACTCGCGTGCAAGCTGAGATTGCTACTCTGTCATTCTCCTGCATCGGCTCCATTTCGTCTATTAGTAAAGGTGATGGAGAAGAACCTAGCTTGGGCAAACTGGCAGCAGCACCCTTGGACGGGCTAGACAACGCCGGACCGTTCTCAAGTACGGCTGCATACTTCAAAGCCATCGCCGACTCCGCAGTCAAGAGAGAACAACACGAGAGCAGTCGTCGTCCTCCCGGCGACCGTCTCCCCTGGTTTGCATTGGGCGCCTATGTGTTTCATGACATTGTGCACAACACGTCCGTCTACCTACACATGGATGGCGAACGCTTCCCTCTCAACCACATGGATCTCGGCACCCAAAACATTCTTGTGGACAGCGCGTTCAACTTCGTCGCCATCATCGACTGGGAATTTGCCCAATCGGCTCCCTGGGCCGTCAACCACTACCCAATGCCCTTCTCGCTGCTCGACTCGGACGCGGAGATTCAGGCCATCTTGGCCGACCCAGCGCATTTGGCATACGAAAACATGTCGAGACAGGAGGCGGCGCGTACAATGTATGTCAAAGGATTTCGCGCCGCAGAGACGGCACTTCAGGAACAAGGCCGGACGCTGGCCGGCGGCTCCTTTGCAGACGTCCTGGACAGTCCTTCGTCGCGCATCTACGCATGCTTTACGCGTCTGGGTCGGATGGCCAGTGCCGATCAAGGCTTGGTGCAGGAGATGGTACGGCTTGCATTTGATTTCGACAGGGAAAAGACAAAGGTTTACCTGCACGATCTCGAAACGAAGGTTTTCGCAGAGGGAACATCCATACAGAAAAGTTCATGAAACAGACCTGGAGGAGACATGTTTTTTGTGTGGCAATGGCATAAGGAATACAAATTTTTGAAAGAATATACAATTTAAAAAGAACGAAGAAACGACGCAAGTCAATAACATGACCTAATAATGATAAAAACCGAGAAAAAAAGGTCCTACCACTCCGAGAGACGATGAGGTTTGTGAGGTGGTCATCTGAAGCTGGTTGTGAAAGACTGTTCAGCGAGAGCAAGCCAATGGATCCCTTTTACACTGAGCAATTCACTAACACCCACTACAGATGAGCTATGAACTGGGGATCTTATAGTGGAGCAGCAGCAAACAAGAGCTGCTTCAGCTGTCAGGCACAAAGCCGCTAAGTCGCTACATAGACATGAGCTCCTTCCCTGTCGGGATTGGTCGGATCATTAATTTTCCACCGCTTTTTTCTGCCATTCTCTAGTAGCAACTGCATCGCGTGCAGTCTTTGACCTCAACTGGCGAACGAGGCGACAACATACACAACGAACACCTTCACGGCGACCCAATTGAGACGACAACGCTCGTCCCAGGTCTTTTCTATTCATAACTCGCTCCGACGACACCCGACCACCCCACAATGGCCGCATCGTCGGCGCTTTCTGCCTTGCAGGGCCGTCTCCTGGCCTCCTTCACAAACCGCCTCACATTATTGCGGCCAACAACAGCACCACACATCACAGCCTCCACCTCCACCTCCACCACCCGCCCATTTTCGTCCTCGACGCCGCGGCCGGCCGGCCCCCCACCGGGCGCCGCCTTCCACGGCGGCCAGCCCATCCGCCGGTCCAAGCGCCACCAGGTCGACCGCGACCCCAAGATCAAGATTCTCGACAAGGCCCTCTACAAACTCAAGTTTGTGCCGCCGCCGCTGCGCATGGGCCGCAACCGCTACCTGCGGCACTGGACGATCCACCGGGCGTGGCTGCTGTTCCGGCGGCAGCAGCGGGAGGCGCGCGAGCGGGAGCTGATGCAGCAGTACCAGAGCATGGCGAACGCGTGCGAGGCGCTGCGGACGATGCGCGGGCCGGGCTTGCGGGACGAGGGGTACCTGTACCGGGTGGCGATGGAGAAGAAGGGGGTATACCGGCACGGGGGCGTGCCGATTGAGTATGCGCGGATGCAGACAGAGACGCCGGCGCGGGAGGCATGGAACCACGACTGGAAGCGGTAGAGAACAACAGCGAGCGATCGACCTGTGAGAGCAACAACTCGCACGTACTGTACATTAACATGGCAATCAATAGACTACCATTGGATCAACAATTTTGGATGCGACGCACAAATGGCTTGGCGGCACAGTATGGCAAACACCAGCCTATATGAGCCTATGAGAAAGTGACGCTACATAGTCGAGATGACAAGGCACGACTGCGACCAGCTCCTTTCTGAGAACACCAATCAGCACGTGCCATTAGTTTAGGCATCACAGTGGTACAAGAGGGCATTATATAAAGGAAGGGAAGAAAAACGAAGCAAGAACATTAGCTTGGTTGATGCTAGTGGTGGGAGGCTCTCGTTACAGAGTAAGTAGGAAAGTCAAACAGAAAACTGAAAAGGAAACAGGAAAATAACGGCTGAAGCGACGTAGCGTCAACGATGTCATAATGCACAACAAAAACAAAACAAACGTCTTTCGAGCCCAGCAAATTTTGTTCCGGAAGGGCTTGCTATGAGCATTACAGAGAGAAAAAGAGACAAACAGAACAAGAAAAAAGGAAAAGACAAGAAAAGGAAAAGAGACGGCTTTATAAAAACGCCCACACCTCGCTTGTTCAGCCAATTTCGCTCGCATTGTCCCTTTTGCCCGTTTGCCCAGCTCATTCGCCCTTTCGCCCTTTCGCCCATGCTCACGTTTTGCCACCATCTCCGGCTCTCCTTTCTCATCCTCCTTTTTGGACCTCTCCCCACCATTTGGTTCGTGTCCTCGTTCGGACAATGGTAGGGGTGGTCGGTGTATTAGTACAAGGTCTGGTTTGTATCGTCGTAGCGGTGGTGTAGTGTGATGTAGAATGGTGACGTGTGATTGTGGTGCAGTCTGTGTGCAGTCTAGGTGCAGGAGGATCGTCTGATGCATGTTGATAAGAGGTCGTAACGAGTGGTCGCGACGCAATGTGTATGTCGCAGTGGTAGTGGCGGCAGCAAGTGGTGGTGGTGGTGTGATAGCGTCGTCGCATGTATACGTATAGTGGCGTCGGGGCGCTTGCCATGGCGTTACGATTTGGTGGTCGCGGTGGTGGCAGGGGTCAAGATGAACAACCGCCTTCAGTGACGGGGTCGGCGGGAGAATGCGGAATCAGAGCCGTCTATAAGATGACACAGCAGCCGCCGCCCTCGCTCCGGTCAAATGTTAAAAGGGCGGACCGCGTGGCGGCCTCAAAGACGTCGTCGACGCCCTCGCCCGACAAGCTCGAGCACTCCAGGTACTTGCGCGCGCCAATCTCCTTGGCCGCCGACTCGCCCTCGTGCTTGGTGACGAACCGCAGGCTCTTTTTGCGCATCTCCTCGACGGCCAGCGGGTCCTCCCGCAGGTCCTTTTTGAGGGCCACCAGGATAATGGGCACGCCGGGGCACCGCTCCGTGGCCTCTTCGATCCACTTGTGCTTGACGTTGTCGAGCGAGTCGGGGGTGTCGACCGAGAAACCAATGAGGATCACATGGGCCTTGGCGTAGGCCAGCGGCCGTAACCGCTCGTAGTCTTCCTGGCCGGCGGTGTCCCACAAGGCGAGCTGGACGTTGCGGCCCTCGACGCGGCAGTCGGTCACGTAGTTTTCAAAGACGGTCGGGATGTAGTGGGTGGGGAAGTAGCCGAGTGTGAAGACGCTCAGCAGGGACGTCTTGCCGCAGGCGCCATCGCCAATGATGACAAGTTTCCTGGAAGTGTTAGAGCCTGCGTGGAGACGGATGACAGAGGAGAGGGGACAAAGTGAGGCGGCCCTACCTGCGGATGACATCCCGCGCGGCACCGGTGCTCGCCATGACACGCTGTTTTGCCGCCGCGAGACGTGCCGCGATGTCGACCGGGACAGACGGCCGGGCTAGACAGAGACAAGAACAGGCGGAAGCCGGGACGGAGGCCGGGAGGTGTTGGATGCCCCCTGCTCGCGGAGCCCGTCAAGCGTGTAGGAAGAGCGTCGCCGGCGAAGTCGATGGGGTATGGCGAGCTCAGAGGCTGAGAGGCCGACGTGCACAATGTCGGGGCACTCGGGTGTTGCGGCCAATCGACGTCTGACAAACGATGGGGCGTGGTTTCTGGGTGGTGGGCGTTGGGGGCGGGATGTGATGGGCGGACGGTGGTGTGAATGGGACAGGGGGCAGGCAGACAAGGCCGTGGTCGAGGAATTGTTGCTGGTCGGATTGTCGAGATGTCGTGGGAAATGAGTTGGGGAGAGAAAGATGAAAGTAGGAGTCGAGGAAGAGAGGGCAGAAGAAGTCAAGAGGAAGGGACGAAAAGAAAACGAAGACAGGACGAAAGGCGAAGGACGAAAGACGAAAAGAGAAGGAACTAATGAGCGGGCACCAAGCGATCCGGCCAGGGCGTTTTTGGACCTAGGCGGGAAGGAGGGAAAGGAGGGCGTATCGTCACCGTATCGTACAGAATACAGCGCGCGGTAGTGGTGTACTGGTGGTGTGGTGGGCGTCGTGAGCCCCGTTTGGTTGGCCCCAGTCGAACGGTCCTTCCCCAAACGAGACGAAAGATGCCCTGCTGGGCAGGCAACCGGCCGGGATTAGGTAACAGGCCAAGCCTGTACGAATTAATACGTCGTAAAGCGCCTGGGGCTGCAGTGTGCTCGACGCAGTGAGATATCGTACTGGCGACGGATGGGCGAGAAACATGCCGCTGCGGTTCCAAGCCGCCTCGCCGTGGTATGACAGACTCACTCGTGCGGCTGGCTGCAGCAGTGTCGAGCGTGTTTACGCGAGAACAATGCCATTGCAGGGACAAGGATGCAGTACAGAAGTACGGAGTATTACCGAATCCTGACTTTAGTGGGGCTGGCGCCCAACGGCAGCGAAATACAGGGGATTCAGGGGATTCAGGGGATACAGGTACAGAGGCTACACAGCCTACAAGGCTACACAGGGAGTCGACGTAGGGGACAGAAGCAGAACGAGAACAATCGATGGAAGAATCAAACATGAAGAACGGATGGAGAAGAACTTTACTAGAAATACGGAAAAATACAAGAATACAACAATGTAGAAAAGTATAAAATGTACATTAAAAGCAAAACAAAGGGATCATAGATCATGGATCTGCCTTGGCAGCAGAGGCCGCGACGATGCACTCGGAATGGGGCGTATTGCTGTTCTTTTTCCATCTTGTCTCCATGGTTCTCATTTTGGCTTGTATGGCTCTTCTCCTTTTTATTTTTATTGATATTTTTATTTTATTTGAATTTTCTGCTTCGTTTCCCGTTTCTTGCTATGGTTCATCAGGCTGCAGATATCCGGCTTGCTTTCAACGTTACTACCAATACGGTCACGCCGTCCTTTGTTCATGTTTCGTTACCTGTAACGTTCATTATCTCGTTTCTGATTTCATATTTTCTACAACGGATGCCGCCCTCTTCCTACTCGTATTCCTCGACCCGCCGCAAAACCAGTCACTCGTGGAGGCTGTGCAGGATGGGACCCTTTCCGGCTTGCTACGTTTCTGTTTTTTCCCAATTGGGTTACGAGTACACAGACAAAACGTCGTCCTCCATTCTTCGAAAATTCAATAGACACGGGACAGCAGAGACAGACAACCAGCAAACGCAATACGACCGACGGCGGCAGCAGTGACAAGGACACACTGCTCGTTTTCCTGACCGAGTCAAGATCTTAAGGCGTACTCCCCACTTGTTTGGCAGTCCTAGCCGAGCGGATGCGTTCACAGGCACAAGGTACAGCGCACAGAGCATTATCCATACAAGAAAAGCACACAGAAGGACGCAACGACATACTGGCGGCGTGTGAGTGGTCAGGCCAGGCCAACGGCTTTTAGGACTTCTGCCTTCTTTGCCTGCATGTGCGCGCAGTGGACGAAACGGTTGCTGTACATTCATATTTACGTCTGTACTCCCTCTCCGTACATTGTGCACTTGTGCATACAACGGACAGCAGCGCTATTGCAGCCGTAGCGGAAGACGAGAGCAACGTAAACGATGCAGCACGAGCAAGCCGGGGCCAACAAGGCAGCCGTGTCGAGTCATTTGTCGAGACCTTTGACATAACCCATTGAGGCCACCCATGGCACGGCGCGGCTACGACGACGGCGGACACCCCTGTCAGGCCAAGCCGGCGGCTACGAAGAAAAGGCGGAGTGATAAGACGTACAGCCGCAAGTGCGTCACCTTTGACGCATCGTATTGAATGCTCATAAGATGTGGTGACGGCTTTGGGACTTGAAGCTGTGGAAAGCCATCTTCACAGCAAAGCGCTCCTGCCTCAAATGTGATCGAGACATAGTGTTCAGTAAACAGATCTAAACAGATCTAAACAAAAATGGCAGGTGCTGGTCCAGCCCTTACCGAGATTTCCAGGAAGGCGCGCTCCGTTGGCCTCACTAATCGTGGACAGCGCTGGCTGTGTGTTGAACCTCTGCAGCCTGTCATTGTTTGCACTCTAAATTCGCTCAAGCCTTTGACTCGAATAAAGAGCTTCCTCTGCAGTCATTACTTCTTTGTAAACACAGTACTCTGCAAATGGAAACCGTCGACTCCAAGCGCATGCCCAGTGTTGAAAGTTGCCAGCCAGACCACGTGACTTCACCGCTGTCGCCACATTGTACCCACCCACGCGCCACAACGCCCAAAAGTACCTCCACGGAACCTCACCCTGTTCCTTCTGCCGAAGCCCTCTCGCCCTTGAAGTTGCTCTTTCCCGCCAAACTACCCACTGTGCGTGCCGGACCAAACAACCAATCCGCACCAAACCCCAAACGACCTAACAGCGCCAAAGTGACCCAAGGGCCAAACGACATCTCCTCTCTGTCTCTTCACCACCACTCCGACAACATCGTCACATCCACCTCAGCCTCACCCACCCCGGACACCCGCACACGACAAGACAGCGACTGTACTCGTTCCAATTGCACGTACATTCGCACCTGTTGCCGGAACGACCGACGAGTGCGCACAGAGCGGCCACTGCGTCTCGTCATTTTCTGCATTCCTTCGTTTCTACTCACGCCCCGCCGGACCGGCGAAAGAACCAGGACCATCGGCCCGGCGCCCTGAGCGACGTCGACCTGGCACGCGGTGCTGTACGATTGTGAGTTTCTGCACGGCATCTGGGGGCGACGGCCTTGCGTCGTCCTTGCCTGGCCTGCCTTCACCCCGGACTGCAGCACGACCACAGCCCCACAAACGCATTTCTCTGTCGGCACCTCTTCGGCTCGCGGACACGCCTCTCGCGTGACACCCCAGACGTCCACCAGGCTCCGTTTTGCTGACCGTCGACTGGCTAGATTTGATCGCTGCGACCTTTTCGACCTTGTACCCTCGTTTTTCAGATTTCCTTCGACCGCTATCTCGTCCTCCTTTCCCCATGTGTCTGGCACTGGATCGTCTCGTTGACCAGAAAGAATGAAAGGCAACCGCCGGAACCACCCGCCACCGCCCCCGTCGGCCAGCGGTGCAGCAGCAGCAGCAGCACCGGCAGTGGCGGCAGCGACAGAAGCGACGACAGCCAATGGCGCCCTGCCGTCACCGACCTCCCCGTCCGCCAAAGGCACCGCCAAGTACACCAACAAGGATGGCTCCAAGTTTATCACCGTCCCCAAGATTGGCAGCCCCGGGTCGCCAACGCCATCAACCGATGCCACTGCAACTGCACCACCGCTGCCAGCCCTCTCTCCGACGCGACCGTCACCCGAAGCGACTTCGACCGACATGGCGGCCACGGCTTCGCAGGACGCTGCGGCCGCGCCGACGGCCGGCAACCGCAAAAAGGCCAAGCGAAGGGCCAAGGCGGCGGCACGAAAGGCTGAAGAGGACAGCGCGGCGGCCGCAGGGACAGTGCCCGGCGTGTCGTCCGCACCGCCACGTCCAGCACCGCCAAACGGCACCAACGGCGTGTACACCATAGACCTGGGCGACAAGCCGACGACCGGCCCGACACCGAAACCGACACTGGCCCACCACGAAGCAGGTGACAGCGGCGACGAGGGCGACGACCACCACTACGGATCGACGACGGCGGCAACAGACGCGCCGCCGACGTCTGTGCAGGCGGAGGGCACGGCGAGCAAATCGAAAAAGTCCAAGAAAAAGAAGAAGAAGAAGAAGGACAATGCGGCGGCCGGAGGCGATGCGCCCGCGAATCTGCAGCTTCAGCATCCACACCAGCAACACCACGATCCGTACCGTGCGCTGCCGCCAGCAAAGCAGCAGCAGCAGCAGCAGCCGCGGCCGTCGGCATCGTCCAAGGAAAAGATTTGGAACACCAACTCGCAAGAGGAGCGCCAGCGGATCAAGGAGTTCTGGCTGGACCTGAGCGAGGACGAGCGCAAGTCGCTGGTCAAGGTCGAAAAGGACACGGTCCTCAAGAAGATGAAGGAGCAGCAGAAGATGACGTGCAGCTGCCACTTTTGCGGCCGTAAGAGGACCGCGATCGAGGAGGAGCTGGAGGGCCTGTACGACTCGTACTACGAAGAGCTTGAGCAGTTTGCCAACGACCCGGCTGGCCAGCAGCAACAGCAGCAGCAGCAGCAGCAACGACAGCCACTACAAAATGGCGGCCGACCGCCGGCGCTGACGGCCAGCGACAGTCGCTCTGGACACGGCCACTCGAACGGCCGCGACGCCGCCCACCCGCCTGCCCACGCACACAGCCACGCGCACCACCACCACCAACATCACCCCGGACATCGTTCCGGCTCGGCCTCGGGTCGTAGTCACCAGCCGTCGCGCGGCCGCATCGTACGGCACGGTGACGATGAGGGTGTGGACGACGATGACGTGGACGAGGCGTACGCGGACGAAGAGGACGACGACGGCGACGAAGAAGGGGACTACGAAGAAGACGACGAGAGCGACGAGGACGACGACCTCGATGACCCCGACGAGGTAGACGACGACGAGGACGACGAGGACGAAGACGACGAAGAAGACATCCCGCCGGACGAGATCCACCGCGACTACGCCAACGACTTTTTCAACTTTGGCAACTCGCTGCAGGTGCACGGCGGCATCCTGACCGTCGCCGACGACCTGCTCAAGAACGACGGCCGCAAGTTTATCGAGATGATGGAGCAGCTCGCCGAGCGACGTATGGCGCGCGAGGAGGATGCGAAAGATCAATACGCGGGCGGCGTCGGTGTCGGCGGCGGCGTCGGCGGCGGAGGCGGCCGCGGTGTCGGTGTCGGCGGTGCGAGCGGCTATGGTCCGCCGGGCATGAACGGCGGCGCCTACGGCCACAACCACCACCTTGCGTCCGAGGAAGAGGACTACGGGCCCGAAGACGAGGACGACGAGGACTACGGCAGCGAGGACGAGGAGTACGACGAAGAAGAGGTCATATTTGTTAGTAGAGCCAAGGACCATGGTTTGTTTATCGGTTTGGGTGCTAACGAACGTCGGTAGGACACGATGACGGAGGAGCAGCGCATGGAGGAGGGCCGCCGCATGTTCCAAATCTTCGCCGCGCGCATGTTTGAGCAGCGCGTGTTGACGGCGTACCGCGAAAAGGTGTCGAAAGAACGCCAGCAGCGCCTGTTTGACGAGATTGACGAGGACAATGCGCGCCAGCAGAAGCGCGACGAGAAGCGCGCCAAGGACGCGCAGAAGCGCAAAGACAAGGCGGCGCAGAAGAAGAAGGCCCTGGCCGACGAGAAGGCGCGCAAAGAAGCCGAGCGCGCGGCCGAGCTGGCGGCCCGCCGCGCCGAAGAGGCGCGCCGCGACGACGAGCAGAAGCGCAAGGCCGAAGAGAAGCGCAAGAAGCGCGAGGCGCAGCGCCGGGCCGAGGAGGAGGAGCGCCTGCGCAAAGAGGCCGAGCGCCAGCGCCGCATCAACGAGCAAAAGGACCAGGAGCGCCGGGCGCGCGAGGCCAAGGAGCGCGACAAGAAGCTCAAGGAAGAGGCGCGGCAGCGCGACCGGGAAGACCAGGAGCGGCGCGAGCGCGAGAGCCGCGAGCGCAAGGAGAAGCAGGAGCGCGACAAGCGCGAGAAGGAGGCGCGGGCGCGGGCCAACGAGGCACGCGAGCGGCAGCGCCAGGAAGAACGGGCGGCCCAGAGAGCGGCGCCGTCGGGCCCAGCGCAGACGAGAGCCCCCGTCCCCGTCGTGCCCGTCGCCACTGCAACCGCCACGCCGACAGGACCGTCCGTCACACTTCCCAAGCGCCCGTCGTCGGACCAGAGCCAAAGCCAAAAGGCGCCCGTCCCCGTCCCCGTCCCCGTTCCCGTCCCGGCCTTGCCGCTTACCAACCAGGCCGCCCACTCGCCGCAGCCGACGGCCGCCACGCCCGTCACTCTACCCCAGAAGGCGCCGACGCCCATGAGGCCCAAGGCAGGACAAGCAGGACAGGCCGTTGGGAGTGCCGCCGGCAATGGGAGTAGCGTCGCCGGCTCGAGCTCGCGTACCGCCTCTCTGTCTGGGTCCGGTGGTGGTGGTGGTGGCCCCGGCAGCCAGAGCCAGAACGCATCGCCCAACCCCATGACGCCCGTGCAGTCGAGCGCCCATGCCGGGTGGTCGGGCGCCGGCCTCTTTGGCCAGCACACGTTGTCGGGTGGTGGCGCGTCCTTCTTCCCGACATCGCCTCTGTCCGGGATCGCACGGCCTCTGTCTGTTTCCCAGCAGCAGCCGCAGCAGCATCACCAACAACAGCACATGGGTCTCGGACTGGCTGGTGCGCCGGGCTCGCCGACCATGATGCCGTTTGGCCTCGGCAGCGGCGGCGGACAGCCGCCTGTCACGCTGCCTCCCGGCTTTGGCAGCCAACCGGGCCTGCACTACGGCGGCGTTGGCAACAGCGGCTTCCGCAGCGTTACGGGTCCGCCGGGCATGCTCCCGATGCTTTCGTCGTCGTCGTCGGCGTCGTCGTCGGCCGTCAACAGCATCGGTCGCGCCGGCAGCGGCTTTGGCCCAATGGTCCCACCGCCGCCGCCGCCTGGGTTTCCTGGACTTGCCAACAACTTGAGCACGGATGGGTCGGTGGTGACGCCGATTGGTTCGCTGCCGACAGACGGTGGCCACCACACGCACTCGCGGCAGGCATCCATTGGCGGTAGCGGTAGCGGTGGTGGTGGTGGCAGCGGCTTTGACACGGGCTCGTCGCCGGGCGGCAGCGGTCTCGCGTCGCTCCCGATTGGCCGGCCCGCACCCATTGGCCGTCCCGGCAGCACGGTGCACGGCCAGCGGGCGGGCGCGATCGGGTCGTCGCCGTCGACAGACAGCGGCGACAAGACGGACCCTGGCGCTGGCGCCGCCACCGGCACCCACACCCACACCCACACCCAGCACCACCATGACGAAGACCGGCTGGGCTCCCGCGCGCTGCTCGACGACTCCGACGTTGGCCTAGAGGGCGGGTTCGCGTCGATGCGGTCCCACCACCACCTGCCGCTGCAGCATGCACGGCCGTCGTTTGGTCCAGGCCCGGCCCCCGGTCCTGGTCCTGGTCCTGGTGTCGACCTGACGTCGCCGTTCATGTCGCCATCCTCTGTCTGGGCGCCCCTGCCTGGCCAACCCGGCCAACCAGGCCAACCACAACACCCTCAACATGCGCAGCAACAGCAGCAGCAACACCTCCAACACCTCCAGCAGCAGCACCACCACCACCTGGCTATGGGCGGCAGTGCATTCCCGCCACCCCAGGGTGCGTTTGGTGGTGGCATGGGCGCACCGCCTGGCATGGTGGCACCACCCGGGATGGTGGGACCGCCCGGGATGGTGGGCCCGCCTGGCTGGGGCCTGCCGATGCCGATGGCGATGCCCGCGCCGAGCGCGTTGGGCGGCTCGTTTGGGGCACTGCCGCACCACGGCGGGAGTTTGGGGCGGTCCACACAGGGCCGGTCCGTGACGTTGCGGCAGCTGCTCTGCCGGGCGTGCAAGGAGCTCGCCGCGGAGGCTGCTGACGCTGACGCCAAGGACGAAGAGGCTGGCGAGGAGGCCGACGAGGAGGCCGACGGTGAGAAAGGCGAGGGAGAGAAGACGGCCAAGACGACCAAGACGGCCAAGACAACGGACACGGCCCGCAACGCCTCCGACACCCCCGACGCCAACGCCTTCCTCCCCATGGACCGCGTCAAGGCCCGCGTCGGCGCGCTGGCCACGCACTTCTTGCCGGGGCCGGCCGTCCAGGACAGCGAGCTCGACCTGCTGTACGACACCGAAGGCAACAGCAAGAACGGCGGCGGCAACTTTGAGGTGCAGCGCGGCACGCCCGCCCACCACCGCGGCAGCGGCGGAGCGTCGCCGCTCGCGCTCGCCGACGGCGCCGTCACGGGCATCCGGTGGGTGCCGGACGCGCAGGGGCTGCTGCAGCGGTTTGGGAGCGGGAGTGCGGCTGGTGGTGGTGGTGGTGGTGGTGGTGGCGACGCGGGCTTTGGCAGTTTCCCGACGGGCAACGGCTTCGGCGGGTTCGGCAGCGGCGGCGGCGGCGGCGGCGGTCTGGGCGGGATTGGCAGCATTGGCGGTTTCGGCAGCGGCCTCGGCGGCCTCGGCGGCGTCGGTGGCGGGCTGGGTGGCATCGGCAACTTTAACGGCGCTGACGCGAACCACGGCACGGCGCCCATTGGTGCTTCCTCTGCGACTGGGCCTCGCTAGGTTGCTGTGGGAGCTGCCACGACCTCACCACGACCTCACCACGACCACGACCTTGTCACGACCTTACCATTGGCCTATGCCTCTGCATCCGAGTCTCCGAGTCGACCATGTTACAGGGATGTCGAACTGGGACAGCACCGCAGACAAGGGACAGCAAGAGGGAGAGCGGGTCGGTGAGGACTTGCTGCACCCTTTTTGGTGTCTCTCCTCTGGCTTGTCTGTTCCGGCGAGACGCGGCGGACAATCCCTGGGGCCATGTGGAGGGCGATGGCCTCTATTTTGTTTTCGGACGAGTGTGTATTGTACCGTGTTTTGCATTTCTTTTTTTTTTCTTTGTCCTTCAACCTTTTTAGTGTTTTTTTTCTTCTTGTTTTATCTCCTGTCTCTCTCTACCGCTGTATTTGCCTTTTTACCGTTTACGAGACATCGTCTTTCATGTTGTCTTTTCTTCTTTGTCTGTCCCACGCTTCCGGGAGATGTCTCGTCCAGGTCGTGGTGAGACGGTCTACGAACGGGCGTCTTTGAGCTGCAGTGGGAAGGATAGAGACAGAAAGCTACTCAATCAAGCAATAGAAAGGGATTGTTCTCGAGCCGAGGTCACGTCTTTGCGTGTCGATGTGTGTGATGTGTGATTATGAAGCCAACCTAGCCCACTACGCCCGGAGCCCTATAAGTCACTGGAAAGCGGCCGTGTCTCTGTACATTGTAGTGGGAGCCGGCTGGGTGTAAATCTTTCCCCCAAAATACAGCCTATAACCCAGTAAAGCACAGCACTTACGCCGTATTATTGCCTTACAGCCTGGTTCGATCCCAGCAACTCTTAGCATCAACAGCGCACGTCATGGTTGATGATACGTCTTTCTTTATAGATATACCTGCAGACTGTTGATTCACGGCACTTCAGACTCGTTGTCTAGCCTTGGTGTAAGAGGGCTCTATTTTGCCAGTTGGCCTACCGGTCGAGCTCCTATACAGACTTGGTGGCAATCCGGCACGAGCAGTTAGTTACAGGGGTGCAAACGCTGCAGTGCGCGCCCAATAAAGCTCACGTTTGGGAAGGCGGTGAGTAGCGGCAGTAGGTGGGCTAGCTAGAGGATTAGTGGTCAAGGGGCAGTCCAGCGCCACCACAGGCGTCCATCTCGTCAACGCAAGCAAGTTGCGATTTCGCAGCATCCAAGTGACCAGCATCCAACTTCCCATCCCAAGCTTTTCCGTAGTACCCACGACCATTCACGACATCACTCTTACACGCTAACCATTTTGCTGTCGACGTCCTCTTTTCATTCTACCAACTGCACTCTGCATTTACACCCTCGCCACACACGCTCACACACGCACACACACACAAACAATGGCCTCAAGTACCACCAAGGCCGACGACAAGCCGGCCGCCGCGTCGACGACCACGCCCGCCGACCCCAAGCCCGACGCCGCCAAGGCCGTGACGCTCGGCGAGGACGACGAGTTTGAAGACTTTCCCGTCGACGACTGGGCGCCCGAGGAGACGGAGGCGGCAGGCGACGGCACGACGACCAGCAAGCACCTGTGGGAGGAGTCGTGGGACGACGACGACACGAGCGACGACTTTTCGGCGCAGTTGAAGTGAGTAGCGAGTAGTGGCGCCAAAAACACGCCCCTCCAGCACAATGGCCTACTAACACACCCAGGGAGGAGATCAAAAAGGTCGAGGCGGGCAAGAGACGGTAGACACGATGAGGCAGATGGCAGACGATAAGACGATGGACGACGATGACAAAGGCAATGGCAGACATCAACGGATGACACCCGGCGGCCCTGGCAATGCGCCGTGGACAGGAGACGAGCATAGCTACAAACAACGACGGGGTGCGGCATGGTTACAGAGCAATGGCGACTGTGCAACATGGCTTCAAACACACTGTCGTAGTACAAGTACACAAAAAGAATATATTGCATTCATTCACTGTAGTTCATTCACAGAAGCCCACTGTCATTTGTGCTTTTGCTGTCGACTGTTGCGTGTTTTGATTAGACCTGACTATCTATGTTTCCAGTCTGCACCTTGAATACCTATTCCTCAAGGCTGTTGTTTGATCGTCATACTTGTGCACAGTGTTCCGTCGCCCTCATGTGCATTCTTGCTTAATCCGTATACTCTGTTCGGTCTGTTCCATTGCCCTTTACTCCCTCGTAAACTCACTTGGCGTCCAGCGCAGCGACACCCGGCAGTTCCTTGCCCTCCAGCAGCTCCAGGCTGGCACCACCACCCGTCGACACGTGGCTGAGCTTGTCCTCGACCTTGGATGCCGCCGTCGCCGTGTCGCCGCCACCAACAATCATAATCTTGCCCTGGCCGGCCGCGCGCACGGCCGCGGCCAGCATGGCCTTGGTGCCGTCGGCAAACTTTTCATACTCAAAGACGCCAGGCGGGCCGTTCCACACAATGGTCTGGGCCTCGTCAATGGTGTCCGCAAACAGCTTGGACGACGCCGGGCCGCAGTCCAGGCCCATCCAGCCGTCGGGGATGCCCTCGGCGTCGGTGGCGCTTCCCGTTTTGGCCTCTTTGTCAAACTTGTCGGCCGTCACGTAGTCGACGGGGAAAACAACCTTGACATTGTTCTTCTTGGCCTTGGCCATGAGCTCCGGTACCGTCTCGGCGCCTTCCTCGTCAAACAGCGAGTTGCCAATGGCGACGTTGTCGAGCACCTTCTTGAACGTAAAGGCCATGCCGCCGCAGATAATGAGCGCGTTGACCTTGTCCAACAAACTGTTGATGAGCTTGATCTTGTCGCGGACCTTGGCACCGCCCAGGATGGCGAGGAAGGGCCGCTTGGGGTTCTCGAGCGCCAGCGCAAAGTATTCGAGCTCCTTCTTCAAAAGGAAGCCCGCAGCCTTCTGGGGCAGGTCGATGCCGACCATGGACGAGTGGGCGCGGTGGGCCGTGCCAAACGCGTCGTTGATGTACACGTCGCCGAGCTTGGTGAGGCCCGCACGGAACTCGGCGACCTTGTCCTTGTCGGCCTTGATCTTCGTGATCGTGTCATCGGCCTCTTTAATTTTAATCTCGACCTCCTCCTCAAGGTGGAAGCGCAGGTTTTCGAGCAAAATGACGGCGCCATTCGCAGCGTCGGCCACAATCTTCTCGACCTCGGGGCCCACCGAGTCGGGGGCGAAGGTAACCTTGGTGCCGCCCAGCAGCTTCTCGAGCTCGGGGACCACCGGCTTGAGGCTTAAGTCGGCGTTGGGGTGGCCATCCGGACGTCCCAGATGGGACATCAGGATGACCGCCTTGGCCCCGTGCTCGAGGGCGTACTTGATGGTGGGAACGGCACCGGCGATGCGCTGCGTGTTCGTGACCTTCTTGTCCTCGTTGAGCGGCACGTTGAAGTCGACGCGAATTAAAACCCGCTTGCCCTTGAGTTCGACGTCCTCAATCGAGAGCTTGTCGGCGAGAGACATTGTGACTGTGTTGGGTGTGGATATGGTAAGCAAGACGGCGTGTTTACTTCGTTGTAGGAAGGAGCGTTGTGTAGACTTGGGACGAAGGAAGGAGGACGAAAAAGACGAAAAAGACGAAAAAAGAAGGAAGGCCCAGCTTCCCATATACTACACTAAGACGGCAGGCAGGAGGCAGGAGGCAAAGTCAACAGTGGATGTTTGGCTGGGTCGCACCTTCCGGCGACTCAGCAACCAAAAAAAAAACTTGAAAATGACGCAGAATTGGCAGGAGCTCCCCCAACAGAAGACCGACCACCTGGCGGGGTCAATTGGCCCAGGAGCTCCAAAACCACGCTATCTACACATGGCGGGGTCGCGGCTGGTCTCATTACCGAGTCACAACGCCGGACCACAAATGGCAGGAGCAACACAGTGTCAGCGAGTATTTTCGCTGCAATTGAGATGAATTGGGACGAATTGGGACGAATTGGAACGTCAGCGGTTCTTTCCTTTATTGAGGCCGTTTTGTGAGGTTGACGTGAGCCCACGGCCATCTGATGTTTGAATCGCCGACTTTGTGCGCCTCACGAGGATGTTGCGACTGTTAAAGTACGTCGTACCCGTAGGCGTAGCCGGTAGTCAACAGACGAAACGGCTGGTCACTGTTTATTTTCGGAACAAGCAGGAGCGCCCCTCGCTCCTTCCATCGTACTTATGAACTTGATTGCATTGAATTCCGTACCCTAGTGTTATTGACATGGGATGCATTACCCCAATAAAGAAGGCACGACGCAACTACGCCCCAAACATGTGATGCAAGTGTGTAGAAGGCTCTTTTATTTTTCGATCTCCCTGTCCGTGTAGTCAAAGTCTTTCCGACTTTGTGTATCCCAACTCCAAAACGCCCGCCATAACCGATTGCTGCCGAGACGGGACGAGTTCGTGTAAATGAAAAAAAAAAGAAGGAAACAAATAAAGAAAAATGGGATGAAAGCAAACCGAACCCAAAACCAGCGTACAGTAAATCAAGACAATGGAAGGACTATGACAGTAACGAGGACAATGACGACGACGATATATCAACATCGTCACATCACAAAACGTTCACAACCTCCCCTCCCGCTCACTCCAACCGAATCCTCGGCGCGTCCGGCACGTGTGCCTTGACCTGCTGGACATCCTCGGCGGCGTTGGTCAGGGACAGGTAGGCGGTCCAAGCAATGCCGACGGTGGACACAAAGGGCAGCTGGAACTGCACGGGCATGAGGCGGAAGTTGATGAGCTGGACGGCGGGCCAGACCATAAAGTTGGCCTTGAGCGTGGGCACAAACATGTCGCGCAGCTTGATCTGGACAGAGTGCCGGCCGCCGCCCTCGGTGACGGTCATGACGGTGAAGAACCAGGCAATGCCCACAGGCGCGAAGACGAGCTGGTCCATGGCGACGCGCTTGAGGGTGGCCCCCAGGGCGGACGCGGTCTTGGTGATGGGAAACGTGCGGGACAAGAACTGGAACCACTTGAACTGGATCGGGGCCATGCCGAAGCCGTAGGCCATGAAGCGCGTGAGGCGTTCAAAGTCAAAG